TAGTATGAAGGTTGCAGGGCATTTTGGGTGCCAACGAACCTTGGAACGGGGTTGCGACTTGGGAAGTAGTGGTCCATTACCCTGGGCCACACAGGATCAGTCGCGTTTGGCATAGTCATCACATGACGCTTGAACTCCGCGTAGACCTGGCCCTTTTTGAATTGGAACTGCAGAGAACTAGTTACAAACCAGTTTGCTGAAAAAAGGAATAGAACCTTATAGAATGGCAACCAGGAACACGGTAACGACGCTCGAGGACATAAATGATAGTACCTTGACCAGCCTAGATGAAAAAGAAACTAATATTAGTATAAATTGCTTGCAGAAAGTTAGTTAGAAATTGGTTTAGGCTATAACACACAGGAGTTTCGTAATCGGGCAAGTCCCAATCCGCGCCATGCTTCAGATAAGCCTTGTAGGCCTCCTAAAAATCGATAAATTAGATCTAAACAAGTTTTTGAATTGCTATACACACATGCTTTGAGACACGAGACATGGAGTGCGGTCTCGGTGACGAGTGATGGCCATATGGATTCATTGAGGATGGCATCAACAACCCCAAGCCCCAAGGTCAAAGTAGCCCAACAAGAGGGCAATATTGAAAGGATGGACGGTTCGTTCTCGAGACAAGACATGAGGTAGCGGTTTCATTTCTGTGTATAAATGCACACTGTGCACCTACTTATTGAAGTCCTTTTAAGATTTAAAATCTCCGCCTGTTCGGCCTCCGATCTGGAGACGTAAGAGGTCAATGAACATCCGGTGCAATGGATTGTTCCCAGGTTCTCGAGGGCTGCAAAAGACTCGGGCCAGGGTTCATGACTGGCCTGGCGTTGTGATTGTGGACCTCATCGAGTGGTGGTTAGGGAACCCTGACGGCGATGTTGGGCCAGGCTTTAAGTCTCAGTGTGCTGCAGCCAGTTCTGACCTGTTGTCATAGTATAGGACACTTGGATGCTGTTTAGTTAAGAGGTTCATTCGTTTTCCTAAGCTTCTCTGGCCGTGCTTAGCCTTTTGCATAGGAATGCAAAGTCCACCCTTTCATTTCTTCAAATGTACCACGCTTCTCAATTTGGTAGGGTCTCCCAGTCACTTAAAATTTAATGTGGCCACCTTCATTTTAAAGGTTGGTTGTTTGTTTAACAGTGGTTTACGTTTTCATTTCTCAGCTTTTGGCTCCTCATGTCATCGATCCCTGCTTGTGCACTGGCCCAGAGGTCGTGCCAGTGATCTTATGTCGAGTAACCTGGTATAAATGCTCCAAAGCGGCCAGACGGTATCTAACCGTCCTCGATCCCCTAACCTTCGCTCTTTTCAGCCATTCTCCTGTTCCATGTACCTGGACTAGAAGAATGGCGTATGCGTGCTGCTCAATTCTCTTCTTATGCCCTTCGCACACCCTTGAATTGGCGGCAGGCTCCACTGGGAGGAATAGCAGGCATCTCACTCCCATGTGCGAGTAGAGTTCGGACAAGCGAATGTTCTTCTCCAGGCTGTCTGTCACCGATGAGGGCAGACAACCCTGCACTATCAAGCCGCGTGCGTTTTACGCTTCTAGAAATTCGCCACGGTGAAGATCCCATCGTCACTTCTTCGATTTTTCGAGCCGACACTTGCGATTTCCACGTTTGCGAAGAGACGCCAAGCGCGACTTCTCTTTGGCCACGGCCGGATTGTTGATTCCATAGAGAATATGGTATGTTCTTTAGAAGTTGATGTTGCCGACAGTAGAAGGACTGATCTTCTCGACAGCTTCCATCTGGACCTCAAGCCCGAGCAGCAGCATCCCGCGCCTCGGCCTGGCTCTCCAGAACAACCTGGCACTCCCTCTCTGCGCTGTCTTTCAATAGCTGCTTGTGCATAATGCAAGGTGGGGTTGCTCTTGCTGCCCGAATCTTCGCCATTATTCTGTCATCCGCTTCCTTTCGAGCCGTTGTCTGTCGCTCTGTGAGAAACAACGCAGCATAAATATCTGCATAGTGAAGTTCTGCGCAAGAGGGATGGAAGCTGCGCAAGCCCCCGGTCCCTCTCCCTGGGAACATTACACGGGCATGGACTCCAATAAGGCCCATCGGTGATGATTCGGGAGCTTCAGTCTTTCCACAAGCTGACACTGTTCTTCCCCCGAAAAACGACCGATTAAAAACGCAATGTAAGAGTAAATCCATTCACCACCGGAATCAAACCACCAGGTCGCCATTTCAGAACCCTCCTGCATCAATATCTTTGCTGTATCATGTAAGGTCAAGATCCGAGGCCCAATCTTGCTGGCATAGACATTGGCCATTGCATCGGAGTGTCTGGAGTTCCATCTAGATTGCCGGTGGGAGGGCCATGATCACTTACGACAATGGCTTCTTCATTGGAAACAGACTCTGGAGTCCCGAAAGTGGGAGAGACAGGGTTATAATCGGGCGTGAGAGGCTGGTTCAAGTTTGGAAGTGAGGAAGAAGAGCTTGAGCCCTTATTCAAGCCCGAGTCCTTGATCTGTTGAGTCGCTCTCGGCCAGCCTGGATTCCCAGCTCCTTTTGCAGCTTAGGAACCCTAGTATGACCGTGACACCTGGGATTATTCTGTGAGAATGTAGGTTGCTAGCCAGGGAGTTCACGCGGGAAGTATATAATTACTTTAGAAGCAGGATGAACCCTTTTCTTACTGAAGAGTATTTTAGCCTTGTAATAAACCTCGAACCAGCCATTGTCTCTTATATCACATCCTCCCAATTTCTAGCCATCAGGCGCTGAAAGGACTTGTTGGAGGAGACCACCTTCACGTAGACCTACCGGCTGGGGTAGGGCATGGCCAGGGGCTACCGCCAGCGCCCTGCCTACTTGCTGCCTTACCCTCTCAACGAAGCAGACAACGCATTGGCCAATGCCTCATCATGATCAAGGTAGCCTTTGTCTGCCTTTTCTGAGGTCAGGCCTCCTCGTCCTCATTTCCCTCTCGATCAACACGCCCGGATGTGTCCCAGGAGTTGCTGTTCTCCTCTGGTCCGGTACCATCCATAGACAGGGCCGGCAGACAACCTTGACGGCCTGGGTGTTGCATTCAGCTGCATTTTCTAGGATAGGTGCCCTGACACCGCCGCTTTCTCAACCTCCTCACGAATGCCTTGAGCAATCTTAACTGGTTGGCATTGTAGAGCTCACACGTGGCAGGATCTCGGTGCAGTTTTCCAGATCCTCATCGTCTAGGACAGGGATCCTCGGATCGTGTTCATCCCTCGCCCCTCACTAGTGCTCGTTCAATGTTCACATCAATGTGTCTGAAGAAAGTACTGTCACGCGTTTCGAGTCCGGTGTGGTATGTACCCTAAAGTCTTCGAGAAGGCATCAGCACCCGCGGTAAGACCGCAGTGCACGCGAAAAGGATAGCAATTGATAGGTACAAGCTCTCGGTGTTGTCTTGCCCGTGTCCAAGCACTTGCAGTCTTTGCATCGTCACCGGGCACCTTGACATCACTCGCCACGCCGAGCGAGCTGGTCCGCGGGATGGAAGGTGACCTGGTGGTCTGTTATGTCGTGGAACAAGCGATGACAGGTCCCGCAAAGCGGAACAGCATTGGGGGCTGTCTCTAGCCCAAAGTTGATCAATGCCAGCAGCACAGATCCTGTTTATTCAAGGCAATGCATTCCCAGGGAGGTCCACGAAACGAGCTTGCGCCCAGACGCCCGCGTTCGGTTGCGGAGAGGCCCGCCCAGAGGTTGAGGCCGCGGCGAGCGGCGGGAGGATCGGCGATGGCCTTGTCCTAGCCGGCTCATGCGTTCGTTGGGTCTTGATATCACCCTGACTGGACTAAGTACCTAAATAGCCTTCCGATGTCTAGACTGGCAGGTGTTCTTGGCGTTGCTAATATTACTGCAGGTGGACTGGTTCAAGGCTGGCCTAGCTGCAGGGCCAGTCTCTTGACTACTAGTATTCATAGAAACATGCGCCAAAGGATAGCCTGGAAAAAGGGTCCCAAGGTAATAAAAGGTGATCCAGCAAGTGGATCTATACCGCAAATCCGTTGTCCTCAGGTTGAGACATAACTAAACTAAGGATAATATCCTTGTCAGCGAGGATCGCCAGAAGCAAGACAATAAAAATCCTTACCAGTGGTGGGCGAGAGCCTGGATGAATGGCAATAATAAGCGATCGAAGGGAGAAAGCTAAGCAGAGAATAAGGGCAAAGCTTTTAGAGATTGTCGGAGACTCCGAGGCCTGACACAAAAGCTAAGTGTAAGGCCAGAGTCTTCTTGACTCGGCAGCGATATCACACAAAGTCGCCATCTCCGACCCCTCCTGCATCATGATCTTGGCTTTATTCTTGTATCGAAGACGGGATTTGACTTCGAAGATGCCCAGGAGAAGCTAGCTAGCCTTGGTCCTTGAACCGCCATCAGTTATGGCGGTAAAGCTTGTCTTTTTGAACTCGGCCTTGAAGGTTGACTATGTGTCCAAACCTTTTCTTCCAGAATCTGATCCCATTGTTGAGAGCCAGCTTGACCAGTAGGCGTTGGGTCGCAGCAATTGTCCAGGATGAGTCGGGATTGTAGTCGGGAGAATTGCAATGGAAGCGATCTTCTTTAATGTCCCTGGAGGTGTCTCCTCCACAACACTCCTAGGCCATACGGGCGAGGAAGCTGGCGAGTCGTAGAACAAAGGCATTCTCGGAAGGGTAGGGTAGGTATGTGCTGTAGTACCATCCAGAGACCTCTGGCCCTTCCTGCATACAGTTGCCTCATTCCCGTCCGCTTAACCTCCACGATACCCAACAGCAATTGGGTTATTTCCGTGCGCAATCCTCCGTCAGTGATTGCTGTAAATTCCATTCGAACCCCTTTGCGCGAGCCACGCTACTCAGCTGTTGGAGGAGCCCAGGACTTGAGCAGGGTCGTGGACGATTTCACAGTTGGTTCGAGTTATTGTGGCGGCGGAATAACTGGTATAGCTTTTCCAAAATATAGCCTGGATTGGCCCTGATAATGTAGAAGATCGGCCTCGTGGGAATCCCTTTAGCTATTCAACAGGAAATCTAATCAGCAGCCCTTGCTGCACTTGAATAAGCAAGCAGACAGATGCTGAGTGGTGGCGTATGGTGGCATTGCTGGGCACGCCGCTGCTTGTTCCCAAAAGCCATCCCTTATATTGACTTGCGATTGCTTTCCAGTGAGTAATAGCCTGCCACCTAAAAGACAAGCGAGTTAGCAATGACCAAAGGAATAGTTAGTAGTACCTACTATCTTCCAATTGCTCTGGGGCTGGTGGGGGATGTATATGGTTATACATCTCCCCGAATTCAAAGGTGCCCATGTCGAGCACCTCCTCCTTCTCCTCCGTGGCCCTTTGCCAGCTATCCCCAGTATCGACCTCGTCCTCCTTTTTATCTAAGAAGAAGATTATAAGATCTTCTCCATTATCAGAGAGAGGGAGGTCATCGAGGATAAAAGGCATTTTGTAAAAGAAATTTAAAAAAAAAAAATTTAAATGTTAATGTGGATGGAAGATGAAAAGGAAATAAAAGCAGAAAGGGGAACGGGAAATTACTCTACCATTGTTTACCCTACCATCGTTAGCGAGACCCGTGACCAGCCTACTCATTCTAGGAGTTTACACAAAGCGTCTATAGGTGCTCTTACACCAAGAATGGAATCTTGACTGGGCCCGGATACTGCTTGAACGAGTCCACGTGGATGGTCCCAGTCGCAAAATCTTCCTTGAAGCTTTGTAGGTTGTTGGCTTGGAATTGCTGGGCGTGGCTTGGGCCAGAGGCTGGAGTTAGGGTTTCTACCTCCGTCTCACCAATCTAATGGATGATATTCCGCAGCTGATCGTGAGGTGGATGAAGGTCTTGTGTAGATTGGGAGAATTGCCGTATTTCCTATTTGCATGTGTGTATTGAGCTGCATATGCTTATCAGGGTATCTGTGATTGGTTTAAAGCGCGAGTTCATAAGGTCTTCCTCATGATTCCCCAACATCTTCTAAAGGAAGAACCCAGTCAGGAACAGGAGCTTCGCTGATATTATTATTAGATATAGGTTTAGTCGTGACTGGAGACAGCGCGGCAGCCTGGGACAGAATCGTGTGAAGCAGTGAGACGGGATGATCTCTTTCTCGCCATCCATGGATCCGACATGTTGGTGCGCAGGTCATGCCTCTGGATCTGCCCCAACCATGGGCAATTAGCGAACACCGCTGGGTAGGGATGTCTGTAAGGGAGGCAGTCTTACCTTCCCATTAGAATCAAGGCGCAGAAAATTGCAGAAATAAGTGAGGAATAAGAGAATTCCCTTCTTTTTCTTTCTCGGCTTTACCGTGTCGGGTGCCGGTGCCTCTCTGCACTTAGCCATGATGGCTGAGGGCGTTGCTCCGTCATGGTCAGTTGTCTGTTCATTCACGGTGTAGGGTTAAGGCTGGATAAGGTATTGAAATCCTATCTCACCGTTTGTCAGCGCAGACTATTGGTGGCCTTGCAACACGTAGGATAGAAAGAACCGAGAACGTTGAGAGTCAACAGTAGCGAGCTGCTGGAACGTCTCGTGTCGGTCTTCATCCTTAAGACGGGCATACTTTGGATACTTAGGTATTCGACATCATCCATTCTCATGCTCTGTTGCTAGTGTCGGCTGGAACACCAGCCCTGTCCCGTCCCCAATAGCAAATGTAACTGAAATGCCGCGATTGCTGATGGTGGTTGATACTCCGGCAGCAGCTTCCGTCTGGACGATCTTCACATTCTGGGGAATGGCAAAGATCTCCCGCTTGCCTTTTAGGACGGTTTGTATGAGGTATAGAAGCGGATCGGAGTCGAGTATCTGCTGCAGTATGGATAGAATAAACATGTTGCACTGCATCTTCCCACTTTGGCTGTGGCATGTGGCCGCTTCTTCTTGGGCTTCTTGGCCTGGAAGAACAGACAGGCAAGCATAGTAGGTGAGATCGTCACTGACGCGGATATCTATCAATATCCCGGCAAGTTTGGGTTCTTCAGGTGGCCCTCCGCGAGCTCCTTCAGCAAGATCAGGCGCTTGAGCTCGTCAAGGGAATCATCGTATAGCAAGATGTCTGACGAATTAACCTTGGTGTTCGAGGATCCCTGGGCTCGGACGTTGTAAAACGGGGCGCCATTTTGCCAACGCAGCAAAACTTCTGTGTTTCCCCAGATCCAGAAACCCTCCTTGAGTTCCTTGGTGAGTTTCAGGCCTTTTGCAGGATTAAGGCGGCCGATTTTGACTCCGGGTGTGGACATCGATTGCCAGCGTGGCATCTCCGGACAGCCGGCAGGTAGAGCGAAGAAACCGGTGATCTTTGAGCTATCAAGTTGATCACGACAGTCGAAAGCAGGTTAGGTAGGGTAGAAGTACTGGACACCCACAGCAAGACCCCGTCATCAGTTGACGCCCATAACAAGTAGTTAGGCAGCCATGAGCCAAGTGTTCTGTTGGGATTGAAAGACCTGGAATAATGTTTCAAGTTGGGACAGAGTAGGTTCTACCTAGGTATCGGCTCCCCGAATAGCGTACCAGAACCAGGCCAGCGCGGTCAAAGATCAGAGATCCTGAGTCGCCCGCCTTGACTACCGCCTACCTGGGCGTTGCGGTTGGCACTCTCTTCTCTAAGGGGGGTATACTGGGTAGAGAACGCTGGAAAGCGTATAAACTGTCCCAACGATAACTTGATATCCGGGGGCTTGTCAAGGTGTTCGATGAAATTGACAGACAAGTTCCAATCAGCCGCAGTATTGGAAGACGCTGTCAATAAGACTCCAAGGCCACAAGCAGCACTAAGAGCCCCCAGAAGGACAGTGAGGCAGTCTTTCCCGTGCCAAAAGGACCACCTGAGTGCCCAAAGCTCGCAAAGGAGGCAAAGGAGACGAAACCCAGTCCTTGTGCAAAACGGAAAAGAAAATAAAATAAAAACTTTTCGCAGACCTGGAAGAACTAAAGCAAACCCAGCGAAAACCACCACCCACGGACCCAGCAAACAACCCCTAAAACTAGAAGCTTTGCCGGCGATACTAGGTGGCCATCCACGCTTCTTAACCTTGGAAGCTGACAGTGCGCGGGCTGGACCAAGTCCTATGCAAGGGAACAAGGCACCAAGCAATACACGCAGTTATTGCATCTCTAACCTATTCCCCCAGAGATGCACTCCGCGAACGGAGGGTTTCCACTAGCGCTTTTGGAGAAGATGGCATTGCACTCTTAACACTCATGGCCTTGCGGTGGTTTCGCCCCGGCGCGTGTGGCTATCCGGGTTGCACTGGCGAAGCCGCACCAACGTACGTGCCTTCGCACGGGCGCCAGGTAGGTATCTCTCTAAATTGCTCGTGCTGCGCTTGTTCTGGGGGAGCCAAGGGGTGACGGTCTGTCCTTGCTAATCTTCTGGTTGAGTATCATGTCATCTCTGGAAGGCTGCATGCACGAAAGCTCATCTGCACCTGTGGACCTTGCCATTTCCTTCAGACGGGTCACGGTCAGCAGGTTAGTGGACAGTCCACCAACCCGACTGGATCGCAGGTGTCTCACCGCCGTGCTCACTCGCAGTAGACGTGGACAGAATGGTATTGGCAAATTCCTCTTCGATCATGGGCGTATGGTCTGCGCAGGCACAGAATCCATCTCGTCGGCCCAGCTTCCCAAATGGAGCGGTGCGGACAGGCGCTGTGGCCGAACTTTTGGATCCAGTGTTACTAGATTGCTTGACCGTGGTCCTGCTGCAATATAGGACCGTATTAAAGGCCGAACGCGCGGACCGCCGGCTCCCACACGCACGGCATTAACAGCATTGAGGACATCTCGCAGCTCGTCGCCGACTAGGGCAACGTCAACAGCCTTGCAAAATTTGAGTGCCCTCTTGCTGTTGCGACAGTGTTGGCACTTCCCACCCCCCACACGGTTGCATGTGAGCGCCTTAGTCGCGACGTCCGCAGCGGCGCGTCTGTCGTTATAACAAGCCGCAGTAACAAGGCACGGCACGCAACGAGGCTGATAAAGATTCAGCGGCAGAGGAGCGAGGGCAACCGCGGGGGCCGGGGCCGGGGCCGGGGCCAAATGGATAGTTAAAGAAGACTGTTGTGTTATTGGGTGTCTGGAGGAGCTCGGCAAAGTCACTGGTCGGCCACACCTTCGCATGCTGCCCCAGCACCGCCTCCACCCATAAGAAGGAATCTGGAACAAAGACGGACATGGTGGTAACATAACTGGTAGGAGCAATGTCGCAGCCTGCAGCCCATGGTGTCGAGTCTTGGTCGGTCTCGTTGAACTCTTTGACGAGAGCAGCTCGCTGTTCCGAGGTAAGGTCGGCATGATACAGCTTATGGTCGAGGTTGCATAAATTTAGGAGAGCGGATATGATGAGCTGTTGTCCGGGTGAATTGACCCAAACAATCGACTTCTCTTGGTAATGGTAGACCTCCTGCATGAGATTCATATAGCTGAACCGGGGGAGCTCGAGGAAGTCGATGCCGGTGTTTGTCTCCAGGGACAGGATGCGGACGAAGACGACGTCGTTGCCTGCCGAAGGATAGCCTGTAAATCACGCCAAACCACATCAGCTTGGGAGGGCTTGGTCATATATATACCAGATCAGGGCTCAGACATGCGGACAGACCCTTCTTGATGCCCAAGTAGAACACTCTCCCGTCCGTGGGGATGCCATACACGTTGGGTTTGTATGGACAGCCAATGTTCGTAGAGAATTGTGAGGTCTTTGTGCGCTCCGGAGGCTTTGTCCTGGGCATTTGGCTCTTTGGCACTTGACATGACTGGAATGGGATCTCCCGGATGGTGACTGAACAGGTAGTAGAAACGAGCATCCATGGATGATCCGACCTCTTTCCGAGGCCTGACATCATGATTTCGCATGAGGTCATGATTATTTTATTTCGAGGAGGCAAGCGTCCTGGATGGCACAACAAGTTGTTGATTGAGAGGAGCAGTGCGTCAAAGCCTCAGTTGGGTTCAACAAGTCAGGATAGCTATTCCCAGACTTGTTTACTCTGGTGTCATCATTGCGGTATGCACAGCAAGAAGCTGGCGGGTGTTATGCAACTGCACTCGAAGGCTATCCCGATCGTTTCGAACCTCTTGTAGACTGGCGTAGAGTTCGGTCAGGACTTGCTGATCCGCAGCAGCGGTAACCTTCGACAGCAACCTCCGGTTGCCGCTGCTGCGGATCAGCACTGGGCCATGGCGACGAAGGGTTAGTGAGTTGAGGGAAGTTAAAAGAAGGTTCAGATACTTATCAGGTTAAACCAGACTTGAGTGACTTCAGACTGCTGGACTGCCTTGGGCTCTTCTTGTTGAATGTCCTCAGGCTTGATGGTATTTGCGTCGGCCTTCTTGGAATACACGCCAGGCCAGACTGAGTAACGTGCAGGCTTTAGCACTATCCATCCTAACAATCAATACCATCCATAGACCGAGCACTCCGTCTGCAGTGGCAAGCTTATCGATCGTCATGTTCTCCAGGTGCCCGTTCCGACATTTGACAGTTCGGTCCCTAGCGTCCGTGGTTGAGATAGGGTTATTCGGCCAAGCCCTAACAAAGTCGATTGCCACGGACATTGCTCGGGTGCCCGCTCTCCTTCCAGGCGTTAGATATGTTCGAGTTTCTGGTGCTGATGTGCATGGAAGACGGCATATGAAACACATGCTGGATGCCATTGGTCTGGCTTGCTGGGACCCTGTTACCGCGCATACAGCCCTGGAGGGGACCCACCATCCTAGGGTTTTGGCTCTGCGCACGCGGTACGCATGACCTGTTCCTTGCACACGTCGTGCATGTATCGGAGTGTGGCAACATACATTCCTTGGTCAATTCGTTTCTTAGCCACAGGATCGGAAAAAAGGCGGTTAAGTGCTGGGGCAGGCGGTTGTTGGGGTTGCAACCGGCTGGAGTCCATAGCCCATTCCATGTTGAGCGTCCACCGGTCTAAATCATCGTGCTCGTTGGTTTGGATGACGCCAATCCCACCGTTGTACTCAGCGATTGCTTTGACCTGCCACGTCGTTTGGATTGTGCTTGGCTGAGGAAGTGCACCAGGAAGGTGGATACATCAGCGCCTGCATGGTTGGCTCACTGCAACCCCGAGGAAGCGATCAGAAGGGCATTGGTGTACGAAGCACGATGCTACCTGGTTTTTCTGTCATCGATACTGCCATGTGTGATTCGCACAGGCCTCCCTTTACAGGACAGGATCTGCTTCTGTACATCATTATGGCAGAACCGGGCTAGCTGGTTTCCCGGTACAGCCTTCCCTATATAGGTAGGCAAGATGAAGAGCATCGCTCGCTTTGCGTTCAGGAGAAGAAAGGCGAGCAGAGGCAATCCAGGAGGAAAGGGCTTTGTATGCGGCGTAGCATTGCAAAAGCGGGCATAGCGTAGAAGAGCCCCAGGTGTATGTAAAGATCGACATCACTACACACCTTTGCCTGTTATAAACACTCCAGAGGCATTTGATGTGCGCTTGTTCTTGTCTTTGTGAGATTGAAAGCGCGCTGTCTTGTTCCAATTGTTGACCACGAACATTGAGGTCTTGAGTATGTGATTCAGATTGTCTATCAGCAGACAGCGCACATCGATAACGACTGTCCCCACGTATACTCTGAGAATCGGCTCCATGGAAGAGACCAGCCTGAGGAAGCTTTAGTAGAGAAAGAGATGAGGAATGTGACAGCGGAATGGTCACGACAAGGAAGAGCAGTCTCAGATATTTTGAGCCGGCGGGCCAACAGTATAATACCAGGTGAATAGCCTGTAGTGGGAACAGAGTCGGCTACAGGCGACGCATAGTCAGTTCGCGTCCGCTACAGATCCGAGGCCTGGTTGCAGTGATATCCAATATGACGATCAGGGACTCACGACCCTTAAAGCTGTATGGTCCCAGCCTGAACTCCATGTTCTCCGGAGGCCGGTAACCATATTCCAGCGTGGCAAGCATGGTCTGTTTTATTAAAGTTTGCCGTGGCCATCAGGCGTCCCCAGTACTAGACGGTGTTGAGATTTTGTAACAGGTTAGTTGACTCCTGGATTATATCCTAACAGGAAGTTAAGGGCCTCTATACCTGCCGCTCAGGGTCGCACTGGGCCTTTACTTCCTTCAGTGCCGCGTTCACCAAATCAACCAGGCGAGACCAGCAGGATAGGTTGAGGTTCTGGTGCTGGAACCAGTTTTTAATGGCTTTGGCCTGATCCTCCTTGATTATTGCCACTAGATGTCTACTATCGCCCTTGCCATACGGGTCAAGACCTCCAGACTGGAAGGCCTTGAGGAGTTTGTGCACATTCTTAGTGTCGATGGCTTAGTTGACAAGATGCATTGTCATCCTCTGACATCAAACGCTAATGTGCCATAGTATGCCTCTTGGATCTCATTATCAAGTAAGATGTGCTGGAGATAAGCAAGTGCATACAGCTCCCCCTGCGGACTGGATCACAGCGACAGCCTAAGCTTGCCATGGTGACGCTCCCAGGTCTGGACGGCAGCTATGCGAACATCCACCCGTGGACCGGCTGCACCATTTCGATTTCCATTTGCTCTCCTCCTTCGGGGTACAGGATCAGGATTTTCCTCAGGATGTTCCTCAGGACGTTCCTTGTCTCTATTTTCTTCCGTATCAGCTGTTTCCTTTTCTCGTTCCATAAGCTCCTGGAAGTTCCCAGTAATGTTTTTTACTGCCTTTATGCAATTATTTATTTGTTGCTAGTTGGCTAGGATTTATGCAATTAGATCCAATATAAAAGGTTGTTAGGGCACATCCGCGTCTATCCTTCGGGAATTATCCGCGTTTGTTCTTCGAGAATTGGTCCCAGATAGGCCGCTAATAGAATTTCCGGCCGACATTCTGAAAGAGAAACGTGGCGGTTTCGATTTGTAATTAGTAAATAAAGATGTTGTTGTAATAGGAGTTGGAGTCCTTAAGCTTTCTGATTCCGAGTTATAAGATGTTCCAACGTCCTCTTCGTTGTCTCCTATGTTTTCTTTTGCGTTTGGCTTTGGTAGTGAATTAAAAGATAAATCCGGGCTTATAGGGAAAGTGCTTGGCGCTTCTGAATGTGTCGCGGAAATCCTTGGAAGTTCTGCTTGTATGGCTGCATCTAAAGCGTTAACCACGTGGGATAGTAACCGGGGCGGACATTGAAATGGCCTGCCATATCCCATAAGACGAAGAACTCGTCACGATCGTAGTATGCGTCTCAAAATCGTCCGTAGTGGCTTTCTTTGCTTTCTTTTTGGTTCGCCTTGTCGGGTGCCCTTTGCGCTTAGCCAGTATTGACCAGCCCGTTCAGCATTACTGATGTTGACGTCCACATAGGACAGAAGGCCTTTCCAGGTGCACTAGGTAGATGCATGCATTGTAACTGTGGCCACGTCTCAGGCCAGAGGCTGCAAGTTGGCACGGAAACATAATGTTGCACGCTGCGCCGACTTGGTCAGATGGCTGGCATAAACTCTGGAAGATCATCTCCGCGAGAGCTTGCACGCGTCCGGAAATCTTGTAGCTCACGAAAGAGATCATGCAGTTTCGCAGGCGGTCTTCCAGCTCAACCCACCCTTCGCTCGTGGCAAGTACCATGGTATTCCGGCACTGGGAAATCGTAAGGCGCCACCTTGGCGGCCAGCCAAGCACACCGCGCCTAGTACTTTTGGATTCAAGCGCACTCGAACAGGACCAAGGCCATGCGGGAGAAAGCGTGGGAGCATTGGAATTCGAAACGGTTGCTGACGTGTGCTGATGCAATATGAAAGAAGAGCCGTTTCTAGTGTGGTTATAATGATCTCCATGGCTGGATGAATGTGTGGTTGGGGTGTTCGGGGTAAGCCTTGAGAGCCTCCATGCCATGTTAAAGGTCGGCATGGACGCGTTACCGATGACTGACAGCGTAAGAGTGTAGGGATGGTACGAGATCTTTGCCCTGCGGCATTTTCCGGTGTACCTCCGCATTGTCAACGGCCTTCTTCCCAGGATCTCATAATCTGTCTTTGTCGTCGTGAGGGGCTTCTTGGCTGCGGTTATCCAGTCCCTGCTCCTCAAGTCGCGTAGATGTAGAGGGCTAAGGCTAGAGATAGGACTAGGGCTAGGGGACCTAGCATCAGCTTGTCAACGTATTTCAGATAGCTCGGTACTTGCCATTAGATCCGGAACAATAGCAATCTCTGGCGGAAGCTCTTCAAACTTCCCATCTAGATCCATTGCGGTATCAAACTCAACCGCTTCAAGTTCCTGCACCATTAAATCATCAGCAACGCATGCATCTCCAGGTAACGCTGCCAGGGCTTTAGGATTAATCTGAATATCCTTGTACCAGGGATGGTTTTGACGGGGGTAATGAAGCCAGATCCTTAAGTTCTCCCGGCGCACTCAGAAATCGTGTTCATACTAACGGCGTAGGCGGAGATCGGTATCTGCATTTAACGAACAATGATGAGAGAGCCTGGACAAACAAGCCTGATACGTCAGGAGACCTGGCACTGCCGTAGTCGGACAGTTCATCGTCGGCGTCCTCCGCAGGAGCGGTAGCAGGTTGGTTGCTTTGTGCTACTCCTCCGACGCACCACAGCAACGCTGGATTAATCCATGCATTGAACAGGTCAATGGGATCAAGGAGTTCATCGATACGGCGGCGCCACATCAAGTCGCGCACGACCGGACGGATTGCTTTCACATCGTCATGGACCTGCTGGGAAAACCCGCGACTGCCGAAACGGGGAAGTTGTACAGCGTCCTATCAAAGAGCTCGAGGCGTCTAAGCGTCTAAGGTCCCATCTCTCGAAGGTCTCGATAGTAGGGAGGAATCCAGTCGAAAGAGATATTCTGTGAAGATCGGACAACAGCGACGTTGCTGCCCCAAGGGCTGGACATCGACAGGCACCTCGGTCACGCCAGCTTCTTTCAATGCTTCCTCAATGGCTTCGGACACATGGGCGGGGACGGGATTGGGCGCAGGCGCGGTGTTGCGATAGTCATAGCCAGACTTCCCAAAGTACTGGCGTTCGTGTTTGCGGAACTTCACGTACGCGGCCACGGCAATGGGGATAGCCCTCTTGCGCCATTTGCTGAAGTACTCTTTCCGGACGGATGCACTCGAGTTAAAGGCCTGGTTAATCTCTTCGATCACCTCCGCGGAATCCCAGCGCCGACGCCCTACCAGCGCGTCGCTGATGGCCCCTAATCCAGTGAGTTGGACCGACGGGATCATGGAATAATGGTTGGGAAAGCCCGATACTCCTCACCATGCGGCTAGCGCATGAGGTCTCTAATTGTGGACTGAACTCGTTCCATCCTGGTTCATGCTTTGCGGTCAAGGCTGTTGGACGCAGCTGAAGGTGATCAAAGGGATCCATAAGACGGTCAAAGTTACCAGGCTCCTGAAAATCCTGTCATCCTCGAGTACCCCCTTTGCCACATCGCTGACGATATAATGGAGAAAGCCACCAGGGACCAATTCGCTGTCGGTGGCCTGCGTGCTAACTTCATGTGCACGCACGCGTGGCGCGGCCTTACAGCCGTTCTCACTCAGCAACTGGTAATTCTCCACCTCAAGACCCCCTCGCTGAAGGGCAGCGCCTGAGACGCCTGCCAGCTCTCCCGGCGTGGATCGCATACTGCGTATGCCAGTCAGCATGGAATTCTGGCCTGGAGTTGGCTGGAGGAAGGTTGGACGAGAAGGCAGCTCGAGGACACAGAACCGGCATTCGAGATGGAATCGATGAACGCCAACGGCCCAATAGATAGGGCACCTTCACGGCGGCAATTGCAGGTTGATTGGAGTCAAGGGCAAGCCCAAAAGGACGGCCTCGACTCGGTTCTGGCGAGTGTCCCTCCAGGCCCCATGCGCTCTTCGATCCAGCGCTTCACGTCCCCCATTGATGAACATGAAGCGGAAATCTGGGAATCGCCACGCCCGCACAAGCCCTTGGCTCTGCTGTAAAGATACCGCAGATATAATTATCTGTATTAATAATGTTGTTAGTCAAATTGTCCACATAAGTACACTGGATAGGAGAATTACCGGTGTGTTAAATGGCATCGAAATCGTACCGCACGATTTTGACCCAATATGCCAACAGCTGGGCCATCGCATTATGGCCAGCCTCTGTGCCATTCGCGTCCACTAAAACCTGCCTTGCAAGTCTGTATAGAAGTGGCGGCAGTAGCCTCTTCACTCTTGCTCTTGCTCTTTGTTTGTTGTTGAGCCGTGTCCAGAGAATTCTGGCGATGTCGATCGTGGTCGATATCGAATCCTCCTCGGTTATCCCGTCTTGCTTCTCTTGGAGCCATGTACAATACACTAAAACGCTGTTGCAGATGGCGTCGTACAGGATCGGCATTACGCCCCCCTGGCTATACTCGAGAATTGATTCCTGGAGATGATGTTAGATGGGATTGGCAACAAGTTCAGGGTGCGGATATTGGGGGCCTTACCCTGTTGAGTCTTTGGATCGGTGGGGATCGGAGGCGAAAAGAAGGCTCGAACACGCGGTGAAGTCGACCACCACAAGCATGTTCTTCTTGCCCTGATAGTCGTGCACGGTGGACACCTAGATTATATGGAGAGGCTGGCAGGTGCAGAACTAATTGAAGTAGACCTGCGCCTGGCCACCGTACGGGCTGAGAAGATTGATCTGGTTGGTGATCAGGTCCTTGGCCAGCGCCACCACCGCGGTGCAGCTGTTCGGGTTGATGACAGAGATGTCGTGTGTGTTGTGCTGGTCCTCCGCGCCCGCAATATCAAGGAATACTAGGGGCCTGGCCTGGTGCAGGGTGGCCTTGTGATGCAGGACAATAGTGTTGCTAATAGCGGGCACGGCCGGGCTTATAGCCGCTACGGTGCGCAGCTGACCCTTGTAAAAGCAATTGCTGACAAAGGAGCACAGCTGTTCCACCATACAATGCTGTTCCGTAAACATTCCCTTTATCATGCTGTTAATCTGAAGGCGCGTCAGGAGAGAAAGCGCAAGCTGCCCGTAGAAGGGGCTCTCGGTGAGCTTGCTGAAAACCAGCGGGGGTAGCTGTTTGTGGTCGAGACTCAATGGAGTTGGGCGTGAATTCGCTCGTCCAGGGGAGCTAAGTGGCTTGCGTAAAGGGCTAAGCTGCGTGGTCAGCCAATGCAGTTCTTGAGGTATGAGGAAGGGCACTGGGTTCTAACCAGTGGAATAGTGATTCGGAATCCCGAGGCTAAGCACGGTGTTAGCCTTGATTTCAAATCTCTATCCAGGAGTAGGTTGATCACTTACCAGACGCTGACTTTGGGAAGCCTTCAAGTCACGGGTGGTGTTGCTCTTTGGCTTGACCGTTGTCAATCTCTGCAGTCCATGGGTATTTTGTTTGTGCCGTGCATGCGGATGGGTGATTTGAACATAAAGTCTGTCGCATGGACTCATCGCCCAGTCGGTGCGGAAGAAAGCGGTCCGTAAGGCCATTGGTGCCACCTCAATCGTTCATCCGCTCCAACCACTGCTCAGCCTTCCAACAGCTGTGCCTCTTAGGCAAAATCTCCGTACACTTGTCGGCATCCTCGTTGTCCAGGGATAGTGAGCCCTGGACAGCGTGGCATTCGCACCCCGGCCTCTGTCGAGAGCTGTCTTGACGTCCACATCAATGTGTCTGAAGAACGTACGATCGCCATCCCGCGCGTGCTTCATGTAGTAGGGGTAGCTGGTCAGATGGTAGGTGATCGGGGCGCAGGACCACGTACCAGGCCCAGTATGCCGGGTCCTGCCGCGAGTTGCTGAGCGACTGAATAGCAGTGGTTCGAATGCTGGGCTGTGACCAAGGCATGTCGTGGACCGAGGTACGAATCCAGTCAAGGAGCCAGGCTACCGAGAAGTTAGCCAATGGACTTGTTATAACGGGGGCGGTGGAAATTGCTACCGACCTGGCATGAAAACGACGTGTTTGCGTCTGCGCAGTCTCAGGGTTGGAAAGTCGACGAGCCTACGTAAGTGGTTAGCAGTAAACTTCAACGATGTGAAAAGGAGTGGGATACTGACCAAGGAAACCGACGATGGAGAAGGTAATATATATCCATGTTTGAATGGTATAAGAAACTACTAAGGGACTATATAGCTTATACATAGGGTAGACGTAGAGGATAAATATTTATCAAGGTATATAACCGAGGAAAGGTAGCGTATGAAGGAAGCTGGTCCAGGTACAAATATATATCGTGGGCATATCTAAGTATAAGCATGATGCATAGTGCATAAATATATTACGATGTATAACAAGGTATAACTTATACCAAGTATAAGCAGAGTGCATAAATATATATCAATGCTTAGGCAAGTATAAGGAAGACTAAGTACTAAGTCCCATCGAAGGGTATAAAAATATACATCAAAGTATAAGAGACTATGTAAGAGGACTTATGCTCGATAGTATAAAACCTCGCGGACTTAGAGAAAAAAGAGAAGACGATGGAGAAATGAGAGAGGGAGATCGAATTTGGCCGGGAAACAAGGAGATATTTATACCCCGAGCCTGGGAGGCCGGGGGACCACGAAGTGACAGGACGCTGTTACTGGCGCGGGGAATGACGGGGCCTTGTTCACTGCGTTTGGGCCGTTTCGCGGCTGTTGGTTACCGCGATGGTTACGTGCAGGTTCACCCGGGCGTGTCCAGTGAATATACCATGGTTGAGTCGAGGATTCCGCATGTCATTCAAGTGCGAAGGGAATGAGGATGTGACGAGCGAACCCAGGTACCAAGGTGAGTCGACGTTGGAGACGCGCCAAAGACACGCTAGAGGACGAATGTGGAGGGGAACTACCGGCTGAAGAACGTTACGACATTATATTTTAGAGCGCGGACTGGCGGGCAGAGAAGACGGTAGAATGCAATCAATCCAAGTTGCCATATCACACACGAAGCGCCATGCCATTGATTTGTAGAAGAAATCCTTGTTCATATTTTTTCATTCCATTTTCCTCGTTTCCATATACCCTGCCTCCCTTCCCTCTATCCACTTTTCACCAGAGAAAGAGAGAAGCAAGAAACGAGTTCTTTCCCCCGGTCCCGAACCCAGGCCCAGGGCATCCCGGATGCTTCAATCCCACCGAGCCGAACCAGGTATGTGGAAACAAGCGATGTGGTCGACCTGAAATGATATCTCTTGGGTTGATCGATTCCCCAGTTCAAACATCCGCACCGCCAAAGCCCAGCAACGAAGGAAACAAAATCAAAGCATTTACTCCTGCTCCTCGCCGACCAGAGCGTTGCGCTTGGCGTCGAGGCGCTCCTGTCGTCGCTCACGGAGAGCCTTGTTCTTGGCACGCTTAGCGTCCATCTCCTCCTTGAGGAGACGCTCACGGTGCCTCTCAGCCTTGGCCTTTTGGATCTGCAGAGCCAGTCAAGTCAGTCTATGTTCCACCCATCCCAGTTGTTCCGCCACTCGTTCATCGGAGACTCACGTGTTCGATCAGGGCACGCTTGTGCTTGAAGGTGTTACCCTTGGAGAGGTGGTAGAGCTCGTGGTAGAGGTGCTTGTCGATCTTGCCGGCGGCACGGTAGCGGACGAGGAGACGGCGGAGAACACGCATGCGGCGCATCCAGAGGAGACCGGAGGGCATACGGGCCTCCTTGGTACCCTTGCGCTTACCCAGACCGCGGTGACGACCGATCCGGCGGGCCTCGTTGAGCTCACGGGCGCGAGAGCGGGAGTGCATGGTGACGGGCTTGCGGATGATGAGGCCATCCTTGACGAGCTTGCGGACGGTCTGGCGGGAGTTGGCGTTGGAGATCTCGTTCATCTCGTTGGGGTCGAGCCAAATCTTGCGCTTGCCGCAGCCGACCACGGAGGCGGCGAGGCGCTTCTGGGTGCGAAGGTTGACCCTGTGGTGCGAGAAAAACACGCAGTCAGCATGAGGCCCTTCTCGAAAAATCCCTATCCCGGTAGAACAAGACGAAAAACTATCGGTCGCAGCTGAACCATCCCCGGTGCGCAGGACACGGCGGAGACGTCCATCAAAGAGCAGTATTTCCTCCGCACAAACAATATATCGACTTCGGGAGATGAACTCACATCTTGATGTCGGCGTATCGACGGTCGTTGGCGGATGATGTTCGTTGCACTCGACAACGGTTTGAATTCCCAAAGTGAGGAGTTTGAGATCGGGGCGGGTGATTAGCTAAGCCACTGTGTTCTAAGCGAGTGCCTCCACTCTAGGGCTCATACCCCACGCTAGCCCGGATCCCGTCATCATGAGTCGAGGGACTTGGCAGCCTAGACGTCCTTAACTCTGCTAGTTACTCCGCATTGTCACTTGTAGCTGTTAAGCAGCTATTCATTTTCCTGGATTCTCTTCTGGCTACTTTTGCTGGAATCGGTTTACTCATGATGTCGCGTGTTGCTGGTGAACCTTTTCGGCCGCTCTACCGAATCACGTGCTGCCTATCTTATCGGATCGATAACGGTCAACTTTTGAACTGGATATAGATTCCCCGAAAAACAAGGGTATAGATCTATCTATAACTCATGCACATCGTAGGTCAAGCATAACAGAATCATCACTCGTCTCCAAACGACCCCTCCAACTCGACCTTTCCAATACTCCACACCTCCTTCTCGTCCTCAACCTCGTCGTTCGACAGCCCCAGACCGCCCTGTCCACCTTCGGCCTCTCTCCTCTCCCGTGCCTGGGTGGCTAGACGCATTGCAACTCGCTTGAAGTAGTCCGACATGCTCCGCTTGGGTCCAGGGGGCAGTTCTGCACCGGGTCCGGCCATATACTTGTCGAAGACCGCCGCGTCCGAGTCCACCACGGAGAAGATGGAGAGGAAGGCGGCTTCCGAAGCCAGCTTGACGGGGATAACCATATCGCGAACGCCGGCGAAGATCGGTGGCGCGAGAAGGGCAAGATGAGGTCGTGCCAGTTCGGGATGCAGTCTGCTGACTGTTCGAATCACGACCAGCGCCAGTCGCCGAGTGTCGGACGGCGTGCCGGGTTGGAGACATGGCGCCAAAGCTTCGAAGATAGTCTTGTTGCTCTCGAAGCTGTGCTGCTCTTCAAGTAGCAAGTACTTTCCAGCGGCGAGGACACTGTTGTCGGAAATGAAGGGCTGTTCGCGTTAGCATGGCCCTTGTCTGCAGCATCGTAGAGTTCTTACATCCTTGTGGGTGAGACCCTGGCAGATCAAGTTCAGAGTCTCTGCCGCGAAGTTCTCGGTCAGGGATGACGGAGACTCCACAAGTAGAGCATTCAGTCCCAAGATGGACGCATGAGAGAAGTTTGGTGTGAGCACGCGACTCCTAAAAGCTGTTAGTAGTTACTTTAAGATGAACTCGGAGTTGAACGTACTTGATGAGCGGGCCAGCAGTAGCCGGAGGAAGAACCTTGACAAGTGCACCAAGCAACTTGGCGTTCGTGATGGCGACGGCGTCTGCTGGTGTCAGTTTTTGCAAGCTCACGCTTGAGTATTTTGGATACATACCGGTCTGGTCACTGGCATCGTCGTCGATCAGAGCGAGAAGGGAGTTCTTGGAAGCCTCGCTCATGTTCGCTCCAGCCTTGCCGACAACCTCCTGTAGAGCCTTCATCATGGCATTCCGCACGCCGACGTCGGCGGTCTTTGTACCCGTGATGAGTTCTGGCCTAGATTAGCATCCTATAACTGGAAAATTGGTAAGGCCTCGTACCTGCAATGAGCGGATCAACACGCGGCGTCAGGGTGATCAAAATTCCAAGACCCTTGGCAGCCCTGTCACGCAAGGTTTCACTGGTCTGGTCCGCTAGACCTCGAGCAAAGGTTCGCTGAAGCTGCGGCAGGAAAGGTTTCACAGCCAGGGGAATCTTCTGCAGCAACTTGTTGAGTGTGAAGAAGATGGCACCTGGATCCGTGTCAGATTAGTTAATATATAGGTGAATCGGTTGCTTACATTTGAGATCAACTGAGCGCTCGGACACGACACGAATGAGCGGACCAGTAATTTGAGTCACAAACAACTTCAATGAGTTTGCAGCCGTGCGGTCGATAAGGTCACCAATTGCAAGAGCGGATTGGGTACGTTGTTCAACGCTGCCGTTCAAAAGACCCTGCAAGAAGATCGGCAGAATGGCAGTGATACCCTTTGGCAAGCTGAAGCCGGGTAGGTCGGCCCCGGGAACTCCAACGCCACGGAGGATTTGCCTGGTCGGGACGGACAGAACTTCCATTTCCTCCTTGCGCAGACGAGAAGTAAGCCCGGTGAGAGCGCCCCAGGCAGCCTTGACCACCTCCTTGTCAGAGTCATCGAAGGAGATCAACAAGACGCGAATAAGGTCTTGGTAGTATCTGGAGAAGTCGATGTCCGCCTCGGAGAAGAATTTCTTGAGATGATCGGCCGCGCGGGTACGGCGGTGCTCGTCGTCATGCTTCACCAAGGCCAGCATCACGCTCATCATAACGTTCAAGCCGTCAAACTCATCCACGGAAACAAGGATCGTGCTGAATGCGTTGTCAAGCTCCTCTCGCAGCTCGTCATCCTTGCACGAGATGATGTTTTCCATCAGCGTGTTCAGGATAGTGGGCAGGCGACGAGCCATGGCAGAACCAGCAACCTCCGCAAGCGACGCGAGAGCTCTGGCATTGAATGTGGAGATGGGCGATGTGAGTAGAGTCGGGATGAGGTTAGGTAGGATGATGTTAGCACGCGTTTGCTCCGTGAGAAGGGTCAACAATGCCGACAATGCTTGCTCCGCATCTTCGTCATTCCTCAGCAAGAGCAGGAGATGGGGCAGAACCTGATCCACAGCCTTCTTGCCCAGGATTTGTTGCAGGGCGTCAAAGGCTTCAGCGGCCGCTTCCCGAACATCATCGTCGTGGTCAACCAATGCCACGCGGACAATGGAGATAAGGATCTTCTCGTAATCCTCGAGCGCATCTGGAGAAGAAGACGTGATGATTTCCTTGAGAGCGATACAGATACCTTGCTTGACATCCACATCTGGCGAGGTTTGGAGGCCATCCTCGAGAGTAGGCAACAAGGTGGCGAGAACAGACTCTCCGGCCTTCTTGATAAGGTCTCCCAGAGCATTGCTGGCAATGACCTTTTGTTCCATGTTGGAGGAGCCAAGGCGGCGGATAATGAGCTGGGACAAGGTAGGGACCATCTCCTTGAGAGTTCTCGGAGACGCAACGAGCGACTTCCAGACACCCATTGCCGCAGTCTTGACGAGACCAGAAGTATCGCAGCGGCAGATGAACAGTGCGGAAAGAACCTTGTCCCTCCTCTCCTCTCCAAGTACCTCGAGCAACGACTGTCCAGCCTGTGCAGCTTCCTCTTCCTCTTCTTCGGCATCGGCCTTGCCCGAAATACCCGTGATGCTGAAGAGCAGATCGCCAACCAACTCGACGGAACTCAATCTGATGCGGTAGCTATCATCCGCAAGACCGCGCTCAAGCTCAGGAAGAAGGAGATCAATGGCCTTTGAAGAGAAGTTCTTGACCAGCAGGCGACCGGCACGCAGGGAAGTCTCACGAATTGAGTCAACATCGTCGGCCAAACCAGCCAAGATAGGTGGAATGATTCGGCCAAGGTAGGGCGCGAAGCTGTTTCCGAAGCAGGCAGGCAAGTAAATGAACAGGGTCATGAAACCTTCGCGAATAGTGGCCTTGGCGCTGCTGACGTTCTGCAGGATGGTTGGCAGCGTCTCCTCGAGTCTGGTAGTACCCAAACCCGCCAAAACCTCGGAAAGAGCTTGGGCAGATCCCAACCGGTCGCCAGCTCCGGTATCCGACTTAAGGGTAGACATAAGGTTGGGGATGAGGTCGGGAAGGGCATCCTCTCCGAGCTTCTCGATCAAGGAACCAAGAGCCTTGGAGGCAGTCGCACGAGTTGTCGGCACAGGGTCGACAATAGCCAGGTTGAGTCCAGAAACAATGATAGGCAGGTGAGTAATAAGGTCCTTGCGCTCCGTAAGGTGAGCCAGACTGCCGATGATCTGGGCAGACTTGCGCTTCGTCGCTGACCGGTCGCCAAGACCGCGCTCAAGGATGCGAACAACAAGAGCCAGAGACGGCGCGTCTAGGTAGTGGACAAAGGACACCTTGATAAGTGAATCAAGGGCTTCGTCGGTAAACTTGGTGGGGTCGCTCAGAGCTTTGAGCAACACGTTAACCAAAGACTTGATCTCGGGGTTGCTGATAACTTCTCCGAATCGTTGAAGACTCCGGTTCGCCGCATTGCGCACTTCCTTGTGGGTATCGTTCAACACGACAGTTAGAGGAGGAATGATCTCAGGCAAACTGACGGCAAGCTGCTGCGGGTCGAGGTAGGCCATGGCTCCGAGCAGATCGCAGGCTCCCTTCTGACTACGCCACTGGGTATCGTCAAGACCTTCAAGCAGAGTAGGGAGAATCTGCTTGACGCCATAAGAGCTTAGATTTGCGAAGCAGGCTTTCGCTGTATACAAACAGGCTTCGCGGACGTCAGCATTCGAGTCACCAAAGCTGGCCAGGAGCTGCGGGACGACCTGGATAACGTATGGCTCAAATGTTCGGCCAAGGATCGTTGCGAACAACTCATACGCCATCAGAGCACCCAGTCTTTGGTGGGGCTCCTTCTTGTTCTCAGCAGCATCCTGGAGATGAGGCATCACCCGGAATTCGCGCAGAGTGAAAACTCCCCGTCCCTTGACAATACCTGCCAACCCATAAGCCGCACCACGTTGGGTTGCGTAACCCTTGGTTTGAAGGAGTTGATCGAGCATCTCCTGGGCGTACTTTCCGCTCTGGCGCCCGGCAAGTCGGACCAGAGGCGGAAGACAGTCAGACACTGCGGACTGAACAGACTCGGATGGCGTTGGGAGGGTGGCGAGAAGTCTCTTGATGACTGTCTGCAGACGAGGATCATCCGACTTCAGGTGCTGAGCCAGAGATCCGTAAAGCACGACGACTGCCTCGTTAAGGAGATCGGAGGTCTCGCTTCCCTTGTCTGAGGTCTCCAGAGTTGTTTCCAAAAGCTTCATGAGCTCTTCCACCTTCTCCTGGCCACGCGCGGCAATGACACCCTTTCCGCTCTCGGCCATTTGATCTCTTACCACGCTGCTGCGGTCAATAAGCGGCCCTCGTTCAATCAAGAAGCGGAGGAAGGAAACGATCTGTTCGCCTTCGAATAAGTTTTGCATGGCTCCAAAAGCAAGAGCAATACCGCTGCGAGACGCCCAATGGTCCGTAGTGTCGACCTTCTTCGGCATGCCATACTTGTCTTTCTCGGGCTCCTTTGGTCGAATCTCGAATTCGTATTTCGATTGAAGCTGAGCGATAATATCCCCGAAGACCGAGCGATTTGACTCGACTGCATGGGCCAACGCGCGAGCCGCAGCCCCTCGGAGATTGGGGTCCTCGGAATCGAGGTAGGGAATGAGCTTTCCGTATGCGGTCTCATCAATCTCCAGAGCATTTTCTTCCCAGATGCTCTCGGCGACCTCGGCATTTTCTTCCGCATGGTCATGGCATTCAATCCAGATATGCTCGGAGAAGTCCAGGTCGGTTAGGTCAATTTCAGCGTCAATGGCCTGAAGCACTGCCGACCGAACAGACGGTTCCGAGACAATGGTGCCCTTCAGGAGTACATTCACTTCGTCTTCGCTGATGTTCGGTGCGATGTATCTGCTGACATCGAACAGAGTATCTTTGATGAGCTTGTAGTGCTGGGTGTATCTCTGCATCGAGGTTATCAACTGGTGGAGAATCTCTACTCGAGGAAAACGGTTATCGGTGACTAACAAGGGTCAGTGAAATATCGCTAGGTTCAAGGGAAATACGAACATGAGCCCGAGTGGAAGGACATGATTTCAAGAGCAAGCAGTACCTGCTCACCCTCTTCATCGCCCTTTTCTTCGTCAATGCCGTTTTGGACGAGGATCGTGAATAGAAGGGGCAGGGCGTATGCCAGAGAGGAATTATCAAGAGGGCGCTGTTCAGAGGCAAAGCGCAAGCGATAGAGGATCCTTGTAACAAGCTCTGCGAAGAATTAGCGCATGTAATCAGATTATCTTGAAAAACTTACTTCCAAGAGGTTCTACCTCCATCTCAGGCGGAACAGAGCCCTTGCCTATGGCTCTGAGAGTCGCAACTCCGACAAATTGACGCAGAGGGCCAAGACGCGTAGAGACCTTCTCCGAACATTTGATGTAGGCACTTGAAACGACGTCGCCAGCAAACAAGCCAGCTCCTGCCTTTGCGAGTGACAGTAATGATGCGAGCGAAGGGTTAATCCAGTCGTCTGCGTCAATAGCTGGTCCAGCGGCAAGCCCCTGAATGATTCCGCAGCCTCGTTCGATTCTCTTCACCTCACGCAAAACGTCTTCACGGATCTTGGCTTCCTTCGCCAGCTGAGCTTTCACCTTGGCTTGCTCGTCTGCAGTGAGTTTCTTCGGCTTTTCGCCCTGCTTCTGAGCCAAGTGTGCCCGCATTTCCTCCTCCCACTTGAGGATATCGTAGTCTTTGGTGTTCTTGTCAAAGGCTTGCCTCGATTTTGTGTTCAGCACGTCTACGAACATGGTGCCTTCTGGAGTCTTGGCGATAGCAGCATCGGTAGGGGTGAAATGGGACACACGCGAAACGTCCAGATCCTCCTTGATCTGGCCAACAAGACGAGTGACCATGACATCGGGAGCCACGAAAGCCAAGTCACCAGCCGCTGCCCATATAGCAGCGTCAATCTGCGGTACCTTTGACTGAATAGGATCCTCTTGCACGCGGATCAATTGATCCATGCATTCACTGGGGTATTCACGAACAAGGTCACCAGGATCCGTGCCAGTCCTCAGGCAGAGATCAATCCAAGAAACGTTGAGAATCAATTCGGGCCGGGCGAGGAGTAGCAGGCTGATAAGCTGGTTCTTGATAGCAGCAGAGGACTGCTCGGACGACTCTGGGCTTGAAGGCGCGGGGCAAATCGCCTTTGCAACCAGGTGGAGGAATCTTTGATGCTCATGACCAGCAGAGATGGGAGCAGACTCCTTCTCTCCCGTCCTGAAGGCAAGGATCCATGCCCAGAGGGCGTCCGTAATGACACGTCCCATTACACCAGCGTCCGTCTCGTGCACACTTGACAGAGTACGGGCAGCTTCATCGCGGAAACTATTGTGAAGCCCGGGTGCCGTGATGGCGTAAATGAAGGCCTCGCCCCAGGCAGTCTTGGCTTGTGCATCAGCGCTGTCGAACTTTGCCGCAGAAGGGACAGCAGCAAGGGTTCTGACGGCCCATTGAATCTCTGCTTGGGAGGCTAACTTGGAGTAAGCCTTGGGGTTCAAGAGAAATGATGGCTTCGGTTGGAGAGCCATAGATTGTCCGACTGAGTCTTCCCAGGCCGCCTTGTCGAAGGTCTCGAGCGCAGATAATCGCCCGCATAGGGCGAGGTATACGTAGGCTGTGAAAAGCGCACCATTCTGCGCGGACGGTAAGGGGTTCGACGAGACTTCTTTGAACATCTCCTTCAATTTGATCAAGAACTTCGTCACGAAGGGTTCGATCTCAGGGCTCGCAAGGGTTGCAGGTTCAGCTTGCCAGATCGCCTGGCCGATGTTGAGTTGCCATAGTCTCCGGAAAGGAATCTTCTTGTCTGCGGTCCCCTTGACAATGGCGTTGACAACGTCGTCGCTAATCTTCACCTTTGACTGGATGAGGTGGGTGAGATGCTTGGAAAACGCCATGATTTCTTGTTCGAGGGCAGCTTCATTGGACTCGCGCGTGAAAACCGGCACAAACCCTTGGACAATGTCCTTGGAGATATCAGATGTGGGAGCGACTACTGAAAGTGCTTGAGCGTAAATACCACGATGCTCTGGGCTGGTGATCTTGTTGCCTTTCAGGGGACTGATGACCTCGCTGGCAATCCTGACAAGAAGGCTCTCGGTCTTGGACTTGGATAGAAGCGACTCGAACGATTTCAGAGCACCTTGTCGGATGGCAGGGTTGTTCGACTTCATGCTAGACAGCAAGTGCTTCAGCAGGCGAGTGTGTAATACTTCTGAAAGATCGATTTCCGAAGGCAGAGACGAGAAAAGCGATGGCACCAGAGCGCTAAATACCACCTCAGGAGATCGCAAGATTGCCTTTTCCAGCGGAGGGAGTATCTCCGTCGTGAGATCCGCGTCAGTAATGAAAGACTCGAAGAAGTCGGACAAGCCATTAGCGATGTGTGCAGGCGGCGCAGCCTTGGCCCCGACGAGTTCTTTAATGTAGTATGCAATGATGGTCTTCTTCTCCTCTTCTAGGACGTTGCTCTTGTTAGATAGGCGTGCGCAGACTCCGGAAATGACGCCAATAAGTGGCGCATTCTTCTGTCCAGTGGTCGCATTGCTGGTCAGGCGCTGAACCGACTGCTTGATAGCGTCGTCGCCCCATGTGTCAGAGAAAACCGCACGCAGGGCGCGCCTTGTTACCCTCAGGGCAGACTTTTCCACTGCCGGCTTGGGATGAGCAGCCAGACATGTCTCGAGCGCCCGGGCATCCAGAGCGATGATCGCCAACACGACGGGAAGCGGGGTTTCGGTGTCGCTCTTCAAGGTTTGCAGGAGGATTGAGCACCATTCTAGAAGAACCAATGCGGAGCCCGCATCCAGACTAGACTTTGACGTCTCCGTCTGCAATTCCGACACCAAGTATTTCAGATCGTCGGTTGGAACGGGCGCTTTGAGTAGAGAGCGGAGGCATTGTTGGGCGGCCTGACGAGACGGGCGGTCAACATATCGCGGAATTGTCTTGAGAAGAAGCTCTAGGAGGGGCTGGCGGGCGTTTTCCGGTAGATCGGACCCTGTGAAGACGAAGCACCAAGCACGCGGTCAGAATTGGGCTGCTGCCACGGAGGAGGGGCGGGCAATACCGATTTTCTCGCGGAGATCACTGAGAACACGAGTCCTGCGCGAAGTCGAACTCGACAAGAGCACGACCCGCAGGCTCTCGAGGTCTCCGGATTTCACCTGATCCCATGGAAAGTCGTCCATGTTAGGTGGCCGGGAGCATGTCGTTTCTTGCTCAGCGTTTGCTCTTGGTGATGTTGTCATAAGAGTTTTCGACGGTTGTGTGGGGAAGAAGAGCTTCGCCGCCTTCCGTCCTGCATCATCCACGCCCAGTCTCTTCTCTTGCAAGTGAGTCATTGTGATTCATTTCTGACCAGCTATTCGTCTGAGAAGACGCTGAAGCTTCCATAGGCGCAGTAGCGCTGCAATATGCCGCCGAACAGCAAGAAAAAGAAGAAGCCCGCCGCGAACCCTGCCCGCGGCTTCGCAACAGTCTCCGTCCCCTCCAAAGTAAAGCCTATTGAGACACCGGAACCTGCATCGACCGCCGATTCGAAATCAGTATCCGAGAGTGACCGTCCCACGCCGGCCGAACCTACAAAACCTGCCCCAAGCACAAACGAAGCCCCGTCTCTACAAAACTACACTCCGGAGGAACTAGAGCGGCACTTGGAGGACGCCGAGCTACAGATACTGGTTGAGAAACATGCGGCCAAGTGCAAGAGCGATGCCGTTCGTCAAGCTGGGAAGCTAGAAACTGAACGGAGGCTCCTCCGACAGCAGTCAGTTCCAGTGAACCATGTCGAGTGGCTTCCGTCCGATGTCGTGAGTTCTATACTTGCTCTGGCCGAGGCGGAGGAGCAGGGACTGAGCCCTCAACCAGTGCGGGATAAACGAGTTGTCCCGGAGGATGAATTATCTACGAAGCTCTGGGTTTTGAAGGACACTCTGTTGAAGTTGGGTTTCCCCGAGCACAGGGTTGAAGAGGCGTTGAAGCATGTCTTGATATACTTTGCTGGAAACTTCACCATCACTAACCGTGACGTTGTCTGCAATCTGGAAGAAGCTCTTGAATGGCTTGCGATGCATTGCAGCCCCGAGGAACTACCTTCATACACTCAGACAAACGGCCAGCGCAAAGACGTGGATAAGAATGTTTCCTGGATCTCCGGTAACCCTAGTGTTGGCGTCGCATGAAGCGCAAGCGCTAATATGCATCAGATCGAGAATCATCAGGAAAATCTACACCTAAGAGTGGCGCAAGCAGCAAAGCGCAGAAGGCGAAACCTGTCATCAGAGAGATTATTCCCCAGCCAGACCCATATGATTCGGACAGTTCTCTCGACCCGGACACGCTGGTTCCAAAATACTTGGACCTGCAAACTCGCCTGTACAATCTTCGACCGGAAATATATGACAAGCCCAAGAAAGGCAAGAAAGCTCAGCCTGCTGGCGCAACTGACGACCCTCAAGCATTGAGACTTCAGCGCAAGATTTCAAGTATTGAGAATGACGTACTTTTTGACCGGAAAGAGGCGGAGTACCTCTGGAGGGATAAACTCGATGAACTGAGAAAAGAGGCTGCCATATTTCGCCGGGCCGAAGTCAACACAGAAAAGGAGCAGGTCGAGAAAAAGGAGCCGGGACCGGACACATCACCAGTTGTGGATGATGAGGTTGAATATCTCCTAGGGGACATGTTCCAGGATCAAGAGCCCTCTCTAGAGTTGGGTGTCATCACAGAAGAGTTGAACAAGGCATCGATCGCGACCAGGGACTTTGGCAAGTGGACAGGCCTTAGTCCTCGCCGTGTGCTGGAGGAGTCGTGCAAGGCACGGTATGCACATCCCCCGTTCCGTGCACCCCCGCCGTGACTCGTGCTGACTATCGCAGTGACTCTGGGTGTAAAGTTACCTACAAAGACATCTCAACCGCCTCGTATCTGAATCGGATGGCACTTGAGGTGAGATGGTCAAAGCCACAGGAAATGCCGCCTCCTTTTGCAAATGATGCAGTCACACAAAAGTCTACCTCATATGCCACATTTGTCTCTATGGATAAAATAGCTACGCCAACATCACAGCAAGCTGAAGCCTACGCATCCACCTTTGCCCTTTTTATCCTATTCCCCCAGAACTCGAAAGAAGGCAAGGCTTATATGCGTCTGCCTGCGGCGTGGAGAGATCTTTGGACGGAATTCTCGAGTGCAAAAAAGGTGCAAGATGACGATGCTGACAAACAGATTGTAAAAGATTTGAGGAAGCTGATACAAGAGAACCATGGCGCATTCGAGGACGATGTCGTACTGTCTGACAACTTCCGCAAGAGGAACGGTACGCCCAGGAACCGTTCCCCAGTACGAGCGGGTACAAAGGATGTCTCAGGAATCAATGAGCAGTTGGCTCGGATCTGGATGGAGAAGTCGTCCACGCCGGCCTTCCAATATATGGTCCAAGGCCGAATGAATCTGCCTATTTGGGAGTTCAAGAATGAGATTCTCAGCACGCTCGATAGCCACCGTGCACTCATCATTTGCAGTGAGACCGGAAGCGGTAAAAGTACGCAGATTCCTTCGTTTATTCTTGAGCACGAGATGATGTCAGGCCGTCCGTGCAAGATCTACGTTACCGAACCACGGCGTATCTCCGCCATTTCCCTCGCGCGCAGAGTAAGCGAGGAACTGGGAGAAAGCAAGAACGACGTTGGAACGTCGCGCTCGTTGATCGGTTTTGCCGTTAGGCTAGAAAGCAAGGTCAGCCAAGCAACGAGACTGGTATTCGCGTATGTCAACCAATCCTAGGGAAACTGGAATAGGCTAACAGAAGCAGGACCACCGGAGTTGTAGTGCGGATGCTGGAGCGTCCTGACGACTTCCAAGACATTACCCATGTCGTCCTCGATGAAGTACACGAGCGTTCCATCGACAGCGACTTTCTTCTTATTGTCCTCCGGCGCTTAATGCAGAAACGGCCGGATCTAAAGCTGATTCTCATGTCTGCGACGGTTGACGCTAACCGCTTTTCCACGTACCTTGGCGGTGTTCCCGTGTTGAATATCCCTGGACGAACCTTCCCGGTCGAGACGAAGTTCCTCGAGGATGCAGTGGAGCTCACGCAGTATCGAACGACCGAAAATGAAGCTAACGTAACCTACGATGAAGATGAAGACGACGTGGAATCCGGTCAGGGTGAGCCCAGCGGAGTCGCGGCGACGCTGGAAAGCTATTCCAAGCAAACACGAGAAACTATTATGAACTTTGATGAATACCGAGTTGATTATCAGCTGATCAAAAGGCTATTGATGAAGCTTGCGACGACCCCGGAGATGGAATACTACAGCAAAGCCATCCTAGTTTTCCTTCCCGGTATGGCGGAAATTCGTCGGCTGAATGACGAGCTATTGGCAGAGCCGACGTTCCAGCAAGGGTGGATTGTTCACGCTCTCCACTCTTCAATCGCTAGCGACGAGCAGGAGAAGGCGTTCGTGGTGCCTCCGGAGGGCATGCGGAAGATAGTCATTGCCACCAATATTGCAGAAACGGGTATCACGATTCCTGATATCACGGCGGTCATTGACGCGGGCAAGGAGAAGACCATGCGGTGGGTACCAGCGCGAGACATAAATGGCAGAAAAAAGCTAATTGAGTAGATTCGATGAGCGACGCCAACTATCTCGACTAGTAGAGGCGTTCATCTCACGGGCAAACGCGAAACAGCGACGTGGTCGCGCCGGTCGTGTGCAAAGGGGTATCTGCTTCCATATGTTCACGAAGCACCGCCATGACAAACTTGTACGTCAACGTCCCCTTGTTCCCACAAATACTGACCGATTAGCTGGCCGAGCAACAAACCCCCGAAATGCTCCGACTTTCCCTGCAGGACCTCGTCCTCCGAGTCAAAATCTGCAAGCTTGGAGAGGTTGAGCCGACGCTCCTCGAAGCGCTGGACCCGCCATCCTCAAAGAACATCCGACGAGCGATCGACGCACTGAAGGAAGTCAAAGCCCTGACAAGCACGGAGAACCTTACCCCACTAGGACAACAGCTGGCCAAGCTCCCACTGGATGTGTTCCTCGGCAAACTCATCATCCATGGCGCGTTCTTCAAGTGTCTCGATGCGGCGATCAGCATCGCTGCGATCCTGTCATGCAAGTCGCCGTTTGTGAATACCATGGGCTCGAATTCTCAGAAGGAGGCGGTCAGGCTTGGGTTCAGACGGGGTACGTTTCTCCTTCAATTCCTATCTACCTACGGAGTAGCGTGTAGGATTTGAATTAATGCGAGATGCAGGTGACTCGGACCTACTGACGGTTTACAACGCATACTGCGCGTGGAAACGCACCCGGGGCACACCCGGCGCGAACGAATATGCATTCTGCCGGAAGAACTTCCTCAGTTTGCAGACGCTGCTGAACATCGAGGACGTCAAGCTCCAGCTCATGGTCTCGATTGCCGACGCGGGGCTGATCTCGCTTGATGCGGGCCAGAAGGCTTCTCTGAACCGGTACGCATATCTACCCATTTTCTCAATCAGAGTAAAAAACTAACGAGGAGGAAAAAGCGCCCGCTCCACCCGCCAGCGCCACTTCTTCGAGACCCCTCCGGCCTACGACACAAACAACGAAAACGACACGCTCATCCAGTCCGTCGTCGCCTGGAGCTTCTACCCCAAGCTCCTGACGCGCGAGGGCAAAGGATGGCGCAACATCGCCAATAACCAGGCCGTCACGCTGCATCCGACATCGGTTAATAGAGTCCCCTCCGCATCTGCGGATAAGCCGCCAAGCGCCAGCCAGTACGTAAGCTACTACCACATCATGCAGGGGCGGAATAGGAACTACAATGCGTTTGAGACGACGGTTGTCGAGGACTGGGCGGTTGCGGTGCTTTGTGGGGAGGCGGATTTCAAGGTACGTGCCGGCACCTATTGTCCCTAACCCCATGAATATTTTTTCTCCCTTCCCCGTCCCACTTAGGCGATCGAAACTATTGAAACTAACTGGATGTAGTTGTACCCGGGCATCCTCTCAATCGACACAAACAGACTGCGCTTCTCCCTCCGCGACTGGAAATCCATGCTCGCGATGAAGATGCTCGCCACGCGGATACGGGAGATTCTCGCCGGTCACTTCCGCGACCCGCAGGTGCCGCTGTCGTACAAGCAGCAGAAGTGGATGGAGATCTGGCAGGGGATTTGGGCGGCTAGGGTGTAGAATCTTGTTGGAGGAGGTTATCTTATACATACATAGACAGAAGAAGAAAAGAATTAGAGATGCGATTTTGAGAGGATCTGTGGTTTCGTGCTGTAGGTGGAACGGTAGGTGTCTAGAGCTGGATCAATGAAGCGATCTGTATTTATATCTAAACTGAGGGAGTGATTATCTACCTAGATTTGAACATAACGAAGAGAATTCTTGATGTCTACCTAACCGAATCGATATATTGCCTGCATTCTAGAAGAACCCCAAAAGAACAAAAGAATCACCCCCAAACATCCTCCTGCCACTTATTCCTCCTCTTCAAACCCCTCACCCACTCCTCCGCCTCCCTCTCCCCCCAGTCCCCCTCCATCTCCGCCAAAAACGCCGTAACTCGTCTCTCAACCTCCCTCGCCATTCCCGCCCTTCCACAAATATACAAGTTCCCCCTGTCCGCAACAAGCATCTCCCTGACCTGCGTCTTCCACTGCGAAACCCGGTCCTGGACATACGCCCTCTCACCCGTCGGCCCATATCTCGAAAACGCGGTCACGATGCGAAGTTTCCCGCCAAATACACCTTCCATCTCCTGCAGCTCGTCTCTGTATATGTAATCTTCGAGTGGAGACCGGCATCCGAAGAACAGGAGCATGTCGCCGACCTCGCGGCCGATCTTGAGGAGCTGGCGGCGCTCGGCGAGGAAGGCGCGGAAGGGGGCGAGGCCTGTTCCGGCTGCGATGAGAAGGAGGGGTGTTGTTTGGAGGCGGGGGAGTTTGAAGGGGGAGCGGCGGAGGTGGGCGAGGATTTTCTTTTTCGTCTTCTCGTTTTTGGGTGGTGGGGATGAGGAGCCTGTGGTGGGTGGGAGGAGGGTATTCGTGTATGTTGGGAGGATGGAGTTGAGGGACTCGGTTTGCGGGCTGTCGGCGAGGGAGAGGAGGTATGTTGATGTTAGGCCTGGGATTGAGACGGCGGTGTTGTCTTGTAGGGGTGTGGAGAGGACGAGGACTGTAAGCGAGATCTTTCGTGGTGAGACGACGCTGCTGCTGGAGATGGAGTAGTAGCGTGGTTGGAGGGGTGGTAGGGTTTCGAGGATGTATGTGAGTGGGAGGGAGGTCCATTGCTGCTGGTTGGTGGATGAGGCAGCGAGGACTCGAGCAAGTGTGAGGTGGTTGCGGCGGGTGAATTCTGCGTAGGATTCCTTGTTGTTTGCCAGTTCTGTCAGGAAGGTCTTTGCCTCGTTTGTAGGGGCGAACGGGGCCAGGGTTGCGAGGATGTCGCGGGGCAGTTGGGCTGTGATTTCGAGGTAGTGGCGGAGGAGGACGAGGAGGGTTGTTGGGCTGGGAACTTTCTTTGAGATGTCCTCAACATCTGCGCCTTCGATGCTGACGATTGAGATGGGCGTTTCGGCTTCGTGGGTGCGGCCGAGCATGTGTAGGAGGAGATCGACTTCTTCGTCGGGGTTCGACGGCCAGACGGCGAGGTGGTCGCCGGTCTTGTAGACCACATCGGGCGTCGAGGAGATATCTAGGTCGATGTGCAAACAGTGTCTGTCAGAGATAGGCTCGAAAAGCTGTCTAATGCCCGAGATGGGGATGGGGACCGGGTTCGGCGAGTGTCGTGGCTCGCCGCGGTGAAGGGCAGACGGATCGATGGCCTCATCCGTCTTGATGGAGATGGTAGGCTGGTAGACAAGCTCCGACTGCGTGAAGCCTAGACTCTCACGGAAAAAGGCAAACAGCGTCTCCTTCCACGAGATAAAGTCCTCCTGCGTCGAGCCGGTGGCATCGTTTGCCCTCGACACAGGAAGCAGCGCATTGGCTCCATGGTCATCAAGCACCTCCACAACACGATCGATAACTCGGTTATAGAACTTGTAGTTTGAGTTGCCGAGCCCAAAAGCAAAGTACCGCAACCCGGAAAACTGCTTCTGCTTCTTCTCCGTATTCCGGTCGTTGCTGTTTAGCCAGTCCCAGAACTCGACTGTGTTATCCGCAGGATCTCCCTCGCCGTACGTTGAGAGGATGAAAATAGCCAGCTTCGACGACGGAATCTCGGTAACTGAAGCGGGATCATAGTCACTCAGGTCCGCCGTGAGTGTGTTCTGTCCGAAGCGCAGGGTAATCTCCCTAGCAAGTCTGTGAGCAAAGGACTCTGCGGTTCCAGACTGAGAGCCCCAGAAGACCACGATAGGTGAATTGGTCTCTTCCAGTCGCCGGGCGATGTTCCGCGTCTGCTGATTCTTGCTTGCAGCAGCGCCATTGCCGTGCTTTAACTGAGGACGTTCATAGAGGAGATGCCTGTAGGGGTCTGGCTGGTCCCAGAGGATGCCGCGCGAGAGAAACGTGGCTCCGACGAGGGAGAGGAAGGTCAGGGCGACGTAGTCGGTGGTGTTCGGTTGAGTCTGGAGGGTGAGAAGGGACGCCATCTTGCCGTTGACTCTGGCTTCTGGTCAGTTCTGGTTGTTGAGCAGCCATATTTATACCTTGTGACAGTATACAGTGTTATCAAACAAGGGGAATATTTCCCGATTGAACGCGGGGAGGGAATGCGGGGAAAGACAAAAGGAAATTTAGTCCGCTTGTCATTGCCACGCTGCGCCATGACTCGGGCTCGCACTGGTCTTGGTTGGGATCCAGAATCTGCTGCATTGGTGTTGGAGACTGCAACTACCAAACTTGAGGTGCCTCAGCGTGGCCATTGTTGACATGGCCACGCGGGGTCTCATACTCATTTGAATCTCGGTTACTGTTGGGCGATCCACGGTTGCTCAACTCATTTCCATGGAAATAGCTTACTGTAGAACTTCGATCTATGTAGCGGCATTGCTATTCGTCCGGTTTCTCAGCCCATACTCAAAGCGAAGGGAGTGATATTCCACTGTGAAGGATGGCCGAAATCAAGGAAGGCGATGTAAGGGACTACCTACAAGTCCACTTGACTTCAAGGCTAGAGGAACAAGACATAAGGTAAAAATGTACTAGATTCAACCAGAAACGCTAATCATATCCCGAGCTCATTCAAAACATCACAGAAGAGAAAAAAGTCTAGTCTACCAAAGAATCCTCTAAGACCAAGAATCCTAATACCAAAGGCCCAAGACCAAAGGAACCCAATAGCACTAAGCCTCACCCAACTCCCTGCGCCAAACCTTAACCGGCATTGGTCCCAGAATCATATTCATCGTCTCCTCCCTCTGCAACTCCCAGCTCCTACTCGGCAACGCAAACTCATATCTCCGCACCAGTGTCGCCAGAATCACCGTCTGCTCCAGGTACGAGATATTCCTTCCAATGCACGACCTCGCGCCTGCGCTGAACGCAACAAAGTACGGTTGGAGCGCTTTTCCCTCCTCGCCGAGCCACCGCTCAGGCTTGTACAGGTGAGCCTGTGGGAATGCGCCCTCGTCGCGGTGCGCGACGTACGCGGACATGCTGACGGATGTATTTCCCGGCACCCACTGGCCGAGAATCTCCATTCCCTCTGGTGGAGTCTCGCGCGGGAGGCCGTGGGAGGTGGGCGGGAAGATGCGCAGGGACTCGTCGAGGCAGGCGCGGAGGTAGGGGAGGTGCTTTACTTTGTCGTAGGAGGCGACGACTTCGTCTTCGGTGTCGTAGACGGAGTCGATTTCCTCGCGGAGGGCCGCGAGGCACGACGGGTTGCGGAGGAGCTGGTACATGACGTTTGTGATGGCGATGGCGGTGGTCACAGAGCCGGCGTTCATCATGATATTGATTTCGGCGCAGACCTCGCCCCATTCGAGGCCGAGGGCGTGGCCGGCTTTGTCTTGCATCATGGCGGAGAAGAAGTCGTCGAGCTTTTCGCCGGCTTCGTAGCGTCGGCGCCGCTCCATCGCGTGGTGCCAGACGATGTCTTCCCAGGTGTCGCTGGATCTCTGCATGCGGGCGAAGTACGGGATTATGTTAGCCCAGCGGTTGATGATTGGGTACCAGTCGTAGTTCCAGATGAGGAGGGATTGTTTGCGGGCGTTGGGGTAGAGGGCTTCGCGGAGCGAGGCGCGGTAGGTGGTGCCGTCCTTGCGTTCGGCTGTGCACTCGTCGTGGCCTTGGTCCAGGAAGCCGAGTTTCAGGCTGAGTCCGATGTCGACAATGGCGTCCAGGCTGAAGAAGTTGGTCCATGCTCGGAAGTCGACAGTGAGGTCGGCAGGGTTGGGCTCTTCCTGGCCAGCAGGGAGAGGGGCGGTGCAGACACTGTCAAAGTGCTTGACCAGGCGGGCGATCTTGTCGCTGACTTTGTGCTCCCATGTCTCGAGATTCTTGAGGGCGTATGCGGAGGAGAGAACCTTGCGTTTGCGGGAGTGGTCCGCCCGGTCGATAACGTCGGCAAGGTGGTAGTGAGAACCAGCCGAGATGATGTATGACGGGTCCTTGCCGCAGCGTGTGTTATGTCCGTAGATATCCTTGATGGCGCGAACGTCGCCGTAGGAGAGAGTGTTTGGGCCGGTACGAAGGACGGGGTGCTTTTGGTGAAGCTCTTGGAGCTCTTTTGATCGGAACTTGCGCGATGCCATCAACATGAAGGGAATGGCGGAGATGCCAGAAAAGAAGGACATGTTGGGATACCTCCGCAGACCTAACACCGTTAGCAACAGTCATTCACGACGTCGAGATGTCATACCCTTTGGGTCTCGGAAGTATTCAAAGACAGGCCATATCACAAAGTACACCAGCACCAGGAGACCGGTGATAGCAGCATAGGTGAGCGTAATCATCTTGACAGCGATACTTGACGTCAAGATGCCTCTGTTCGATGCCAAATGTTGACTCTCGACCCCTCTTATAGCTAGATATCTCGCTACAAGCGGGCCAAATTGCCTCGATGGGAGGCGGGGAGAATTGCCACTCCCAGCTTCCCCGGCATTTGATCATCGGAATCCAGATTCAGTCCGTGCATTGTGGAGGTTCCCCCGCGCGGTTCTTCATACTACATTCTAAGGGTCGCCCAGGTCAGCTGCCCCTTGGCCTAATTCAAGATTGCGGAGTTGCTTACCTGCTTTCTGCTCCGGCCCTCTATGCATGCACCTTCATACAGTCAGCCAACCCCCTGCACCTGAACCTGCAGTCCCAGTCAAGGAAACCCAGCGCAGTCCAGTTCGAACTACTGAGTACATAGTACATCTACATGTACGTCAAGAATGCATAGGCGTAAACCAAACAATGTAGTAGATAGCTCGTAGGAAATTCGTCTCATCATGGTCATAAATAAAGCCGGCCGCATTGGACAAGCAAAGGCGGCCCAAAAGCGGAGATGGCGACTTCAGAACGCTGCACCAGAAACAAACCCAGAATACATATCCTTTTGCAAGTCATCACGCAACTTTATGGCCATAATCCCATGATAAACCTCAACCATGCCAGGACCAGAGGATGTGTCCCGGTCATGTCTAACTTCCGTGCGGCGAGAGTAAGCAGAATGAGTAGCCGAGGCACCATCCCGGATGCTCGACAATGCCAGTATTCTATTAGATAAAGAAAATCCACAATGCACCCCGAGAAGAGATTGAAACCGTAATCCAACAAACCTTTTCTTGCTCCTGTCCCCTTTTTTTTATCTTTATTACTTCTGTGTTCAACGACGAGCACTGATCATGCCGCCGCCCGCCTTCATTGGCTGCAGCCCGAGAGGAACACCACCGACAGGACCACCGACGGGAGTCTCGGTCAAGGTCTTGCGGCGCTTGGTTTCGTACTCGCCCCGGCTGTCCGGTCTGACAATGCGGTCGTCATCATCGTCGCGCATACGCTTGTTAGAACCCATGGACCCATTCATTCCCGTTGAGTAGCCCGAGTTGGTCGCCACAGAGTAGTTATCGGATGTGGTTCCATTCGCGCCGGACGTACCCCGCGTGTCACTGACAATGTTGTACAGGCTGCTGGCAGCTGCGGGGCGAGGGGGGGTGGTGTATCCCGGCGCCCACTGAGGAGCGGCACCACTCGTACGAGGGGTCATGCGTCCAGAGCCGTTTTGTTGAGGAGAGCCCGTCATGTCAGGTGTGAGCTGGGAATGGTCGCCGGCAAGACCGCCAACCGAGGGGTTCGTGGTGTAGTATGAGCCGCGGCCAGTATTGTATCCATTGTCTGGCTGAGCATACTCCGGTTCCTCTGGCTCCGTCTTGGCGACATTGCCTTCTGCATAACGTTCCGTCTTGACATCGGTATCAATTCCGGCTATAGAACCACGCTGGGATGAGGGTGGCGCCATGTCACGGTACGAGCTTGTCGGCACGGAATGGCCGTACGTTGCCATGGGTTGCTGCGGCAGTGGTTGTTGCGCGGCGTACTGAGGGTGCGCGGACGGGGCTGCAGAGTAGTACGGCTTTGAGTCGTAGCCAGAGTGGGGTTGGTATGACTGCATCCCGTGCATGTTGTTTCCTGGTGGCGTCGTAGCAGGAGTGGTCGGCATTGATCGTGCATTGCTCAAGCTGGTGTCAATAGACAGAGGCTGGGTGTTGGGAACCCCCGAGTTCATCCCCTGGTTCCATTCGTAAGAGTTACCTTGACTTGTGATTCCAATCAGACTCGAAGCACTTGCGGGTGGGGTAGGAAATGTGTGGGCGCGGTCAAGGCCTGGCCGGCCTCCGGGTTGGGACATGTGAGAGGGAACAGGTGTCCCAAGCGAGTGGTGGTGGTGAAGACTAGGTGGTTGCGAGGCTTGGGGAGTGCGAACAACAGGTTGGGGCCCTTCAAGTCGTCTGGGGTCTTGCACTCCCGCCATTTGCCGTTCTCTCTGATTGGCCGGGTGGTACAGCAGGTTGCTTATGTGGTTAACGAACAGAGGGTATAACAGGTCTGTGATCTTCTCCTTGTTGGCGAACTCCAACGCGCGATCGAAAGGAATCCTAGCTAGATCAGCCACAGCTTTGGAGAATAGATTGGCTAGAGAACTTACCACACGCCCTTCAAGTGCATTGGGCCAATCTTCACCACGTTTCGAACTTTTTCGCTCTTGAGTATACCATCTCTCCGACCTCGGGTCATGCCCGCAACGTTCAGCAGTTTCGTGCCGTTGATCATACCGTTATCTGCAATCTTATCTTAGTACAAGTCTACGTCGGACGAATTTTAGTCTTACCTTCTCTTCGAGCAACGCATACACCCTTAGCTTCTACTTGATAGCACAGACTGCCTTCGTCTTCCCAGAGGGTCGCGGTAACCCTTGGTTTGGCACCCGGAGGCGCGACTTGCCCTGTGGGATCGTAGACATGTCCTTGCATCGGCATTCCACTGGTGTTTCCATATCCGGAGGTGGGGACAGAGTGGTTGGTGACTATAAAGTATTAGCATGTGCCGCTGACTAAACGTTGATAAACTCACCAGGCAGAGGTAGTAATTGAGGGGGCACTTGACTGCTTATTGACGTCGTCGGCGGCGGAACTGACTGGGATGATGCTACACCGTTGGGGTAAGGGTACTGAGAGTAAGAACCGGCGGGCCCGTATGCAGAAGTAGGTTGTAGTACAGGAGGTTGTTGCGTGTACTGGTAATGGGTCAATGCTCCAGCGGTTGCAGGATGAGACGCATACGGCTGTCCGGACGACAGATGCGAATGCACATCCATGTACGGTTGAGGCTGGTTCATGCTGGCCATCTGCGTGTGGTTGGGGTAGTAGCCCTCAGTGACTGTGTGCTGCGGGATGCTGTATTCCTGCGAGGCAGAGGAGTCCAGCGAGAGTCGGGGTTGGGTACCGGCCGGTAGATCTGCGGACGACGGCGGCGGACTCCTACCTTCGTAGACAGGCGCGGATCCGGACAGGCTGGTTCTGGCGCTGCTCTGGTTGGAGGAAGCCGGCGCGTCTTCGTAGCTAGTCCGGTAGGACTGGCCCGAGATCGGCGGCTGCGAGGCCGTCGGGATGCTTAAAGCCGGGAGTCTGTCACCAGACAACAGAGGGCGCTCCGCGGCGTGGTGGTTATACCAAGGGATATCAACAGGACCTCTGGTGTGGACCTGGGAGATCGACGGCAGCTCCAGCTTTTCGGTTTTGCGGGGGGTGAAGATCTAAGAAAATGAAAAGAAAGTCAAGGCGAGGCAACGTCAGACTCGAACAAGATCCAACGTTTAATAAGGTCCTGAGATGTTGTTTTCAAAATATCATGAGATAGGAAAAAGGTTGGAGTCGACAATGACGGAGAGAGCTTCGCAGCAAATATGCAAAAGAGGTCGTTTCAGGATGCAAAGGCCAATAACGCAGAGAAAAAGGCTCCAATAGGCAATGCGAAAATGCAAGGAAGGGCAATCGTGAGCAAGCTTCGTGAAACGTCGTAACCCGTAAACAGCGCTGGAGATTGCAGACAAACGGAGTCGAGAAATGGGCTGCAGCTGCTGATAACTATCTACATCCGAATGATTGAGGATGGACCGCAACGGAGGCGAAAAAGGGTTCAGTTCGGGACGTCAACGGCGGCAGCGCGGAATCATGGGTCTCGTTTCAGGTCGTAAGAACGGAGCGGGGCAAGGGCGACGCGAGGTATGTAGATTGGAGCAAGACAGCGTCTAGAGCGCGAAACAGGTGGCAAGCAATGATATGTATGCGTACTGCAGCGAATTTAAAATCAGGCTCGTACAAGAGTCGTAACAGGTCGTTAGCAGGTCGTTGGGTTGTGGCGGCCAGAGATGGAAGCGCGCGGTCTAGAAGGCGGATGTGAGCTGGGGGGTCATTACTCGTAGCAGGCACATTGAAGAGACGAGACGAAAAGGATGAGCGACGAGAAGCAGCCGGAACGACGCGAGTATGTATAAAAGGCGTCAAACGAAAGGGATGACGGAGGCGGAGCAGGGAGAGAGTAGGAGGCCGGTGGAGAAGAAGAAGGGAAAATAGAAGACCGAGAAAATGGGAGGAGGAAAAAGAAAAAACAGCGAAACCTCAAAAGGTATCCAGGCGGTAACAGACAGAAACAGTTGAAGAAGTCAAGACTAAGAGCGTGTGCAGGCTGCTGCAGCAGCAGCAGCAGCAGCAGATCATCGGAGTGGACTCAGTGGAGAGCGTGAGGAGGCTGGGACAGCAAACGCAGGCTAAAGAGGGGAAGCTGGCGCTGGCGAAGGGACGGAAGGCTGGAGCCCTTGAACCCAAGGTTGATGATGACTTACTTCTGTATAGGCGAGCAGCACGTGTGTCTCTGTCTGGGATCGGAATGCCAGAATGCAGAAATCAGAAAGCTGCTGCAAGGCAATTGCTTGCCAGACTGTCTCTGCCGCTGCTCTTAAGATCGGGGAGGCGAAAGGGAAAAGGAAAGAAGCTTGGTATCTTGCTATAAACGAGGATAAAATACGGCCAAGTGAAAATTGCAGTAGTGGAGCGGTGCACAGACGGGCAGTGTATCGTCGCCACGAAGCAAGGACCAGCCCCGCCACGATGTGCAAACAGTGATCTGATTAGGACAAATAATCTGACTGCTATCGAACCATGGATGGCTCTGAGCTAACCTGAGCTAAAGCGCTGTCACCGATCCAGCTGTAAGTCATCGATCGGTGGATCGTACGGAGTATCAGCCATCACCATCACGCTCTTCTAGAAGGCTACAGCAGAGAATCCTGGGTTTCTGGCCTACGGAGTTCTCTGTATCGACCCACTGCCCTAGCAGAACCACGGACCAGCACGGGCATAGTTCGACATAAAAACATAAATCTACTCGTACGGAGTAGTATACGAAAGAAATGGCGGTGACTGGGCAAGGAGTCTGGAGATGACAGGGAGAGGAATGGTCCTGTAATAATACACATCACTAAGCGACCTAGCTTGGTCCTAGATCCGGTGCTTTTCCCTCTCCTTTCTTTTGAGAAGCCCCGAATCGAGCGTTGATCCTGTCTGATCGCCGACTGCCACAATCCTTCATTAATCTAGTAAATCTACGCTCTAGAGCAACTAATCTCGAGCACTCCCAGTACAGTCCTCTGGTGATCTCGGCATCCCCGTCTTTTATTCTCTACTTCTGCGAGATTGGCAAAAGAACCAATGCACGCACGCGGGAACAACCAAGGAGGTTGCACAACCAGAGGAAGTGGCAGGGATGCTCGTAGCAGCAAAGAAATCGGGTGGTCCAGAGTGCTCCAGCAAAACTGGTGGCGGCGATCTTAGCCAGCTGGCCAGTCAAGGCCCGGTCCCGGTGGCTGAAGAGTAGAGAAAGTCGTTGATTCTTCACGGTAGCATGCTGTTGAACTTCTGTAGAGAGCTTCTCCTCCCTTTCTCTAGCTTGGAGATTAGACCTCCAAGGAGTCTAGGGGAATAGACCTGTCATTACTGCTGGGTACTGGCCAGCCCCGGTGAGCGCGTGGCCGCCAGTGCTGTTCTGGCCAGCACCCAGCTTCAGCCTCTTCGTAGGTATCTTTCCAGCGTCTAGATGACCCCGCGCGCCGCACTATTGGCCTGCTGCGTTTCACGAGACCTACGTAGGTACAGCGGTAGGACATCTCGAGCGCTAAGCCTGAGGCAGGCAGCTGTATGTAAGTATGTATGGCTTACTTGCGTACATATGTGCATCTATAGTACTAGCCGAGTCTATCTGGTTATAGTATGAACCGGTTGACATCAGTTTATTCCAATACTATCGGCCATGGCTAATAATAATTGAGATGGATATGTACATCATCTTGTCTCGCTTCTGCTGGAGCTAGGCTAGGAGCTAGCTAGTCGGGCCAACGGCGTTGGCTCCCCCGGCTCACTCAGTCAGGTGTCCAGGATGACTCCCTGGGGATGTGATGTTATTTTCGTTCTTCGCAATACACTCTGGCTCTCCCTCTTCATCAAAATATAAAGAGCAGGCTCACCGCTGTTTCGCACTGATGGCTCTTATCTTAGGCTGTATGAATTGTCAGTTGCTCAAGCTGGCTGGAGGTGATAGGTCCGGAAGCTTCTGCTGCATCCTACCCCTTGCGTTTCGTCGTCCGTGCAGGCTGGGCGCTGGGCTATCCACGACTACCCCACCTCCGTGTCAGTTGATGGCAAGAAGACTACTCCAGACTCAACAGTCGGTAAGCACGACCCTCTTCATTCGATGATGGAGAGCCCGAAGGATCAAAATGTTTGCTTCACCTTCATACACTTGCTTTTTCTTATTGTCTTGCTGGTCTGTCGGTCCGGTCGGGTCGAGTCGACAATGCCTTGTCTGGCACCTCGCCTAGCCTGGGCGAGGGTCCGAGCATGCTAGCTAGCAGCAATCTATGACTCCAGTCTGGCTCCAATTTTCTCCAGTAAGCAGCGATCTTGTGCTCCGGCTATGCCCTGCTCGGCGCTGCGATGTCCTGTCCTGTCCTGTCCTGTCCTGCCCTGCTATGCCCATGCGACGCCGGTGCCGGATAATCTAGGCAAACATGACATGAACTCCTGTCAGCACCCATCGCATCGACCTGAACTGAAGCTATGACATGCTGCTGCTGCCGCTACGGTTATGCAGCAGCAGCAGCAGCCAGGCTGCAAGACTGAAGAATCGACAAAGCCACAGGCTGGCGGGCTGCAAATCATCGCCAGAGAGGTTGTCAAGCACACTGCACGGAGCGGGCCGTTCTTACGCACCTAAGTTTCCCCCAAGTCTGCTTCTTTGTCTTTCCCACCTCCCGTCTGCTCGCGGTCGCTGCTGTTAGTGCTCAGTAAATTGAAAGAACAAGGATCCCTCAGGCGCTACCGACGGCCCGGCGCCCGCAGCCGTCGTACATACAGCAGATCTTGCGGGGCTACTTTACCTCTCGTACTCTGCGTGTATTATATGACCGGACTAGCGAGTCATTGTTATTGAAAGACGAAGGAGACTGAATAATGCCATCGCACCGTCATTGGCACGAAGGCGGGCAGTCTGCCCCCGAAGGAAGAGACCAAGGCAGGCGGCTAACTGGAAGCAGGCATCGCAGGTGGCCCCGGTCCTGACTGGCCCAGCGGCTTCAGAGAGCTAGCAAGCGCCGGCCGGCGACGAACAAAGCGGGAAAAGCAACGATGGGCAGTGCCCGAGGCTAAAGCTCGCTGTCATAACAGTCACGGGATGTCGGAAGAGAATTGAGGACGAGACGAATTTGCAAAACAGATTGATTACCCTGGATGATCCTTCAGTCCTTAGCTTAGCCGCCCAGGGCCAGTGGATGACTGAGGTAGTTTGAGGATTGACAGCGCATAACCATCCACCCCATGCTACGACCCATGTCGATACCGGAAGCTCGAAAAGGCAAATCATTGGGTGTGGGCGTGGCATCGCGAGACAGGCCTTCAGTCACAGCGGGTTCTTTTCTCGGGGTTATTCCAGTTTGTGGGGCGGATCCATAATCTGTCATGATGGGGCTGACTTGTGAAAATGAAATCAATATGAACATGAGCAGAAAAATATGACTGGTGCCGGAGATTGGTTTCTTCATTTTGAGATCACTTCCTGCGGTGGTGAGCATTTGCTGAATTGAGAAGGACTGCTGAGCCCGGTCAGCAATTCGTCGCGCGTTATTCGACGGCGACAACCCCGGGCAATTTCAACGAAGTGAAAAGCTCGACTCGACACGAACAAACATGACTCGTCTTGATTCCTTTTGTTACGGGACTGCAGTGGAATCGGCTGTACCTGCAGCCCTCCTGCAGAGCCTCAGTCCCTACATCGACTTATACTCTGTCTGTCCAGACATACATATCGCATGAGCTTGATTCAAGCTCATACAGTAGCTGTTAAGATTGCCACGGGGATGTTGAAGATCATGCGTTTCTGCACTGTTGACAGCTGCCGACCCTGGCCCAGCTTCCCCTAGCTACTTTTCCCTAGTCCCTAGTCCTACTAAGGCAACTCGGGCAAGTCGCAACAGGCGATGGACTAGAATCTGTCAGCTGCAAAGATCTTCACCTCTACCCCTGCGTTGTACCCTTGTCTGTGCGACCCAAGGTCGTACTTTTGTTCTATTTGAATGGGAAATGGTCCCCGGGGATCCATGATACATGTCCGATTCAACCATCAGAGTTTGCATCGCTTATGCTGTGCAACCTCTGCACTTTCTTTTTTTGCGCGCTTCTTTACTCCGGGAATTTGCGATAATCGATCTCCGAAGACAAGGCAAAACTGACGAAGCAAAACGACGGCGGCCTGTCACTGTGGATTGCGACTGTGAGTGCACTGTGGGCACGGGGAGGGGACGGTAGACCGGCCCTAAGATTCAGTAAGCGCCGACTCATATCGCGTGTCCAATGGTTGCCTTCGTTTCCTTCGTCATTTTGCCGTTGAGGTCTCATCCTTGAGCATCCTCGAGGCAACTAGACTAGCTAGCTGCTAGTTCAATACGGCGCAGTCGTACCTAAAGTTAGGTCCGTCGATAGTGAGATTTGCTGCACGCAGTAAATAACCTCACATTGCATTTCGATGGAGTGGCCGTGCACGATCCTGATCTCCGACGGGCAGGACTACTGTCTTACAGCGCCAGCGTCATCCGTAACTGCTCCGGAGTAATTGGAGCCACTGCTGCCCAGAGAGTCAGATGTGACATGACAAGCCATACTCCGTAAGCTCGGAGGTTCAATCTCCACTGTGATATTGAATCCATGACTGAAGTTTCGGTCGTGAAGAAGTCTCCGGCTCCATATTGGCCGTTCCGTTGATTCATGGATTTGCAAGGATCTGGATTCCTGGATGGGACGATGACGATCCTCCATCCACGGTCTGCCTGTCAGGTCGGTCGGAGATTACCCTCGTATTTTGTGTAACCACGTTGCCATGTTTGTCATTTGTCAATGACGGTGCCTATTATTGCCAATGATTTTGATGAGATGGGGGTTGGAATGGATGTTTGTTTCAGAGCTCAATAATCATTATCATGCCCACGGTCAAAGCGAACCTTCTCGACAAGAATAGGATACACTCTCCCCATCTGGAAAGAGAGCCCTTGCCCTTTCTTCAGTGCACGGACACTTAGTCTCCGAGATCCTTGGAGCAAAGGGAGCCCGGGCGATCCGTCGACTGGCCGGCAGAGCGACCACGTAGGCTGGTCTGGATCCACTCTCAACATTCACGATAACGCTCTTGTCTTGACTGGTGAGCAGGATGGGATATAGAGTGATGAGACAGAGAAGAGGGAGGGAGTCTAGTCAGCTGCTGACAAGCCCCTCTTCTTTGCTGAGTCTGTGTGGTCCGGTTCTCCCTCAAGGTTGACCAGGGAGGCAAATCCCAGATTGACATCTGACAATCACGGGACTTATCCTGAGATTTCTTCGATCCTCGATTCTCGACTCTCGCGGCGAATGGATGGTGGATGTGTTGGCGCCGTCTCGGCCTATCATCCGCCCTCCCTCCACAAGGCAGACAATAACGAACAAGAAGAATCCATGTCAATCATTTCCTCGATCCCCCTTTTCTGTCGTCGTTCCAGCTTCGCCAGCTTTGCCTCGCCTCACTCACTGTCTTGTCTTGTCTTGTCTTGTCTTGTCTTGTCTTGTCTTGTCTTGTCTTGTTGAGAATTACCGCCTGTAATCTGTTACCTTACCAGGTCTCTTAGGTTGTTGGATATCGACAGGGACAGGGCCTGACAGGCTGAGGAAGATCTCGGAGCCGGGCTGGGCTGGGGCTGGCGGGCGGTTTCAGCTGCAGCGAGCCGGTGGTGCATATGCATGGGGATCTCTAACGTAAACTCTGCCCGGCCGATGGCGGGAGCTATCTGGATCCATGTAGCTGCCGAGTTTATACAATGTAAACAAAATTTGCTGAAGAGCAGTGTATCCATGATGAAGAACTGTCAAGGGGAAAGGCAGAGCGGAAAATATTTTTTCACCGCGATGCTGGAGTCCTGAAATATATACGTCATCCCCACAAATATATACCTACACATCTACACCATAGCTACAGAATATACCAGAAAATATACTATTAATGTATTGACTTGCGTTATCCAGGGTATAAGGTAAAGCATCTCTCATAATACATGCAAAAAGAAATTTAAGAAAAAAGGAAGGAAAAAACTAAGCAGCGAAATCGCGCACTGTATAGCTCGGTTTCCTCAACTTGTTCACCACCGGTGGTTCATCAAGCGGATACGGCGGTGCCGGTCGCCCGGTCGCAATTGCAGGTGCGTTCGCTGCATGCGCCGGATGAAGCCCGGGACTGTGGTTCGCGGTCGGCATGGGCATTGGAATCCCTCCTAGCTCTGCTGGATGGTCGTTAGGGTAGGGAATTGGTGTCTTTGGAGGAACAGGCGGCGGGCCTGCGTGTTCAGAACTGACGCGTGGCGAGTATGCTTGTGATGGCGGGCGGCTGGGTTCATTGGAGCTGAGGTGCAGGTCGCTGCCGGAAGAGCGACCGGGCGATGGGTGAATGGAGTCTTGAGGTGTTGGGTGCATGGGGAGTTTATCGTCGTTGGGTTGGAGCTGGATGAAGTCGCCGGGGAGTTCGGCGGGGAGTTCAAAGGTGTTTGCGTGAGGAGGAGGAGGAGCGCCGGGTGAGGTCGGCGATGTGACGGAGAGGCGAGGACTCGGTGCCAGCGAAGAGTGGTCGTCTTCCATCAGCGTGCTGTTGATGGGGTCATTGCCGGCCGCTGTGTGGGCAGCGAGACGGCGGTGCATGCGCTCGATTTTGGCGAACTTGACGCTCGCGTCCTGGATCATCTTCTTCACGTCCGGTCGGGAGAGGTACCGCCGTGTATTGGTGCTGATGTCTGCAAGACGGTGCCATTCGTTCATGCCGAACTCGCCGACGCCGACTTCGACGTTCAACCGGTAGTAGTTGTCTTTGCTGACACCGCGCTTGGGGAGGTGCTCGCGAAGCATGTCGTGGTGAATGTCCTCGCATCCCTCAATTTTGGAAATCAACCGCCGACGCGCCTCGGCAAAGGTACCCAGAGCATCCCCAAAGAAATCCTCCCACCATTCGTGCTTGCGGTTGTTCGTGTCTGGGGGACGTTTTCCGGTGCCGACACTGATAAACACCCCAATCTCTCGCCCCGGCCACTCGTTGACCACCGCTTCGTCCAGAACCTCCGGCGACGGATTATACGTGCCTGCACCCTCGTCGATGAAATAATGCTGTCCGATCTGGATAGGTTTAAACGCCAACCCCGTCGCCGACGTCGCACGACCAGCCTGCCAGATTGTACAAAGCTGCTCGGGCGCAGGCTCCTTGCGAGAATCGTAAGACCGCAACAACACAGAGTTCCCATTCTTCGGCGTGCCCCGATACAGCGCCGTCACAGCCGTCTTCGTCCGATTCTCCCGGTTATCATACAGCAGCGCATCCGGATTCCCCCAGCGCAACCCATTGATGAACGCCGAACTCCGATTATTCACTCCGGATTGCGTCGTGCTTACGCTCGCGCGACTCCCTGACCGCTGCGGGATCGACGCCGTCGAGAAATTCGGGCTGAACGGCGCATACGTAGGCGATGCAGGTGACGTGCTATCGTTTCCCTCGGCTTCGTAGATTGTATGTTCGCGCACACATTCCCGGATGGCCTCCTCGAGTTTCGAGGCCTTGAACAGCGTCGATCGGAACGGAATGCCCGCGAATGTCTTGTCTGTTTCAAATACCCGCCGCGTCATGCGCACGTACACATCTTTGCATGTCTCGAGGTCGAGGCGTAGCCGGCCCAGCATAAGCGCGATCAGGCCGCCCGTTCCGGTGCCGGCGATAAGGTCGAAGTAATCGCATGGTTTGGGAATCTGGTCGCGTCGCGGAGGACTGCCTTCGGTTTCGACGTAGATGCGGTGCATCAGTTCCTGGAGCAGAATGAGCATGGAGTATCCCCGTACGCCACCGCCATCTGTTTCATTTCAACGTTAGTTAGGTTTCGTATGAACTGGCGGGGGAGAGCCGTTACCGAGCGACAGGATCCGGAGGGGAGGACCCTTGGTGGTGTCTTTACGGCGAACTTGGTCCATAGCGATACCGAGTGTCGCGCAGAATATGAAGAATGAAGATGTATTCAGTCAGGCAAGATTGAGCCGGGCTGAAGAGGGGCAATGAAGTTGAAGTGGTGCAGCCAAGAATTGTTGCACAGCCGCAGCTTCAGGCGAGAGTTTGTCTCAGCTGGTGGCTAATTTTATGCCTTACTCTCACTACAACGTCACCAGGCAGCCAGATTCACACACTAGATTTCCAGAAAAGTCTTAACCTCACATTTACTCCGAGTAATCTACCGGTTCCTCTTAACTTCCGACAGAGTTCAGCATACTCAAGCCAATCCGGGCCAGTCTAGAGAATCAGTCAGCCACGTCGTCCCCAGGTTCTGCAGCGCTGCACCACCACCTCGGGGAGCTTACCGTAAATAGCCCGCTGCTCCATACCTCTCGCCACAACAACATCATCACCCACGCGAACCGTCTTGGACTCGGACTGCCCCTCCAGGAACCCATATCGCCCAAAAACGGGGCTGTACTTGGCTCCAGTATCCACCCTGCGATCGGCCATGAGCTTCTTCAGCACCTTGCCGGACTCGCCGGTGCCGAACTTCCCAGTATCATAATCTACATCCAGACTGCGACACCGCACACAGTTCGCCGTGAGCAGCAAGCGGACCTGGGCATCACCGATGACCAGCTCCGCCCAAAAGTCCTCTTCGAATGCCGTCTCTGCGCCCGATACGACAATGTTCGCGCGGAACTTCTTCACGTCCATCTCCTCGCCTTCCAACCGGCCCGTGACGTTCGCCACCGAAGTATCGGAAACAACCATGTACGGCGCCGTATCTGCAAACGTGATGCGCTCGTCTTGCGTAGACCGTCTCCTCAAGAACAAGAGAGACGCCAGAAGCCCACCCACGGCGACCGTCACGCCGACCACACTCGGCCGACCCAAACCAGCAGCCACAAAATCAAAACCAGAGGTAGACGTAGCCAGAACCGTAAATCCCATGTAGAGGACTCCCAGAACACCAAGCAGCACCGCCGCAACCAAACCCAAGTCTAAACCCTGTCCGCGTCTCTGGTCTTTGTGCGCGACATGCTTCCACGGCGCAAACGTCCCCAGCACAGCCCTCGAGTTCGCATCTCCCAAATATGCAAGCACGACATCGTACCCGAACCGCTCGCTAAACCACTGATTGTACTTGGGACCCATGTTATACCCCTTCGTCGGAGACCGGTGCATCACAACCGCCAGCTCCTCAAGACCCCTCGTGTCCGGGGTGAGCGGGATATCCAGGGCTTCTCCCTTCGCTGCATTACCATTCCCATCGGGAAACTGGTGCGTAACTCTAATCTTCCCCTTCTCATCCGCGCCGCCAGCTCCCGGCTCAAAGAGTTCCGTCTTGAACAGTCCCATTTCTGGGAAATGCGGGATATGCATGTTCTTCAGCGTTGTTTCGCCTGGTTTCGCGCCTTCGGATTCCGACGGGATGACTTTGAGGAGCATGAAGCGGCGGTCATGTTTAAAGCCGGTGCGGGTGACTTGCGCTGAGGAGATGGGGACGCCGCGGAGGGACTTTATTGGGTAGACGTAGATCTGGGTAGATTAGTTTTCTGCTTTGGTATGACGTTGTAAGGTCAAAAGGCGCGTTGGGAGTATTGTGCTGATTGTTGGGAATGCGGTCGCTGGCTGAGACGCGTACCTGGCTGATTTTCATCTTGTGTGTAGTTGAGATATATATTTCGGGACGGGGAGTAGTGATGTTTTGGTGTGCGGACGCGGGCAGATAAGTAAGAAGTTGTGACGGAAAACAGAGATGGTTCAGAACATCCTACATGCTCATCATGTGGCGGGACCGGCTTACTCGAAAGAGAGACTCGATGGGGAGGATCGAGAGCAGAATTGGAGTCTAGCCTGCATTGACGTGCTTGAATCTCTAGGGATATTTTCTTGGCAATATGTTTGCCTATCAAGTTCATTGGATGCAATATACTCCGTTAAGGTTAAGCTAGGGGTCATGTTGAACATAATACATAATCACTCTACTCCTTCGCCCATGGAAGACTAAAGGTACCGGCCCAATCCTCCACCTCCTGGCGTAGCTGTACAATCTCCGAGATTTCCTCGCCGTTGCCTACGTATTCCAGGAAAGCCTTGACTGTGTTAGGGTTCTTGACGCCCTTGGATGTTGCGCTTTCCTTGGCCGACTTGTCCAGCTTCTGCGTGATTGTGACTGCGCGATCGACAATATCCGCAACGCGACGGAAGTCCTCCGGTTGGAAACCACGAGTGGTCATCGCGGGTGTACCGAGACGAAGACCACCGGGCTTCAACGCCGACCGGTCACCCGGGACGGTGTTCTTGTTGCTGGCAACGCCGCAGAGCTCGAGCACGCGCTCAACACGCGCCCCATCGACACCGCGGTTCTTGAGATCCACCAGGACGAGATGGTTGTCCGTGCCGCCGGAAACGATGTTATAGCCCAGGCCGCCGCTGCTTGTCGAGCCACCGAGGCGCTCGGCGAGAGCCTTGGCGTTGGCCAGGACGGTCTCCTGGTAGCTCTTGAACTCGGTCGACTGCGCCTGCTGGAGTGCTACTGCCAGCGCGGTGATTGTGTGGTTGTGAGGTCCACCCTGGTGCCCGGGGAAGACGGACGCATTGATCGGACCTTCGAGGTCGTACATCTCCGCGTTGCCCTTCTTGTCCGTCTTGCGGACGCCCTTGCGGTAGAAGATCATGGCACCTCGGGGGCCACGAAGTGATTTGTGCGTCGTCGTAGTGACAACGTCAGAGTATGCAAAGGGGGAGGGGATGACGCTGGCCGCGACCAGACCAGATATATGTGCCATATCGCTCATGAGGTAGGCACCTGCATTGTCGGCAATCTGGCGCATGCGGGGGTAATCAATCAGCCGGCTGTAGGCCGATGTACCGGCGATGATGAGTTTAGGACGGTAAAGGAGGGCTTGCTTCTCGAGGGCCTCATAGTCGATGAGGCCTGTAGACTCATCCAAGCGGTAGGGGAGGGTCTCGAAGTATTTGGAAATGAAGGAGATCTTCTTTGTGGGAGTTTGGTATCCGTGGGACAAGTGGCCACCATGCGGCAGATCCAGACCCATTAATCGGTCGTGTGTGTTGAGGAGGGCGGAGATGGCATAAAGGTTCGCGGGTGATCCGGAGAGCGCTGCACTGTTAGCGAAGACCGTCGATGATAGCAAAAACAGACTTACGCTGGACGTTCACGCCCCAGTCATCCGGACTGAGGCGGAATGTCTCCAGGGCGCGCTGCTGACAGAGACGCTCGGACTCATCAATGTGCTCGTTTCCTCCATAGTATCTAGCTCCGGGATATCCTTCGGAGTATTTATCTGCGCGAGTCAGCACGATATCAAGGTATACCAGACTTGGGTCAACGTACTTTGCATGACACTGCCCAGCGCATCCAGTACCGCTTGCGATGTGAAGTTCTCCGAGGGAATGAGGTTGATGAAGTGCTGTTGGCGCTTTTTCTCCTACAATGGGTGAGCCATAGCCATGGAAACCGGGGGACGCGGTGGATGCACCCACTTTTTGAAGGATGTTATACACCGAGGGGTCAGCTTGTTCGAGCGGCGCAGAAAGCAACTATTGATAAGTCAGTGGCACATCTCCCAATTGCCTGTTCTGCGCTGAAATACCGATTGCTGGCCGTCTCTGGACGATGACACCATACGCTGCCATTGCAGTGAAGGCGGTCGGGCGGAGACAGGACGCGGGAGGAGGCGCGAAGCCTGGCGACCACAGCGGCCTAACATGGTAATAATGGACGTGGAGGGTATCTCTGGGGGAATTGACGAGGAGAAAGAGAAGAGGAGAAGTATAAGTAGATAGGAAGAGCCTGGAGTCTCCGCCGTATCGTCGGAGTCGGACAAGGTGACGTTGGTTGCCCGCGGGAAGTGATACACTAACCCCGACGGGGACTAGCATCCCCGACCTGGTCGGTGCGCGGAGAAAGGATGATCCAGCCGCGCGCACAAAAGTCTTGAACCGATTCTCAGGCTTGGTTTTCTCCTCATCACACAACTAAATCCAAGATGAAGAACGGCGTTATCTGGTCAGCTCTCGTGGATGTCCAGCTTGCTGGATATCCCGGGCGATGCGGCCATGTCCCCGCCTCTCACCATCCATAAGGGGCAAAGAACCATCTGATTGGAATTTGGAGTGTGTTTTCTTGACTGAACGTCCCCGGATCTTGAGGAGGTCGGAGCGGCGAGACGGAGGTCGCCGAGGATTATGGATATTGACAGACACTCTGGATAGTACAGCAGTAGTTGATTCCATATCAATTGTGAAGATAACTGATTGATCGTCAAGACTTGGACCGTCCCAGAGTAGACTTTTGGTGATCGTCTGCCTCTTGGTCTGGACTCCCACCATATACTTCGCATAGAGTAGTGACTCTAGTGAGTTGTCTGTCTACGAGTACAGTTCCCACCATGACAACAATGAAGTCAACGCTCGAGTGCCCGATGAGCTGGCAAGGATGCTCGTCTGCAAGGCACACGTTCCCTACAGGAGTGTACCTGTGATGGCACTTCGTGCCACTCTGACACATAGTAATAACACGCAGGGTGTCGGCAGACGCATGTCAAGTCGCACTGCAAGGGAGTAAGGGACTCGAGGCGACTATCGATTCAGGTTGCTGGGCGTGAACTCTCTTCAACAAAGCAATAGTAAGCACTGACTTTGTCAGGACTAGCGATAACCAAAAATGGTTCATGTGTCGCAAGTCGCCAACTGTTCGGGGGAAGAAGTGCCTTGGCTGTTCCGTGGTCCGCCGGCAATCAAACGGTTCCTGACCCAAGTCTCCTCTGTCAACACCTGCGCAGTAGGGAGTCAAATAGGAGTAAGGGCGCAAGGACTGCCAGTATACAATGTAGGGTCTGATGCAGTCTGGGCCAGATATGTATGGATCATTCAGGGAACGTGGAGGAGCCGCTCAGCCGACAGCCCCTGTCGACTCACTCGACAGCGTCCAATGCAGAGAAATTAAGATCAGAGCCCAGTCAAAGGGAAATTAGGCCGCTCGTGCCTCCACAAACAGCCCCTGAAGCTGCAACGATTCGGCTGCTCCAACCACGCTAGCCTGCGCTAGTCTCGCAGGCCCTGGTTCTTGCTGGTTCCTGCAGCACACTGACTCGACGGGCTCTGCTGTTTATATGAGACTCTCGCCCGGCCTCGCAGTCTCTCCTTCTTCTTCTCTCCAGCCCGTTTCTGCTCCATCTGCCAAACGCACTCGCTCGCTCCCGGTTTTATACCGATTCCACTCTTTTCTCAACGCCGTTGTTTATCAACACCACACTCTTTAATTTTCTCAATCAATCCACTCCTTCCACCCCGTCAAAATGAAGTTCTCCTTCGCTGCCGCTACCGCCCTTCTTGCTGGCGTTGCTGTTGCCGCTGTCCACCCCGGCTCCGACGAGAGTGCCGAGCAGTACACCACTGTCGAGGTCACCGAGTACACCACCTACTGCCCCAAGGCCACCACTCTTGTTGCCGGCTCTGAGACCGTCCCCGTTGAGACTGTACGTTGCATCTATCTATTTGGTTGCCTGACGACGAGCGCTAACAAAATGGTATAGCCCGGTGTTGTCACCCTCTCCAACGGCCCCTACACCGTGACCCGCCCTCTGCTCACCACCACCGTCACCCGCTGCAAGGCCTGGCATGACCACCCCTCTTCTCTATGCGCCTAAGATATCGTCTAACAATGTGACAGCTCCAGCTCCACCCCTACTGGCGCACCTGGCGCACCTTCCAGCTCCGTCCCCGTCATCCCCGCCCCCGTCGTCCCCACCAGCAGCGTTCCTGTCATCCCCGCCCCTGTTCCTACCGACGTTGATGCCACCGGTTCTTCCAGCACCACCCCTGCTCCTCCCACCTTCACCGGCGGTGCTAGCCGTGCTGCTGTTGGTGCCGGTGCCGTCGCTGGTCTCTTCGGTGTTGTCGCTGCCCTCCTCTAAGCGCATCGCGTTTGAGTGAGTGGGTGGGCGAGTGGACGGACGACAAAATGACAACGGTACCGCCACCAGACGGATCGTGTCTGGTTCGGTCTCGTCCTGAGCGAACTCTATGTGCAGTTGATTTTGACTGAGTTGAGTTGATTGATTGATTTGTTTGGTCGATGAATACGACAGATACCTATACCTTACTTCTTTCTTGAATCGCTTATTACATACCTACTTCTTGTACTTCATGACCGCACTTGACTTGGCTGTTTGTTTCATTGTGTATAAGCTAATTGGGTATATTAATGTTTTACGCTACCACTATCTATGACTATAGTAAAGAAATGTAAATATCTTTGTCTAGAAGAGTGAATACTATGGAGTAGATGGCCGTTATATAGTCGCCTCGGTACTTACAACTTCGCCTTAGGGCTTCCGTTCCCCCGAGCCGCCCCCAGAGTTTCAAAATACTCCCTAACCCTCCCCCTCGCAACCTCCACAACAGCCCTATCCTCCACAGTCGGCGGCACCCCAACCTCCCTATCGAACTCCCCCCTCGCCCCATTCTCCACAAGCTCCCTCAACACCCGGCGCAACGTCTTCCCACTCCTCGTCTTTGGAATCATCCCCTGGCCCCGAATCATCCCGCCCAGCGACGCAATCGCGCCGATCTGATCGCGCACAAGACGGTTCACGGCATTGAAGAGTTCGGCACTAGGTCGCGCGGGGAGATGCCCGTCGGTTTTCTTGAGCGATATGAATGCAAATGGTAAATGGCCTTTCAGGGCGTCCGGGATCCCGACGACGCTGGCTTCGCCGATGTCGGGGTGCGAGAGGATTGCTTGTTCGATGGAGCCTTTGTCTCCGTGTTAGCTTGTTGGGAAATTTGAGCATCGAGTGAGGCCAAATTACCTGTACTGAATCGATGCGCCGCAACGTTGATGATATCGTCTGACCGCGACATCACATGGATATACCCGTCCTGATCGATCATCCCTGCATCTCCTGTGTCCAGCCAGCGCCCGTTGAACCGCTCGAGGTAGCCTCTATAGAACCGTTCGTCGTCGTTGAAGAGGCGGGTGAACGCTGTTGGGGCCAGCGGCGTCGCCATGACGATGTTTCCCATTTTCCCTTGCCCGACTTCATTGCCTTCGTCGTCGACAACTCGCACCTCGAATCCTGGCATAGGCAAACCAGCGGAGCCAGGCCGAATCGCTAGAGGGGCGATGTTGTATTCGTCGGATTGTGGCGATTTTCGGCCCACAGCGCTTCGCAGCGCGAGTCCTGAGATGGGAGAGCCGGACTCGGACGACCACCAGTTGTCTACGACTAGAGCTCCAGGCGCGGCATGCTTGCTGAGGAGGTCTTGGTACACGCGCACGATGCTGGGTTCGCTGCGTTCTCCTGCGAGGAAGAGCCCTCGCAGGTGTCGGAGGTTACCCTTCCCAGCAACTTTCTCGAAGTGCTTGTTGTCTGGGTCTTCTTTGCGGATGGCTCGAAGCGCCGTGGGCGCAGTGAAGAGGACATTTGCCTTGTGTTCGGCGACGACCCGCCAGAATGTGCCTGCGTCTGGGGTGCCGACTGGCTTGCCTTCGAACAGCACGGTCGTGGCGCCCACCAGCAACGGGGCGTATAAGATGTACGAGTGTCCTACTACCCAGCCAATGTCCGAGGCGCAGAACATCGTGTCGCCCGGTCCGTGAATATCAAACAGGTATTTGATCGACAGGCTGAGCCCGACTGCATGTCCGCCTGCCTCTCGGACGACTCCCTTCGGTAAGCCGGTGGTTCCTGTTCGTCAGCAAGCGCATCAACCTCGAACTGGATGTTGACCTACCACTGGTGTAGATGATATACAGACCATCAGTGCTTTTGACCGGTACTGGCCCAGCGCGGATACCACGCATTCTCGCACTCTTCACCAGGCGGTTCCAGTTCCGTTGCCCGCCTAGTTTATCGGGATTATTCCATCGCAGCTGATCCCGTTGCCAGATGAGCACCTTCTCCGGCTTGAAGCTACTCGCTTCAATGGCTCCCTCCACCAACGGCCGATATGCGATAGGACCCTTCGCACCCTCGATCCCACACGATGCTGTCAGGATAGCCCGCGGCCGCGCCGCCTCAATGCGCTGCGCCAGCGACTTGGCCGCGAAGCCTCCAAAAACAGCCGCGTGGATCGCACCCAATCGAGCGACAGCCAGGGCGCCGATCAACGCCGCCGGTATCATAGGCACTGCCTGCGTCAACCACCAGCCCCTGGGATTCATCGGATGCAAAAAGAAGAGAACACATACTATAAATAATAACGACATCCCCCTTCCTCACCCCCTCCTCCACTAGAACCCCAGCCAGAACCTCAACCTCATCCAACAACTGCCGATACGTATACCTCTCCTTCTTCCCCGTCACCGGCGAGTCCCAAACGATAGCGACATTGTCCCCATTGCCATTGTGCACGTGCCGGTCAACGCAATTATACGTCGTGGAGATTTCGCCATCGGGAAACCAAGACCACGACCGGTGGCTGACACCACTAGCAAGCGTTTTCGTCGACCGACGAATCGCACGTGAAGGTTTGCGGTGCCAATGGAGCTGCTGCGCGTGGTGAGACCAGAAGGCCTCGGGGTCTTGGAGCGATGCGGCGTGGACGGCTTGCTGGGGGTGTGTCATTGTGCGCCTAGGTGTGTACGGATGCAGACACACAGGTTTCAGATGACCTGGAGGAAATAGGGGTGGAAATGGAGACCGAGACTTGGAAATTGGAGAATCAGCTGCCCCCCTCGCGTTCGGTATGGTATGCTCTGCTAAGCTCGGGACCTAGGTAAACGGCAGCACGGGGGCTGCTAGTCAGGCCGGCGAGTGATGCTATTCCTCACTGGGCGTACGGCAATGATCCTGCATTTAAGCAGGAAGGGATCTACGAGGGGTACAGCGTGGGCGACTGCCGTGCATGGGAAGAATAGGAGGGGATCGGGCTGGGGAAGAGACCATGCATAAGAAGCTTAGAGTTTCAGCATCCCGAGTCCAGCCGTTGAGGGGCAGCCGAGGGTCGGTAGAGCCAGGGAGGGATAGAGAGTCACTAACTTAGGTACAGCGCCAGGGTGTAGGGAGTGGCGAGCACACTGTCAGTGCTGGAGCACCGAGCACAGGGCAGCTTCCCCGCACCCGCGGACTTGCGTGGGGAATTCCGAGAAGCCCACTACGTCTACCACTGTCCACTACTACTCCGTACTCCAGCTGTCGGAAGTCCGGTTCCCGAACCTACTTTTGAGTGAGCGATTTGATTTGAATAATAAGCATCGTAATTGCTGCTACCTGGTAAATTAGGCGAGTGTCCCCAAGATTGTTATACATTCTATGTATTCGTATCATTGATGCGTAAGCTTCTATCGGCAATGCTGTACTCATCAATATTTTGGGTGCAAATGCTTCAAAATTCACAACTCAAAGCTTAGCCGTAGGGTATCATATCGCAATGCCTGCTAAACGGTCGACTCCTCTTCTCTTGAACCTGTAGGTCCTGTTCCCGCCGCTAGTGCCCCTCTGTCACGTAGTCAGTCGGCGAGTGTCGGGTTCGTCGCATCCGGCGTAGGGCGAGCGGAGAGACACGAAGACACCCAAGCCAGGAAGCCTCGGGCGAATGAGGATGGAAAGATGGGGAAATGAGGAATTGGGAAAAGGAAAATTCGAGAAATGGTACGCCAGAAGGGAGTTGATGGATATCGCCCCAGATCCCTAACCCCTTGAAACACATGGCAAGGATCCTCACATGTCCAGACACCTGCGATAGATTCGAGAAAAATCGGCCTCCCGAATAAACAACAATAGTAACCATAAAACCCTTGCATCAAGCATATTCACATATCCAGCACCGCAGCCGCGGGTCGTCGGCTGGGGGTAAAAAAAAAGAGGAGCAAAAAATGGCGAGCATTAAAGAAGCGGCACGCGGATCGACAACGCTTCTGATAGCCAATATAGACAAGAGAAGAATATCGTCATGGAGCAAGCTCGCACAGATTGTCTAAAAAGCGATTGAGGAATGTTGTAAGAATAGGATTGTTGAGGGGTGAAGTCAATTATTTCGAGCGCCGATCGCGGAAGGTTATTTAAATGATAACGTGGTGTTAGTCGGCATACCATCTGATGATCATCGAGGCCTGATCCAAGCCAGGGGAACGTATGCAATCGGCCGGCGCGACTGTGTGTAGCTCACAGGATTTGACACTTGAGCCCGCTGCGGTGTCGAGAGCGGTCGGGGCGGAATGACTTGGGGTACTCCGGGCCGGAGTCACGCATTTGACCTAGACCAGTCGTCCGACGAGAATCCTGGGGCCTTTGTTGTTGCATGCGCTGATTGCGCAGCATTCGGACTACATCGTAGAACGCCTTTTCGACGTTGATGCAGTTCTTCGCGGATGCCTCCACAAACTCGCACCCTAAATCCTTGGCCAGCGCCTGTCCTTCTTGGGCGGAGACTGCCCGCTCGACAGCTTTGTCGCTCTTGTTGCCGACCAGCATCACGGGAACAGGAAGTGGCGGTCCTGAGGGCGAGCTCATCGGGGAGCCTAGGTAGCTAGTGCCAGACGGTGAGCCGGAATTCGCCGACTCCTTGACCATCTTGATCTGGTTGTAGAACTTGGTTATCCGAGAAAAGGAAGCACGCGACGTGATGCTGTAGACGAGAACAAACCCCTCGCCGTCCCGGATCCATTGGTCGCGTAGTGCGGTGTACTCCTCCTGACCGGCAGTATCGAGAACCTCCAACATGCACGATTGCGAATCGATGACCACCTGCTTGCGGTACGAATCTTCAATGGTCGGGTCGTATGTCTCGACGAAATGGTTTAAACATAACTAAAGCCAAGGTATCCGATTAGCATATTTGAACACCACAGTGGGGAAGGACAATGGCTAACCTGAATTGTGAGTGCTGTCTTTCCGACACCACCGTCTCCCAGCACCACCAACTTGTACAGAGTCATTTTTCCGGCCATCGCGACCAACAACTGGGTGCCTCTCTAAGGCACCTTTTGCGTCTGGGGTAAGGATAAAAAGACCGCGGAGATAGAGATGTACGGGCCAAAGACAGAAAAAAAATATCGAGAATCGAGGGAAGAAAGGGAGAAAATTAGAGAGATCTATCAGGAAGCCCCGAGGAGCACGGACTCGTGGAAGCGGAGAGCAGCGAAAAGCTGGGCCTAAAGGAACGGGCTATTTTGGTGGTAGTGCGATTAGCCACGGAGAAATCGACCTGGGTTGCTTTAGGCTACATGCCAATGCCGCGAAAGAAGCAGGGATAATTTTTCCAGCCGACGACTAGAATCACGTACCTTGAGCTAGAATTTGACAATATCCAGGGATTGGGATAGAGTAGGATTCCTGGAAAAGGAGCAGAGAGGTGAAGGACGGACTCTGGAGGAGGGGGAAATGGGCCTCCAACTAAAGTTTTGGACTCGAGCAGCTGTCGCAAATAAGTGGCCACCAACAGCTGCAGAATTGGTACAAACGAGTCGGATAAAGAAACTCTCCCCAGGATACACCGGCGAATGCACGAAAAGATAGTAAGAAAATAAAAACGGTATCGAATAGAGTTCTGGGGGTACGAATGCTTTGTAGAAGTAGTATCGCCCAAGCTTTGGGTGAGACAGAATCGGCCTGGCTGGTTCTGCCACGTGAGGGGAAACAGAGCACAGAAGGTCGCTAGCTTGCTTATCTCGTCCGAGTCAGAGAACCAGACAGTGGAGTTGCGGAAGACCAGGTAGCTCAGAAGGGCTTGGCCAGCAGGTGGTCGCTGGATATCTCAGTTAAGAGGAAGCCGTTGAGGAGGGGAACTAGGTGGTGTGCTGATGACAGTTCCGAGAGAGTCGGATAAGGAGGCAACAGTGGAGGAGGGGAGGAAAGATAACTCGAGGACGAAGAGCGAAAGCGAAAGAAAAAAAGAAATAACTTTCTTGATAGACCTGATACGCCGGCGGAGGAAGAAAGACTAAGAATTGGACACGATGATCTCAGACTGGCCGTTGGATGCACCGGAGGGGGGAAGGTTGAGTTGACTTTCAGAAAAAAGGTGGCGTAGCACGTCTGGGGCTGGCTCATGGCAGTGGCATTCTCAGACCCACGATAGGAGTCTGCCATCTCCGTGCATTATATTGATCTGTCAAATTTCCATTATTACATTGGCAGTCGGATTGGATATAGGTACGGAGTACAACCCTCGATCCTCCCAGTGCCTAACGTTACCCCGTTTCCTTAGTCTACATTGCTCTCATCCGGCACCTCAGAAGAAACCCAAGCTTCGAGAAGCAGCGTGGGGCGAGCTGACTCTTCTGAGTTCTGAATCTTCCTCATCAGCGACGGCGAACCAGCAGTCCAGATGAAGTACTCAAGGAGTCAGTCTGGTCTCGGGTACTAACACGAAGCTGTTCCAGAGCGGATCCCAGCCACACCTTCCCCCACTCCTTAAGTTTGGTAACCAAAGAACGGCGATTCAGCTTCAACCGAGTATCAGTATCATGAGCAACTGTACATTCCGCCATCTATCCAAATAGAGCTTATGTCACAGGATTGAAGCATCGTTGCTGCCGGTTTGCAGCAACAAGAGCAACGTTCGCATTTGGGCACTACTGGTTACACCCGGCAGCCGGAAGAACATTCCGCGGACTCCGGAGCATAGTGGCCAGGCTAGTACCGTCTCCCAGATTCCTGGGACTCCTTGGGCCCCTCTGCTATACTGCCTATGCCTGGGAGCACGTCGTAAGTAGGCCTTCAAACAGAAGGAGTCAGAAGAGATAAGCCTCAGCCATAGACCTTGCGAAGGGCAACACGGTGTTCCGGTTCCATCTGCGTTTTGATGTCGCCGAGGAACATGTGAGAGAGCTCTATCTTGCACATCTGGCTGATAGATAGCTCAGCTTTTGGCTTTCTTTGTGTTTACCTCAACTTGACCTGACAGCTACCGTACTCCGTATGTATAAAGAGCACAAGGCTTGCCAATGCCAGCCCAGGCTAGATCCGAAGGGTATCTCGCTGTGGGGCGACGGCGGTTCCACTATCGACCTGCCCCTATTGGCATCGGTACTCCAATTTTTCTTGGCTTCTCGCTTCAACTCCTGCTGTTTACGGGGAAACCCAAGAGGCGGGCGTCACGCATGCACTGAAAGTATTCGCCTGGACGAACTGGCTTGTCCGCGCTTGGGCCGTTGCAGACTTGCAGTGAGCGTCTACATATCCGGCCCGGTCCAGAAGCGGAAGAAGGTTCCATTAGGTATCTAGCAGGGATTGTCCTGGGACCGTTGCTTCCACCTCGTGGAAAATCAGGCACAGGACGGGTCCGACGGGACGGATAAGCGAGGGCTGTGCGCGCTGCTGAGCTCGCTTGGCGACTCGTGAGTCCTGAGCCTTGGGGCGGGATATCAGGATTTAGCCTATGATATGGCTATTCTGGAAGGGGAAGCTATATTCTAGCGGGGCGTATATTATCTGGTTGACGACAAATTCAAGATGCCTTCTTCTTTCTTAACGAAGCACGGCGAATTGGTTTCCTCATAGTGTCAGCGGATTGAGATCTTGAAGTACTTCGAAGTCTCCGTATGTACAATTCGAGTCGCACGAGGCCACGAGCTCAGCGCTAGTCACTTCCCGGGCCCATCTCCAGTTCTTATTCCACGTGGGTTGGTGCAGAAACGCATGCAATTGCAAGTTTCACTGGTACGAGAGTAACAAGAGCCCACGGACACTACTACGCGGCGGTCCGACTGGCCCGTAGTCCATGCTAGACTCTGGTACGGAGGACGCGGATAGTGGCACTACTTCTCCGTAGTGACATCCTATTGCGACAAGACTTAAAAGGGGCAAAGTACTCGCCGACCAGATCACCCTTATTATCCCCTTTTTAATCCCCGAGACAGTCGTACCCATAAACAAAACACCAAATATTTGTCTGCTGTATGACTGTCAATTTCAGCGTCCAACGGTAACCCGAAAGAGTGTAAAAGACACATAATCAAACATACGACCCCTACTCCGTACTTTTGTCGAATAGGCCTAACGGCGAGTGTAGACTCGTAGAAAGCCAGAATAATATACAAGCTATAGGAACACTAGCTTGCATGAACATGCATGAGCAATCTGGAGCCAAGGGCTGCAGCGCATGCACCCTAATCACACCAACAGCCTCTCTAGCCCGAAAGCCGCGGTAGCCGAACGTCATAATCCTCAATGATCCTCATGAGGCGTCTCCTTATTCAATTCAGGGGACTAGGAGCTCGCATCAACTGCGTTTGAGACAGTGGTCGGATATATCGGTATGTGAACTCCGCAGGCTTTGTTTAAGGTCTTCCACTATGTCGGGTCAAGTGGTCCTGGTCTCATCGAGATGGGTCTGAGGGCAGAAGGATGAGCAAATGAGCGTACGTGTTTCAACGTCAATTTGCAGCAGAAACTTAGATGGGCGGCCGTTGTCTCTTCGATTTTGTGATTGGCATCGCTGCGGTTGGAGGATTTTGATAGTGATTGGCTAGTAGGAGGCCAGTAGGGAGGGAGTTTAGACTTTCCGTAATAGCCGGCTCGAAGGATTTGCAGCTTCGTTAGGTATTTGAATTCGGCAAGGCCAGCGGCAAGCGTAGTGCTAGTGGCGGCGGCGGCTGATAATCAAATATGCAGGGCGTCGATTTCGTATGCTTTATGCCGATTCGAGCGAGACGTGCAGTTGGATTCCTTTGTCTCTGAAGTCCAACCGCATTTCTCGGGGGAGTGGCTGCCATGCCCAAAACATGATCAAGGCATCTCCGGAGACTGAGACTCATGTTCTGGGAGTCAGGGAGTCAGGGATGAGATTGAGGAGCAGAACTGTCAACTCTGCGAAATTTCCCCCCGCTGCCCCGCACAAGCTCGGTGGCCGACTCATGATATAAATATAAATTCCCACTTCCTCCCCGAGGACCCCGACGAACATTCTCTTCATAGGGCTTAATTCACTTTACTGACTTCACTAGCCAGGTATCCGGGTATCCCTGCCCGGCATCAGCAATAGGCTGCCCTTGTGATCCAGCGTCTTGGGACAGGGAGCTGGGATCACCAGGCACGCGGCACCCAAGGCTATAGTGCCTACTTAACCGTGCTCGATCTGCGCGAGCTTCCATGCTCTCGGGACACTATAGAGCTGTCTGGTCATACAGAGCAATCTCCTACTGGCATAACGCACTGACTCGACGAGCGCATGCTATTGTAACGACTACCAGGCTTGGTAAGTGGACGATGAAATTGACGAGCTCGACGCTATGCATTACACTAATAGGCCGCAATTCGTGACCCTGGACTGACGGCGAATTATTGGGACAACCCAAAATAAGCCGAGCATAGCGAGGAGACAGGGCTACGCGTCCCGAGGCAGGATGTCAGGCTTTGGCCCAGAAGGAACAACCATCTGGGAACTGTCAGCGCCCTGTTTCTTTCCGAGAGATACCAGGTAACCGAATTTGTACTATATTGAACATGGTCAGCCTTCGCGTTATCTCCCTGCCAGGTCCATTGACTTACGATATCGAAGAAAGTCGTCTTCCCGAAAGCCCCTCCGTTCGTTCTCTCCGAGTCATCATAATACAGCCGTCGGTACCACGCGTCGATGAGCGGATAGTCATGGCGGATCATCTTCAGGTTGCATTTGAAGATCAGGTAGTACGCCACGTCGAACCGTGCGATGGTCGTGTACAGCCTCACGTCCGCCTCGGTGATATGCTCTCCAAAGAGATATGGCTGGTGTCCTGGCTGCGCGAGATGCTTCTCAACACGATCCAAGGCCTCGAAGAGCGGGTTTATGTTTGCCTCGTACGCCTCCTGCGTCGTCGCAAACCCCGTCTTATACACCCCGTTGTTGATGCGGTCATACACCCACTCGTTCATCGCATTGATCTCTTCCCTCAAATGGTCAGGGTACAGCCCGCCACCGGGCCGGTTCACCTCGCGCCGCTCCTCAGGAAGTAAGTGGTCAAACTCCGTGTAGAACATGCGGATGATCTCGCTACTCTCATTGTTCACAATCGTCTCCTTCTTCTTATCCCACAACACAGGGATCGTATATCGACCCTCGTATCCCGGGTCCGCTTTGAAATAGAGCTCGCTCATTGTCGTGAAACCATACAGCGGGTCTTTCTTCGCGGATCCGTGGCGCCCGGTCTTCGAGAACAACCAGCCATCGGGCCCCAGCTCGAAGTCGCAGACTACCAGCTGGATGATGTCTTCGAGGCCCTTGAGCGAGCGCACAAGATTCGTTCTATGCGCCCAGGGACAGCCGTAATTTAGGTATAGCACGTAGCGGTCCTTCTCGGCCGGGAATTCTGCGTCTGGAGAAGCTGATACCCAGGAGCGGAAGACTGAATCTTTGCGCCGGAAGTGGCCGTCCTTGTCGGCGTGCTTGTATGTTTTGTGCTTTTCGACATCAGTAGTTGGTTACGAAGATTCAGGTAGAAATCGTACAAGTTCTGACATGTTTGCTTGGGGTGGTGGAAAACGGTCCTTTGATGCTGTGGAAGATGCTGAATTCCCTCCTACCCCGCTCTATATATAATCATGCCATCCCTGTTCCCTGCAGCCATATTTATAATTGCTTCCGGGCTTACTGCTTGGCACCACATAACTAAGGCATGTAACTTGTCTACCATTTATAATCAAAAACCAGATTAGATGAGCTGACGTCACAAGACCTCCTCATTAAAGCATTCCGTGCAGGGATGTTAAATGACAAATGTCATGTTGTATTTGTCCGCCCATATGTCCGACATAGAAAGTAATCGGACGTGTCCGATCGGCGCCCCACCTCTCATAAAAAGAGCTATGCCTGTAAACTTGTAAGATACTAGGCCAGGCAGGGAAATGCCAGGCAAATTTAAGCCTTTTCGGGACTAGTTTGGGCCACCTAGTCACGTGCATGCCCGGGCCGGTTGTCATAAAAAACATGGACATTGTCAACAGATTGACACAGTGGAGAAGATGTCGACATTATAACATCCCTAAGGGAATTTCCGTGGATCATTATACGGAAATCTTCCGCGACGGCGCGAATCAAGCGTTCAGTGAAAGAACTCCGAATCATCGGTTACAAGCTCCACTCAGTCGAGACTCGAGATACCCAGCTGTCTCGCGACCTCTACGAACCCATCTGGACTGTCCTCCATCTCCACCGCCAAATCCACATATCCCTCTTGTTGACCCTTCTCTAGACTGCCAAATTCCTCTCCAACCCGTTCAACGTAGATTGTCCCAAACCCGCAGGCCTTGGCCGCTTTCAAGTCTCGCAGATGTGCCGCAACGAGTACACACTCTTCCGGCTTGAAACCTAGCTTCTCCGCTGCCCCAAGGTATACCTGCGGTGACGGCTTGTAGGCGCCAAAGTGCTCTGCGCTGACGATATCCGTAAACGGTAGCGAGCCATGCTTCACAAGGTCTTCGAGAAGAGAGACGTTGCCATTAGACAATGTGCTAGTGCGGAACTTGCTGCTTAGCAGCCTCAGGCCTTTCACGGTATCATCCCAGGGGTCGAGCCGGTGCCAGCTTTGGACGAGGTCTTGCAGTTCGCTCTCCGTGAAGAGGTCGTCGAGTAGGTGGGAACGGAGGATCTCGACAAGAGAGTCGTGGTGGTGTTGATCGATGGAGACGAAGCCGTTGGAAGGGTCGAAGGTCGATGTGAAGCGGCCGTAAGACGCGCGCCAGTCCTCGGCCATGCTGTGCCAGTTATCTTCTGTCATTGCTGACGCTTGGGCGCGAATGTCTGCAAGGGATTCCCTATCACTGCTGAGAGCACGTTTGCTAGCTTCCACAAGAGCCTTCGTAACGTTTTTTCGCCATTGGACTGTGGTACCAAAGACATCAAAGAAGAGAGCTTTGGTCTGTTTGTTGATAGCCATGGTATCGTTCCTATCCGCCTTAAAAAGAATTGAGAGTGGTCCAAGATCGGCTTCGCAGCGCGCGATTAGTCTCTGTTAACACCTGAAGCTGCGTGCGCTGGTTCAGAGTAGGTGATGCAGTGATGGGATGGACAACCCTGGGGTGTGTCATCGTCATCGTGCGCGCTTAGTCATGCGGGAACGGATTCCGACAGGAATTTAGAGAACGGCGATGATGGTCCGGTTCATTCTCGAGATGCTGATTTCTGTCCAGGTCAACCGCTGTCGACTGCTGTTAGTTATCTTGAAGCCGGGCCAACCCCGATCCTCCGACTTCTACCTGTCATAGATACAGATGTCAGCAGCTGCAATCCCGACCAAAAATAAATCTGCCTCCGACTCATCACATCGTCACCTTTTCTATCGTTTCATATAGATGTTTGAGATCCTTCTAGACCGTGCAGGAGATTCTCGCCTGCAAGCCCTGCGTTAGTTGACAGGGATTCAAGGTTGGCTAGCTGGTGATGACAGCTGCAGCCTGTCGCTCTGCCGCTTGAACGAGTCAAATCCGAATCTCAATAAACGAGACAGCCGAAACGTCACCCAGGGCGCTGAGCGATGTCAATTTGACGCGTCGACACCACAGACTGGCAGACTGCGAATTGTTTAAGATTCTAAACGAGGGCTCAAAAATCAGGCATGATGCGAGGACGGGTGGGTCCGGACTCCAGGTCTCGCCTCGGATGGACTCTCTCGCACTCACGTTCTTTGACTTTGATGATTGATTTCGGCTAGCGCACGTTTGTTTACACTTTAAGCTTGCCATCAGAACAAGAACAAAACATTGAGTCAGGTAGAGCGGTCAACCCATTACCAAGATCCCACCCACTAGTAAGACGCACTTTTAGAACTTTATTTTTAATTACACTTTATTAACGTGTTAACTTTAATAACGTGTAACTCCCTTAATTTTTTATAAAAATATTTAGTAAGTAGTTATTTAAAATTAGTAAATAAAAATTTAATAAAATATTTAAAAAGTTTATTTAAATAAAGGCTGCAAGTTACTAATAATGCTATTTAATTTACCTATACTAAATTTTTAATTATCCTTGCCCGGCCCTAGTTAATTAAATAACTTTAAAATACTTAAAACCAAGAATAATAAGCCGCTTAGTAAAATTAAAGCTGCTAAAATAAATACTTTATAAAAGGAAGCTTATTAAATTTTATAAAAAGACCTTGCTAGGCGCCCGCAGGATAAGCTAATATTACTTATAATTACTTAAATAAAAAAGAATTAAAAAACATGGCAAGAAGTAGCAGCTAAGTATAAATTACCTTTAAAAACTTTTTAATATTATATAAATAATTATTAAATATATTAGGCTGCTTATACTCCAAGGCAAAAGCTATTTTTAATTAAAAAGGTATTTTTTAGGTGCTATATACTACACTAGGTTAAATTTAACTTTTTTTTTAATATTAAGATATTATAAGACGCTACAAACATTTTATATAAGTAGAAATATTAATAGTTAGGCTATTTATATAAGCTAGTTAGTATAAACTAGCACCAGGCCTTTTTATAAAAAAATAAAAAATTTATAGCTATATAAAGTAAAAAGCTTAAATATAAATATTAGTATTAAGCTAATCCCCAAATTCTTAAGTATTTTTTAAAGCTATTTAAACGCGTTAAGAAAAAATATAAAGTTAACTTTTAAAATATTTAAAACTTTAATAAAAAAGGTTTTATACACGGAATTCCGCGCGGCTGTTAGCATGTTATTTTTTTTATATAGCTTATAAAAAACCGCGGAGGATTTACTATAGTTAAATTTTAAGATAATAACTAAATATTTATTATAAAGTATTACAAGCTATTTAGCTAGTATTTATTCTTAATAATTATTTTTAAAGGCAAGAAAGTTAATCCAAACTAGCTAATAATATTTACTTTAAATAAAAAGGCGCTTTTTATAATTTAAAAAAAAAATATAATACCATGGAGCTAGTGCTTAACTAGTTATATAATATTTTTATTTTATAAACTTTTTATATTACCTATACTTAATATAATAGGCATGTTAAATTTCCTTTTTATATTTTATTATATAACGGCCATGTATCCCATGTTAGCTTTAAATTTATATTAACTTATTAAAATTATGGTATTATTCCTATTTATTTATCTTTTTATATTACTTATTTTTTTTAGTTAATAAATATTGGAATATTTAGCCCTTTAGCTACTTAATATAATTAAAAAATATACTAAAAGTTATAAATTAGCTAGCGTAATATTACTTAGTAAAAGTTTCTTAAAATTTTTTAACAAGCCCGGGCTAAAGCCATGTTTATAAATAATATTAAGTTTGCTTTTAAGGCCGCGGGGATCTAGCCTATTTACTTAAAAATTATATATAAAAAAGTTAAAATTAAAAAGCTAGAGAAGTAAGAGTTACTCACGGTAAAAATTATAAATTTTATTAATTTTATAACTAAATCTCCAGGGCAAAAAAAAAGGCTTTTAAAAAGTAAAAATAACATATTATACTAGCTTAGTGTACTGCTTGTTAGTTCTCCTGGCACTTAAAACTATTTAATAAAAAAAATAGTGGTTGCCTGGGCCTCCGCGTGTTATAATTTTTTTTTTTTTTATAGTTATAGCTAGTAACTTTAAAATAGCTTTTAATATTAAAAAAAGCTTAGTAAAAAAAAAATTAAGTAGTATAAATTCCTATAACTTAGCAAGGTTATTAAGCGTGCTAATATTAAAAAGGCTTAAGTAAAATATAAAAAAGCAAAGTAAGAAAAGGCTGTTACCGCGTTTAAGCGGGCCAGGAAAAAAAAAAAATATAAAAAGGCTAAGATACTTAAGAAAAGAAAGAAAAAAAGGCGTAAAATAAAGGTGGAGGAACGGCGCCGTTTAAAAAAAATTACTAATAAAAAGGCTAAAAAAAAAAGCGCCTTAATAAGCTTGCTAAAGATAAAAAAAGACGCCTTAAGAAAATTACTAAAAATAAGGTAAAGTAAAAAAGGGCTGCAAAAATAGCAGCTAAATATAAGGCTAAATAAAAGGCTAAACTCTTTAAGTAATTTACTAAGAAAGCCTGGCTATTAAAAGCTTTATTTATTTTTTTATTATTTTTTATTCCTGCTACGCCTTTAACGCCTTTATAAAATTAAATATCCAGGCCTTCTTTACCTTTATTTTTAATACTATAAATTAATTATATAGACTTAACTCCCGCAAGCTAAATACCCTTAACTTTAGTTATTAAAATACCTAGTTACCCCGGCTACCGCGAATATAATAATTTACTAGCTAAATATAGGTTCCCGGACTCCTAATTAAATAATAACTTTAGAAATTTTATAAACCTTTTTTAATTTTATATAAAGTGCTATAAAGGCTTTTTATAAAGCCTTAATATACTTATTTATAGTGGCTTTAGGCTTTATAAAGCGTTTTTATTTAACTAGTATTAAAATTTACTAGATAATATGGATTTATAATTAATTAAGGTTAAAAATTTAACTAAAACTGGCCAAGAAAACTACGCTAATAAAATCCTTAATAATCCTACCATGTAACTAATTTAAATAAAAAAAAATATATTACTTAATAAAAAAAATTTATAGCTATTTAATATAACCTAAATTATTATAATATTATTAAGTTTACGTTGTTAATATATAAATTTAGTAAATATTAATTTTAGTGTTATCTTAAAAATAAAGTTCTTACTAGTGGGTGGGATCTCGGTAATGGGTTGACCGCTCTAGCGGCAGATCTGATTACCCAGTTCCAACCTTCAGACCTGTACGTAACCTTGAGCCAGCCGCCAGCGCCTGATTTATACGGAGTACTCCGTATGTAGCTGCATCTGCAGCCTTGGATGCTTGCTGAAGCTGCAAGTCTCAAATGCCCCCGGCTAGTCCTGCGAAGAGACAAACATGCAGATTATTCGGGCGACGGATCTTGCACCAAAAGCGGCATCTGCCGCGACAGGAGGAGAGCATCCACGGCTCTGAAGTCACAAAAGGAGGGTTAATCTACGCCTAATCAACTCCTTCGTATATAGTCGCCCCCATTTCTCATTTGCGAGGCGATAGTCAGTGGATGGTCCGGGACCGGCGAACCGTGGAAATGACAGTGGAGAGCTCTATAAGCTGTGGCGGGTCCAAGGATCCCACCGGCCAGGGACAAGGAGCAAAGGAAGACAATAATATCACAGAGCATTATATCGGCTGAAGTGCGAGATTGCAGAACGCAGATGAAGGAACCCGATTGTTATTGAGCGAACTCGGAGCAGCTGACATGCACTTCCAGATAATCTGATACGATAGCAGCAAACATCTTGAAGACAGTTACATTTGTGCTACTTAGATCAATCTTAACTCTTTGTTATCGGCTGAAACACGGACCACAAGCTCAGCTCACTGGGAAATTGCCTCGCGACGATCGCCGCGGAGGCCGCGACTCTATCTCTCCAGCATTCCGCTTTCATCGTATGATGGCCGATGCACAGCTTGGCTCGGTGTCACTGTCAGACTCAAAATTAGAATTCGATGTCTCGATCACGCGTATCCGAGGCTATCAACGTCCAGCACGCGAGCAAGCGGCCAGGTACGCATCTACAGAGTGTAAATGCTGAAGATATCTACTGTGTAGGTAGGTACAATGAGTGCAGCCAGTGGAGTCGGCTGTGTGACTCTGAACTCCCATCACGCGCTAAGAGTACCCCGAGTAAAGACCGTCGTCGACCGTTTCCTATATTGAGGCCCATTAATATTGATATCTGATTCCGCGATCATGATTGGCACGTTCTTTTTCCTAGGCCAACTGTGGCTTTGTCTCCTTTCTCCTTTTTGCATCCTTCGCCGTGGTTTCAGATCTGTTCTTGTTTCTTATCCCCTTTTTCATCCTCATCGATTGGCCCTGAGCCTTCCCCGTGCACAGCATCTTTTGACCCCTTGAGGTAATGAGATTCCTCTCTGACATCACGGCCAATGACGCGCCTGAATCTGGCACTGGCTGGCAGATCACTCGTCGGCCTTGCTCAATTTGCCGTTGCGCGACAGGCTGGAGACCGGGCAGCTCTGGTGGGGAAACAAGTGGCTCCTTGCTAGTCGCCTCTCTTCCCCATCCCCTAACGAACACCCCTGGACAAGCTAACAGTGACGAGCACTCCGGGAATCTTAGCATGGCCATGGCTGGCCCATCAGGTCCTCTGCTCGCGTTGCCGCAAGGCTCAATTCGCGATCTAATAACGGTCGTATCCGTACTCTCTCTTCCCCCTCTTTCTCAGATCTTCCTGCGAAAGGCGAGGGATTGGACAAGACTCAAGAGACCAAGTTAAGGACACACACAGGGTATCGCAGATACCACCCGTTCCTCCCCCGTTCTTTTTAATCTACGGAGTATGCGGTTGTCTTACCTGCCCTTCCCTCGACTTGTTTGTGCGTGACTCGACTCGCGATCCTCAACCCCCACCTCAAAGGATACCCGTGGACACGGACTCGAACCACCATACTCGAAACCTCGAGCCTTCCGGTGTTGGTGCTCCCGGTGCCGCATTTCCAATGTATGTACAAAGCTACATTCTTACGTCCTTGCATGCCCTTGTGATTTCCGCCCTGTTTCAACTCGAATCTAATTAGCTCATGCGTCTCGGACTAGAAGCCGCAGCAAAGCCCTGATTAATATTCATTGCTGCTGGTCTGCTCCGTTCGAATTCCGACCGTTGCCACGTTTTCTGCTCGGCCCGCTGAAAAAGCAGCCAAGGTGCAGTCAATGGAAGCTTCATAGCACAACCGCTGAGCCCACTGTGTGCATGAGAATCAACAACTGCAAGCCTTGACTGAGAGGCGTTGTGCACTCTGATGCTCTAGCTGCAGACGCAATGGCCATGGAAGCTATGTACCAAAGCCCGCCGGCTGCGAATGCATTCCCAACGCCTTCCACAACCCCGGGACGGCCACCGTCAATCCATATACGGGGCGACTCGCTGGACTCGCCGATATCCCTCCCCAATCACATCTCTTCTCCTGGCGGACACAGTGAGTTTGACTCCATCGCCGACGAAGATGTCATTTCGCCTTTGGATCCCCGAAGATTCACACCCACTCTGCACGCCTCTCTTGTCTCTGAGATTCTTGCTTTACGGCGAGATGTGGAGAGTAAGACTAAGGCCATCGATGTCTTGGAGAACACTCTCGATGAGACTCGAACAGAGAATGAGAAGCTGACTGAACGACTGGCCAAGCACTCCAAGGAGTCTCGGTCACTGAAACACCAGTTGCAACTGCTGGAAGGCGGTAGTTCTTCGGCTCTTACGGAACTGGCAAAGGAGAGGGACAGTGCACTGGACGGGGTATCTGAATACCGCCGGAAACTCGAGCAGGCGCAGAAAAAGGCTAGGAGCCGCGAGGAAGAATTGGAAAGGACGACCCAACTATGGACCCGTGATAAAGAGGCCTGGGATGGCGAACGGAGAAATCTGGAGCGGAAAGTCCATGTGGTTGAAGGCCGTCTCAAAGTTGTCCTGAACGAAGTTGCAGCCGTTCAAGCTGCAAGCTCCCGCGAGCCTTCGCTGCACGATGCACAAGACGCACTGAAGGAGGCGTCCACAGGCAAGGACAGTGATTCAGTGAGCATGTACTCGAGCAGCCAAGGACGGTACCGAACCAGCATCACGAGTTTGAGTAGTGCCGCTAGCGATGACAATCATGGGCTCACTGACGGGCGTTATTCCGTCATGAGCGCTGCCGGCATGCTAGGCTCACAGACGAACCTTGCAGACGAGTTAGCGTTTGATGAAGACGATGAGTTTGACCTTGATGATGATGATATGCCTCAATCCCCCGAAGCGCTCCCCGAAGAACGCCCTGTTTCGGTCCATTCGCAAATGTCCCATACAATGAGTAGTAAAGCACGAAAAATACTTGGGCTTTCGCTCGACGAGAGAATGGACAGCTTCGCTGCGAAGACCGAGGAGCCTCCAGAGACTAGGAGTCATCCGTTGGATCATGCTCCGCCTGTCAAATACCAAGATACGGGTGTTCAATACTCTCCTCCTGCTTCTCCAGTTCTATCTCCAATAGCGGATAAGTTGGTTGAAGCGAGCGTGGGGACTGAGAATGACAAGATGTCTCTATACCAAACAAAGGAGAGCAGTACATCGACTTTGACCATCGATATGGTTTCAGCCTCCGCTCAGACTGTCGATAGTCTTCCCACCCCTCCATGGACGCCGAGGGTCGATGCACCACCAGAATCGCCAATTGTCGAGCAGGTCGCCATGGTATCAGCTTCTGTTCAGACGGACACCCATGCCGAGGTTGAGGCCGAGACTAAGCCTCCAGTGGAGGACAAGCCAGCAAGCATTGAGATTCCAATGATCACAATTCAGCCTCCCGTATCCGAACCTTCTTCTCCTCGAGGAAGTGTAGTCCTACCACCTCGAACCAAGAGTATATCCTGCCAGGCCGACATCAAGCCAATCAACGAAACTCGCACGACTGGTATCCAAACTGAGCCCATCCGCATTGATCAACGGCCCGTCAAGCTTCCAGCAAGCTTGCTCCCATCCGCGATTCCAGATTTCCCGCTGAGCACGGCCACACTAGGCCACGCTGTTCAACCATACCGCGCGCCTTCCCCGAATACGGTCAATGGCCAGAGAAAGGTGCCGCCTCTCGTGGTGGAGACGCCAGCTGATCTGACCGCGCCGAGCAAGTTCGGTCATATTCAGGCTTACCCAGGGAACAACGATAATGGTCCCTTATCAGGCGATTCCAAGGCCAATTTGAGGCGACCTTTGCGATCCAGTAGTCTCTTTGCTGGGTTTGAACAGACAAGCGATGATGAAGGTGTGGCCGCAAGGGACGTTTTCACCGACGATGAGTTGCTCAACCGGCCTTTCGCATCATACAAGGTGCGGCGGGGCAAGCTTGTCTCCGCGAGTGAACGCCGCCGCAGTCTGGAGGAGGCCATGCTGCCGGATCTGACTGAGGATCTCGACTCGGAATCTCGCTTTGAGGCAGGAATCGGCAGTGAATACACAAGCCCGCCAGGATCATCTTGGTCGCGGTTTGGGGCTTCAGGACCTCGACAGCATGATATACGCAAAGCCGCAATGATCACAAGCGGAGCAGCAACACATATGAGGCGAGCGCGTAGCCCGAGCGAGCCGAGTATCGACAGTGGCAGTGGTAGCAATGCGTCTAGCGTGGCGCCCCCGTTCCCTGTCCCGATCCGACTCAGCTCGAGGAAGTTTCCTCAGACTGGAAGCGAGGGACGACAGAGCCCAACACCCTCGTCGCGGAATTTCTCTGATCGCCCACGCCCAAGCATCGTTCGTCGTCCTACGCTGCGACGTGTCCGCTCTGCGGCCACAATGTCTCAGACGGATCAAACGAGCCGGCCGACAACCCGATCATCTCCCGCCATGTCAATGTCTTCGTACAGCCACGATAGCCCTCGCCATCCTCCCATGCCATTTGATGATATCACGACGCCTCGGGATCGACGAAGCTCTAATGCACGCGGCTCTCGCCGACCAAGTACGTCGCAGCAGCTGACACACGAACGACAAGAATCCACGACGTCGGTCCAGCCTACTAGTGTGGTCGATGCCATCGCCCAAACCATGGTCGGCGAGTGGATGTGGAAGTATGTTCGCCGAAGGCGGTCATTTGGCGGAGACAAGGACAACTGGGAAGGCCGCAACGCTGAAGAGGTCTCTGCCAGCATCACCAATAGTGGAGTAAGACACAAGCGATGGGTTTGGCTCGCGCCGTACGAAAGAGCGGTAATGTGGAGCAGCAAGCAGCCAACCACTGGGCCTGCCCTGCTAGGCAAGAGTGGTAGGAAGTGTAAGTACCTGGTTCTTCGCCAGAGGGTTCCAGATGCTAATCTAGACAGTGATCATCCAATCTGTCCTCGACGTCAAGGATGACAATCCGTTGCCCAAGGGCTTCACTGGCCCGGTCCAGTTCAACCGCTCTATTCTAATCCTAACGCCTCAGCGAGCCCTCAAGTTTACGGCCACCAGCATCGAGCGTCACTATATCTGGCTAACAGCCTTGTCATTCCTAAGCCACTCCGCAATAGGTCTTCAAGACCTTTCCTCCCTCCCACCAGTGCCGCAAGAGGAGTATGCCCGCCCTGCTCCCACAGCAACCCTCCGCCGCAATCCTATTCGCGACTCGATCCGAATCGCCAAGGGCCGCCCACGCCCTTTCCCTAAGGGCAAGGGGAAGCGGGCCTTCACCCATCCAGAGCCCGTCCCTGAACTACCCGCAGATTTCGACGCCGAAGTCCGAGCATCCGAAGACGCAGCTGCTCCGCCAACAGTGCCGCGCTTCTCGAACCACTCCCGCAAGCGCAGCAATACCGCGCCGAGGATGCCAATACCAAATATCCGCAGCTTCTCAAGCAACAATACTGCGCCTTCGATGCGAAGTTCGTCCGATGCAGCAGCGGCGCCGTCTGTACCCTCGCATGGCCTGAATAGCGTGCGGAGTAGCTTCAGCCACCGAGGGTCGGAAACGAGTAGTGTGCGGACGGGCAACTTCTTTGATGCCATTGGCACCGTGCGTATGGAGGCCTTCATTGACCAGACCGAGTCGAACCGCTACCGAGCTGGGAACCCGCGTCGCCATACGCGCAAGGCGTCAACCCCCTGGAGTATGAACCAGGGATACCCTGAATTGGAGTCTCCGTTTGAAGAGGTTCATGAGGACCCATTCCACGGATTCTAGCCTGCCTTAGCCCAGGGGCTTTCAATTCTCTTTCCATTGCATTTTGTTCTTTCCCCGGAGTTGTGTTTACATTGATACCATCTAAGCGAATTGTTCGGGACTGCATACGGAGTGTATATATTACATCTACATAAGTTAATAATCTATTTACTATCTGACATCCTTGTAGTGGACATGCATGCGCGATATATTGAGGTAGTCTCAGTCAAGATAACTCTATCAACGAGAAGAACAATATGCGATTCCATTTCTAACATGGTAAACAAACAACGAACAATAAACAAAATCTGGTATAGTATGAATCCTCAACCCTCTTCAAAAGCCTCTGCATCCACAAGATGTAAATCTCAACTCCCTCCCAAGACAACAAACAGTATATATGCATCTTATCTCATATCGGCCGAGAAATCACAGCTTCGCGCCCTCCTTCACATCTCCAATCTTCAGCTTCGGCGAGTACTTCTTCAGGACACCGTCATTGTGGTACTATAGACAGAGGAGAAAACAAGTCAGCCAATCACTCATGTCAGTGTCACGCCATGCCAAACACCGCACGTGAGTTTGCGGAGAACGCAAGAGATGCGGGGATAGGAGTCGTACCTTCCAGAACTGCTTCGAGGCATCCTTCCCCGCGACACGCTTCAGGATCTTCGCGCCGCCGGGGTGCTCGTCGACGAAGTTTGTGACGTCGTAGACGGAGTTGTCGACGATGATGTACAGGCCCTGGTCGGGGGTGTTGTGCTTGGCGACGTCGGCGGGGGTGAATGTCTTGCTCATTTTGGACTGTTTTTTCTATTCTTCGCCGAGGCTGGAATATGGAGTTTCTGGATTCGTTCTGAATTTGAGACCTTGACTGTACAAATGGTATAGGAGCACGCTGGGTATTTAGAAGTAGATGGGGATGACGGGGAAGATGCGGGATGGCAGGCTGGACCGACCGTTGGCTGGAGTCGAACCTCGGCTTATGGATTCCGGACATGAGCCGCGGTCGATTTGTTTTATGGGGATCGTGATTGGTTTGGGAAGCGGATTTTATGAAATTTATGGGGACCTTGCTTTATGTTCCTTATATTAATGGACTATGAGTTATGAGTGTGCCATCTACATTTACTAGATATTATACACAGGAAATACATGAATCAATCACGGCTCTTCTCCCCTGCCGCCCCCTGTCCCTTAGGCTTCTTCTCTGTGCCTAGCGTATCGAGATCCTTCTTCTTGTAGTAATGCGGTGCAACCTCGACCAGCCACTCCGCCTGCAAAGGCATGTTACTGCGCATGTACTCCTTACTCGTAAGGACCAGCTCGAAATAGATCACCCACCGCGGGTTGACCTCGAACAACGTACTCGACGGATGTAGGTACACCGTTTGTCCTGTCTTTATGGTGCGATAGCTGTCGCCGCCGCGCTGGAGACGCGCTGCGTTCGGGAAGAAGCCGGCAGTGATGGCCTTTTGAATCGGGACGATGTTGTTTGAGCCGCAAGAGCTGACGGTTACCTCGACGCGGTCACAGAGTTTAGCGAGTTGATCGCGCACGTCGCGTGCTCGGGTTAAACTGCGCTGTTGGAGAAAGTTTTCCTTCGCCCATACGTAGCTGAAGTCGGAGTCCACCCATTGGTTCCAGATGTTGAGGAGGGTTAGGTGATCGCCGCCGTCTTTGATGGTGAATCGATTGCGAGCGCTGTCCGCATGGATCTTCTTGTCCTTTGGTCGGAAGAAGAGTGCGCTGGCTTCGCCGAGCATAGAAACAATAGATAGAACTTCTTCCACGCAGCCTTGACTGTCTGCGGCCAAGATTGCCTTGGCCAGCATCGGGTCTGTTGGGAATTCAGCCATCTGCCGCCCGATTTTGGTAAGTTCTCCACGATCATTCAGTGCTCCTAGCGCATAGAGCTGCTCCAATGCTCGAATAATTGTCTCTGCCGGTGGAGGATCCATAAAGTCGAATTCGAGCAGCTGGTCTATTCCCAGCGATTTCAGCATGAGAATCACGCTGCTCAAGTTCGTCCGCTGAATCTCAGGCGTCGTGCTCTCTTCCAATTCATTGTAGTACGCCCACTTGGTATACAAGCGGAAGCATTTTCCTGGCCCGACGCGACCAGCTCGACCCGCTCGTTGGTTTGCTGATGCTCGCGAGCAGGGCGTCACTACTAAGCTCTCCATGCCGGTCCTGGGGTTGAAGACGTTTTCCTTGACAAAGCCAGGGTCAATGACATAAACAATCCCGTCAATCGTCAAACTAGTCTCCGCGATATTAGTAGCCAACACCACCTTCCGCGCTTTTGGTGGTGTCGGCTCGAAGATCTTGGCCTGTAGATCAGACGGTAGATTGGCGTAGATTGGACATATGATCATTTCAGGTATCTTATTCCCGAGCTTTCTTGCAGTCTCCTGTAAACTCTGCTCAGCCGCCTCGATTTCTTCCTGACCAGTGAAGAAAACGAGGATATCACCCGGCCCTTGGGAGACGTGAATCTGAAAGACTGTTGTGATAGCAGCAGCAAGGTAGTTGGCTTCGGGTTGTTGCGTATAATGAATGTCGACATTGTACATGCGTCCAGGAATATTGAAGATTGGCGCGTTATCAAAATAGCTTTGGAATTTCTGCGCATCCATAGTCGCAGAAGAAATCAGTAGCTTTAAATCCGGGCGCGCTTTTGCGATATCCTTCAAAAGTCCACAAGCAATATCTGTCGGCACTGTACGCTCGTGTGCTTCATCAATCATTAGGGCTGAATACTGTCCCAGATCCGGCTCTGTAAGAAGCTCACGCAACAACATACCGTCCGTCATATACTTCAGCACCGTTTTGTCGCTAGTGTTATCTTCGAATCGAATTGAGTATCCAACTTCATTGCCTAGCTTGACACCCATCTCTTCTGCAACGCGTGAGGCCACACTCATGGCTGCGACTCGTCGTGGCTGCGTGCAGCCAACCTTCATCCCGTTCTTCGTGTATCCTGCCTCATGGAGGTACTGCGGAAGCTGCGTCGTCTTTCCAGAACCCGTTTCTCCGACGATAATCAGCACCTGATGATCTTGAACTGCTTGAATGATCTGATCACGGAACTGATAGATCGGCAGCTTTTTCCGGGTGTCTTCGATACTTTGTGCCTTCTGCTCAGCCTGGTCAAGCTTCTCCTGCAGCATCCGTTGCTCCTGGGTCATCATCTTGCGCGTACCCTTCATCTGGGCGTCTGCGATGAAGTTGATCTTCTGCGTGTCATCAAAGACATACTCGTAGTCGCCCTCATCCACGAACTCAGCCCGGTTTATCTGAGCTTTCGCCTTTGCAGATTGCTCCAACTCCCATTCCTCGTGCTCAGTAACGAACTTCTCCTGGCCCATTTCATCACGGTCCACGTATCGCTTGTAGAGAGCATCCTCTTTTTTCTTTCGATCAATCTTGCCCTTCTCCGTTATATAGTCCTCCGGCATCATATATCCGTCGCGATGATCGTCAATGCGTAGTCTCTCTTCCGCAACGCGCAGCACCTCCCGATTGCGCGCAAACTCGTCCTTCTCCTTCCGCGTCAGATTCGGATTCTCGCGCAATTCCTGCGTCTCCTCCGCAACCTGCCTTCTTAATAGAGCTAGCCGTTCTGTTTCACGTTTCTTAAGATACTCCTGTCTCGATCTCAGCCTGAGATCTGGCATAGCAGCCGCCCGGGCCTTGGAATCATCTGCCAATGCTCGTCGCCTAGCCGCCTCACTATCCTTCGTCCGGTCCTCCACGATCTTCTTCGACCGCTTGTCATCCTTGTTCGCCAGCCGCTTCGCCAACGCATCGCGCTCCTCGAGGTCTCGTTTTCGGTCACGCTCTTTTCGTTCTTCGGGGTCCAGATCCGCCGAACTCGCTCTTGGACGCGGTGATGCAGAACCATCGTCTAGCCTCGCTCTCTTTGCCGGCGACTCCTCAAACTCCTCTTCAGCATCCTGCAGTTCCTCCTCTTCCAAAACCTCCTCGTCACCCCACCGGTCTTCGAAATCATCAACGTCGCGCCGCCTCAACTTCTTTGACCGATGCCGGTCCCGGCTATGCTCGCGGTCCCTCTTCCGACTCTCATCCTTCTCCCAGCGACCACCGCGACTCTTACTATCCCTGTCCTCGTCACGCTCTTTATCGCGTCTCCTTCGGTCACTTTCTTTTCTATCGGATTCGACATTTCTCGGCCCCAGAGAACTCCCGCTTCCACTCGCAGCTTCATCATCAATCTCATCCATATTCAGGAGACAATATCTTTTCTTCTCTTTCGCCGCTGCACTAGCTTTCGCGTTTCGACTCCCGCTGCTGGTCCCAGCGGTGGTAATTGTGGTAGTTGCAGACTTCCCAACTCGTTTATAAAGCTCCGAGCAAAACGAACTGACCTCGTCTGCACCGGCATCCAGAAAAGGCGCTATCTTATCTTGCAGCGACGAAGACGATTTTGCGGATGTCGCGGTGGCGAGAATGAAGTCGACGACGGTAGGGTCCGACGCATTCGCTAGGCGAAGGAGGGAATCGGAGACGAAAGTGCGATGGTCCATTTTGCGATAGGCTTAATAGCCAATGTGCCAAAGAAGGATTTTAGATCAGAAGAGGTATTTGAACACAGGTTGTTCTTTGCGGACTAGATCTGGTGGCTGTCAGTAGAAAAAGCGCATTGTCGTCTGGCGAAGCCAACTATTGTGAGTGGTCTAGTAGTTGATATAGACTAGCATGAGTAAAGATGGCGATTAGACCATTCAACCTGGGCCCAGGGACAACTGGGTGGTGCTCCGAAAGTAATGAGGTTTGCGGCCGAGTCGGGGAGAGAAACTCGCCGCCTTCTACTACTCCGACGCCAAGAAATTAGCCAGTCAGTGACAACAGAGCTTTCAGGACAATTCAGTCTCAAGGACGATATGCACTAGGACCGCGATTCAAATCTGAATGCCTGAGTTGGGCAGGGATCTTGCCAAGCGTGTCCGATGCGTTATTGTGTCTACGCAGTTGATAATGGACCTTGATTGTGGAGATCCCCCGTTTCTAGATCTCCGAAACCAAGACCATAACAAGTAACAACAATGGACCCTCAGGAAGTGGTCATATCCGCATTGAAAGAGAGAAACATACCGCCGAAACGTGACGAAATTACATCGGCTTTTCGAAATGAGATCAACGGCGTCGGCAATACGGAATGGGTACAGGAACACCTCACCCCGGACACGCTTCTGTCGCAAGAGGAATTGAGACTGTATGCTCTGCACTCTGTACCTGTTAACTGGGATGCTCATATGCTCATTTTGGAACGCTCACATAGGTACTCCAAGCTAGAAGAATCAGGTGCTTTGCCTGCTCTTTTCTCTGATGCGAACTTCGATTCCACTCGACCTTTCCTAGACGATGACCTCCAAAGGGCAATTGAAGCGCTTAACACGTCCACGGCAAATATACAGAGGCAGATAGACATATTGACATCCCAATATGAAATCTTGCACCGGCAACATAAGCGGGGCGACGACCAAGCATCCAAGCAAAACAGAGAGGTGGAACGGTTACGGCGGAAACATGAGGCAGCGACGCAGAATACGGCTGCTGCGGTAATATTCTCATGATGGGGAGTGTAATGAGCTATCGCTAAGAGTCTCACAGATAAGCGAAATGGTGCATGAACTGGAGGTCAGCCTCAAGAATGAATCAGAGAAGTCGACTATGGACGGCAAGAAGATACTTTCTGCTTTGACGGTGCGGTTGAAAGATAACGACAAACTATTATCAGATATCGAGGCGCTTGCATCTGGAGTAAAGTCCTTTGACGGCGACGCCTCTACTATGAAGCGGACAACGGAACTGAGCAGTATCCTGTCCAAATATGTCGCGGAAGAGATATACTGCAGACTTGATCGCTTGTACCTGGAGAAACTCCTCGATGGTAGCAAATCAGTCTCCGATGTCCCAACGGACAAGGACACTGAGACTGTAGCTGGCCTGGAACAAGAGACGGATTCTCTCTATCCCGAAATCGACATCCTGGCCGAAATGTCCACTAAGCAACAATTTGTGGAGCCTATACTACGACAGCTCCGGAATCACCATGGCCAGCTGCGCATAGCCTCTCATCAAAAACTTGACCTTGTAAGCATGCTTTTCCCTTGTCTGCCTTGCCTTGGCCTAATGCGTATTGCTAGATCCTCAAGATGGTCATGGATATGACTACATCTACAGAAAATCTGATCACAGCCCTTCAAGACCGCGAGTCTCTCTGCGCCACCCTCGAGGCTTTTGCATCTGCATATCGGTCTGAGGTGGGTGATCAGATCTTGGACTCGAATAGCTCAAGACGAGAAACAATGAGAAGGTTTTCCACACAACCCACATCCATGTCGGTTCAGCCCGGGAGACAGTTGGGTCATTTCCCTGAATGCGAGGCCTTAAGTGGGCTCTTGCGCCGCTTAGGTCTGTCATTCGAGGCTGTCTTCCAAGCTGAACAAGCCGAGGGTGGGATACAAACCTTGATCACGGAACGACAGCACATGCTCGACGGACTGCACAACTATGGCATTGCCAGTGACTCACCACTAGCGGTTGAGCTGCTACCAACAGATCGGGCAACCAGGCTTGTTTATTCCGCTCTTGAAGCCGATTCTTTGTTTACAACCTCTTTGTCGAGCATGGAGCACGAGAGGAGCCTCTCAGAGCTCGAGTCCAAGCTCAGCCGTATCCAGAAAGGGATCGAGAGACTCAATTATGATGTTGTTTACCAGCGAAACAAGAATAAGGAAAGTTTCCTAGAGAGATGGGGGTAGGACAAAATCGTGGCCGTGCTAAAGCGTCGGGTCTCCTTCATGGCGTCAGCACTGGGTAGTATATTCGCCGGCTTGGAGCAAGCTGTTGTCTCTATCCAACGTCGCTGCCTAGTGGATTAGTTCAACTTTCTGTCATACCTGATTTCTTCAGAAACCAACACTGCGCGATGCATATCATTCGCTGGTTTGGTTGTGGCTGGTGGCCTGGCATGTGGGCATCCCATTCAGGTATGAATAGCCATTGGAAGGTAACCAATATCAACCGAAACTCGGTCTAAGCAGAGCCGCGGTGGCGAAGATGTGTCCCCTCCCATGGGAAGGCTACGGAGTACGTCTGCGGCTCTTTCTCTTCTCAGACTGCGGGTGTGGGAGTTTTTCTGTATTCTGGGGTAACCCTGCCGCAAATTCCATACAAAACAGAGACCCATCCGATAGATACCAATAGATTCTCGTCAAGCCGAACAAGCTTGAGCTAGACTCCAGTGACGGCAGCCAAACAATCTCACCATTATCGCGTATAGATGTGCTCTGACCCTGGACTGCGGCGCACAGCCACCGAAGCCCCCGCCACATCCTGTTTTAGACACAAGATCCAATCATCCAACAAATACACGCGCAGTCCTTCAACAGCCTTGTCTACAGAGCACAGAGATGACATTTTTATCTGCATCTGTGGCCGGTGAAATGACATGCGTCTTGTGTTCGGCTCGTCCCGCTATCGCAGTCGCCACCCAGTACCGTATGGCAACCAGCGAGGCACTGCACCATAGTAGTCGCATGAACTTTTCAAGTCTCTGTTTTGAATTCAGTCATGGAGACACGGCAATAATAGGTTATCACGACATCTTCAGTTTCAGGTTCAGTGCCACTATCTCACGTTGAAAAGGGGAGGTCTTCCTTCATTGTTAGCCAAGTCACCTGCTCTTTGTCCGACCCGGCGCTCATGAAACCTGCCCGGCTGACTTGAGGAAGCCATGGAGGAGTCTAACCCAGTGACCGAATCGCAAAGAAAGCAATGAATGCCGAAGATTCTTCTCGTAAATAAAGGTAGGGATGACCGAAGTAGATGCAAGCTGAACGACTGGGATGGGGGTGGGCTGTGCGAGAGGATCTAGGGCTGTTTTCTGCTAGCATTTACGTAGTAGGATCTTCTCCCTGCTCCTAGTTCTTCAGCCTTGTCGGCCTGCTAGTGGTGCATGCTAGGCTGCAGTGCTATTTGATGTTAGGCAGGTACCCGGATCCTAGCAGGCCTGTTCCTGGGGCTTCAGATTACGTGCATCCTGGTTGTCTTTCTGTAAGGCATCTTTCTTTGATCTTTTGAAACAGCCATTCCTGAACAGATATAAAGACGACTTTGTTCACCTCTTCCACTGATATATATACATACCTTTGTAAGTACACGACAGAGAAAGACCTCTGACTGCTTCTCATATCCTGATACAAAATCAGGCGCTTGCCTTTGAACCCATGACGTTGACCACATGTTCTTCATTCATGACTGCGCTTTGAAGGAGGTTCTTGTCGTCACAGAATAAACATTTCAAGGTATTCTTCCTCTTTTTAGTTGCTATTATGTGGTATATTTGTCTTTTCCTGTTGTTAGCCCTTTGTCCGGGGATTGGTCTGGGCCAAGAACGAGTATACCTCAAACAAGCAATACAACTGTTTGCCAATATTTGTACTCGAGACCTCCTTACCTGCCAGGACTCAGTGCGGATTGCAGAAGATATTTCCATCTGGCGTTGGGACTGCATAGTGTTCAGCCTCGCCTGGAGACCTTGCCGGGAAACCGAACTGCACCTGTTTGATATACAACCGCTGACGTACATTCTGCAATGGAGATTCGAACACGAAAAATCATTCGCCGGTACGTGACCAAAGACGGCGGGGGAATATTCAGGCGCCCAAAAGTCCTGGAACGAGACGAATACTACTACAATCGCCATGCTCAACGTACACGTTCCGAGGAGAGCCACTCACCATCATATCGCATAATCGAGACAAGGGAGCCTTTGCGATCGAGGTCAAGCCCCAGCCCTCTGCGGAGACGAGATACCTCGCCAATCAGGAGCAAGCCGTTCATAATGCGCATGCCGTATACTATCAGACGGGTTACCCGAAGGGCAGACGAATATGAGCCTAAACAAAGAGGTCGGGATAGGTCCCCTCGCACATTCGTCGTGGATCCTCCTCCAGAGACACCGTACGCTTGGCCCAAAAGCGAAAGGCGAAGGTCTCCCTCGCCCAATATCCGGTACATTTCACCAAGAAGAAAGCCTACTCTTCGAAGGGTCTCACCCAGAAGACCATCTCCTCGAAGACCGGCCCCCCCTCCCCTGAGAAGAGAGACTGAAACAACTGTGGTTGTTGAGAATACCCCTAGAGAGTCGCGCTCGCTGGAACGCCGCAAAGGGCCCAGGCCACCACGCGAGCGGACGCCGGTAGTTGAGCGCGAGCCGGTCAGGCGAAGACCGGCTGCCGTGGAGATTCACCAATCACCAGAAAGAAGACGAGAGCACAGTGGAAGCACTGGACGACGTCAAGTCCGATTTGCAGAGGACATCAATCGGGAAGATTTCGAAAACCGAGCCCGAAAGAACGAGGAATATTCGCTATCTGAAAGCGATATTGACTATCGAGACGAAACCCGGCGTCGCATTCATGAGCGCAGAGTACGTAGGGACCTCGATGACACACCTAGGCACCGGTACGTGTCGCCAGAGAGAAGGACGTACAGGATCACCGATTTACCGCGCCCTTCTGTCAGATCGAGTCGTCTTCGGCCTCAGATTATCCAAGATGGAAACCGCGAGATCTCAGAAGATGGTGATCGCATCTATGCCGAGGCACGCAGAAGGAGAGAGCAAGAGCGAAGACAGCTCCGCGAAGTCGTGCCACATTCGAGTTCGCGATGGAGACGCCACCTCGACGGGATCCGGGACTTCAGCTCTGACGATGATGAGTATTACTCTCGCGGCATCGGCTCTCGTCGATATGGCCGCCGCTGGCTTTGAGGGAGCACAACATTGGCTCTGGTTTAGTATGATGTGTATTTTCCTAGTTGATCAATGTCCTGTCGTTCACCGGTTTCTTTCGGTTGGGTTGGATTTTGAAGCGGCGCTTGGAAAGGACGGAGTCTGGTTATAGGTTACCAAGGTTATTTATAGGTGTAGTCAACTTCGACAAACTGGGGTATTTCTGGAAGCAAATGGCATGCATGAAGATTATGTCTGTTCCTGCACCCCTTTCACATGAATTCGAGCACTAAGAAACCTTGGTAGCCATGCAGGAGGACGGATGGAACCGTAGTGACGGTCGCAGCTAAGAAAGGCGCCGGGAAAATAGCAGGCTAGTGCCCGATCAGCCAAAGCCCACGAGGGCTTCATCTCAACAAAGATCTCAGTCTCCATGATGATACCTACTAGCTCACATTTACCGAAGGCTCGTGATGCAACCTGCCGACGAGGCGACAATTCTGCGCAACAGAAACTAATCTAAACCAACCGTTTGGCTTGTTTGCCTGCCTCTGGAATCTCTGGGCAGGTGCTACTGCTCGCAGCCTCATCGTGGGTGGTGTGGTGCTTCGTTGGTGAATCGCTGGCCTCACTAACGACGGTATCTCAGTGGCTTTGGAAATCGAACCAAAACGACACTCACGAAATTTCGAAGCCGATGGATCGATTCCTCTGAGTCTCATCTTCCCCCACCCCGCCTCAAGCCCCGTCACTCCACGCCGCTTCTCGCTTCTCAACTTGGCTTGACTACGACGTGCGCGAAACAAAAGCCGGGCGCAGTCCGACCATGCTCTTGTCATCTACGTTGCGCGGTACATCTATCAATACAGACGTACGTTTCGCGCCTCTATACCTATTCCGTCCACCGATTGCAGCCAGTCGCAATGAACAGTGGGGGCGCCGAGGGAGAGGATCAGCCTGCAGTTGATAATGCAAAGGCTCCGCAGGTGCTTGGGTTACTGCCCTTGCCTGACGAAGCAAAGAATGACCCAACTTTCCACCGCATACACATAAGCACCATCAAGCCAGAGAATGCTATGGAACTATTGTGTGCGGCCGTGGACACCCTCGAAGCCATATCAACGACACGCACACTAGCCAACAATGAACTTGGTACAAGGAACGAATTATCAAGCGGCGAGAACACACCGACGCGGGTGGACGAGTTGCATTTCCACCCTCACGGCCACGATATCATGCAACAGTCTCTTCTCTGCAAGCGATTTATCTCCAAGCGAGAGCCACCAATAACGCTCAAGGAGTACCTCACGCGATTCCATCGTTACTGTCCTTTATCTACAGGAGTGTACATCGCGACCAGCCTGTACATCACCCGACTAGCCATTGTTGACCCGGTCATATCAGTGAACCGGAAGAATATGCATCGCCTGGTGCTGGCTGGGCTGCGCGTCGCGATGAAGACTGTTGAGGATCTTGTCTATTCGCATGATCGAGTTGCTAGGGTCGGGGGGGTCACAAGTACGGAACTCACGCGACTGGAGATCAGCTTCTGTTTTCTAACGGATTTCGACCTACGTGTCGACGAACAAACACTGGATAATCAGGCCGGAACCCTGCAATGGTACATGGAACACCCTATCTGATCAGGGCTGTAGGCTTGAGCTAGCACAGTTTGCGGATCGTTCCTAGTACGATAGGTAAGACCTCAGAGATAACTCCAATACTTGCTATCATCAGCAGGCCGGTCGACCTGAGTTTGGCGTTGTTTTCGTCACGTTGAACTTCATATTGATATCATTTAGTCCCCTGGATACCTCTTGTGTATTTATCAGCACTAAAACCTTTTCATAGTAAGCGAGGGTTTGAATTCGGAATCAATGCGGCTGCCTAACATGACCCGAGCGGACAACTAACTATGCGAGTAGGTAATGATGCCATTCAGCGCGTAGCCAAGTAGATAACGGCTTCAAAGTCCGAGAAACAGGATACAAATGAAATCTAGGCCCGAAAATACGTAGCTGGAAGATAACAATAAGTTGGTGTTGACTCGGCGTCGTTGTCGGAGGCGCAAAGATCGTCCCTTCAGCCCGGCCAGTCTTAGCGTCCGTAGCCTCGCCTCCTCGATTGACAGCCAACAAGTGACCTGTTCGCTCTGAGCCGTTTTTTCTCGCTCTGAGCGACACGGTCTTTCTCCTCTTCGCTTCGCTTTTATTTTCTCCGGTTGATGGGCTTTAGTCTGTTCGCGGACCATTGTCGTGCGGTTGTTTACCACCTCCGCATTGCTTCTTCAGCCTTAGCTTAGCGCCTCCCCGAATTTGTATCGTGTCAGGTCTCCGCCCCGTTCTTCCTGATCTCATCAATCGCCAAAAGGACTTGTTCGATCCTGCCACCACGTTCCGCTGCTACTTACTCGGATAAGAAACGGAGGATGTCTTCCGGAGGCTCCTCATCCGGGCCTCAAGGCAGCAGCAGCAATAGTCCTGCTGCCGCGAGCTTAAGTCCGCCTTCCGCGCCCTCTGGCAAAAGCGCCGCTACGCCGCCGAAGATTGCGACCGATGATGTCTCGGTAGAGCTCAATACTATGAAACCGGAGCGCAGTCCGGCCAAGTCGATTCCGCTGGGTGAAGATGTCATGCAGGTTGCTCGAATTGGAGAAGTCTCGGTCATGCAGAAGCTGTTCGATGAGAAGAAGTTCACTGCGAACCACTCGGACGAGGAAGGGATTACACCGTTACATGTGCGTCTGCTTCCTTGCGCCTTTGAACTTTGAAGTCTTGTCATGCTAACCATGTACTTCGTTCTCAGTGGGCCGCGATCAACAACCAGTATGCAATGTGCAAGTTCCTGATAGATTCCGGGGCCGATGTGAACGCGAAAGGAGGAGAGTCGGTCGCTACACCTGCGATGTGGGCTGCTCAGCGGTGCCATTATTATATTGTTCATTTGCTGCTCCAGAACGGCGCCGATCCGCTTCTGACCGACGTCCAAGGCTACAACATCCTCCATCTCGCGACGATCGACGGGAATGCGTTCTTGCTTGTCCTACTTTTACACCAGGAGATTCCGGTTGACGTTGTCGATCAACAGGGGCACACTGGCTTGATGTGGGCGGCTTATAAAGGGTATCCGGCATGCGTGGACCTGTTCTTGCGCTGGGGCGCAAACCCGAACGCAGTCGATGATGGCGGACTGGCGCCCCTTCACTGGGCTCTTGTCAAGGGGTCTTTGCCGTGCGTTCTCAAAATACTTGAGTATGGTGCGGATCGATTCGCAACGACGACAGACGGCAAAACGCCGGCTCTTGTAGCGCAGGAAATGAACACGAGGCATGTCTGGTACCGTGCTCTGAGCGAATGTGGCTATGACGCGGATGGAAACAAAAAGGTCCTTCCCATGGGCTTGGGCCCTTATGTCCGGGACAAAGCCGTTATGTCGAAGTTCTTCTTTCTCTGGCCATTCCTTCTGCTCTTTGTGGCTCTATGGATCCTCGGCAATATGGTCGTTTATTTCGCTATTCCCATCGCCGCGGTGGCGGTATTTGGGCTACAATGGGTCGCCAAAAAGGCTGCCAGCCAGGGGCCTACGGAATTTAGGATACTTCAGAAAACGGTGAGAGTGGACTTGCGAATATCGTGCCGTCACAGCTTGCTGATTTGTTCTTAGCCTTTTTTGGCTGGTGTTTTTGCGGGCTCACTATTCTGGGTCTTCATCAGATATGTGCTCTATGTGCTACCAGGTAAGCCTTCTTCCAGAATTGAGCCCCTCAGGCTGTGCTGATTTGCGGTTACAGCGACGTATTCCACAAATCCCTTCCTAAACCTCGGTTTCGCGGTGTTCTTCTCCTTGACGACATACTTCTACTTCTTCTCCATGGTCACGGATCCGGGGTATGTTCCGAAGCTTGGCAGCAGAAACCAGCAACGAGCAGTGATTGGCCAACTGTTTGAAGAGTGGAAGTTTGACGAGGAGAATTTCTGCGTCTTCTGCATGAACCGAAGGCCTCTTCGTAGTAAACACTGCAGGCGCTGCTCGCGGTGCGTCGCGAAACATGACCAGTAAGCCCTCACCGATCTTCCCCAAGTATGATGCTAATTCACGCAGTCATTGCCCCTGGATTGATAACTGCGTCGGTGCCAATAACCTGCGCCAGTTTGTTCTGTATATTCTTTGCTTAGAATTTGGCATTATTCTTTTCCTGCATTTGACTTTCAACTGTGAGTAACGTCGTTGCCAGCATGTCGGGACCAACACTAATACAGCTGTTAGATATCAACGGATTGCCGGCGCCCGCGGAACCAAAGTGTAATGTGTTGAACGATCAAATATGTGATTTCGTGCTTCGGGATACCTTTACCCTTCTTCTCGATGTTTGGATCGCGATCCAGCTGGTCTGGGTTACTATGCTTGGCGTTGTCCAGCTCGTTCAGGTCTCCCGAAACCAGACCACGTTTGAAAATATGAGAGGGCACTCGATGGACCGCGGTCATTCCAGCACACGGGCTTTTGCTTCTGCCGTCACAGCGGGTACGACGTCTCTCGATGCAGCTGGTCTCTCGGCCTCCGGTCAAGGCCCAAATCCAGCGCTGGCGCAAGGTGGACATCGGCACCGGGGTGGCTGTCTAAAGCAGTGGTCATCTCTCCTCGGTTTTGACACTTTCTTCGCAACAGCGCGAGATGGTCTCCGAGACGGACCCCGTGCTGCACGACCGAAGAACCCCTTCTCCCGCGGCGTCGTCTCTAACTGCCGGGACTTTTGGTGTGATCCGGCGCCGTACTTTGGCAAACGGGAACCTGGGTCTGCCATGCTAGGCGGCGAAATCGTCAACTACAACAGTATGTACGAGTCTCCGTCGCGCATGCATAGCGGCGGCGACTACCGGAGCGTGCCGTACGATGAATCGGCGGACATTGTATAGATCGAACCGCTCTTGACAAGACACGAGGGTTGACACGAGGGTTGGAGAGATATAATATAATGAGTCACTGAACGATCCCATTGTTACGCCTGTTGGGTTATGAGGGTTTGTTCCTTGTATAGTGTTGCATATACAGTTCTGCGCCTGTATATACTGCGAGGCATGATTAGCATATATGTACTTATGATAATGTGTATACTCAATTCTTTTAGGCTTCCAGGGCTGAGTCCCTATAAAAACGAGGTAGATGGTTCCTTAGTTCCAGGTAGAATGAAAAATACGCCCGAAATACTGAGTCTCCTGGACGCGAGAGAAACCCGAGATCCGATATCGCACATTAAGTGTAATATTTCCATTTCGCCTGTCTCACTCGCTGTCTGTCCATCCCGCATCATTGCAATTCCGTACAGTCGTTTTTCCACTTTATCGTCTGGTTCCGGTGGGCACTCTGAAACCCAGATCCCACACTAGCATCTTATCTCGGCTAGCAGCTGGTTTGCCTCTGGCCTTGGCCCTTGGTTCTGGTAGTCTGGGACCCGAGACGGTGAATTGGCCACGCGTTTGCCGTGCGCGGGTGGTTGGCTGGTCTGGTCTAGCGGTAGGGGTAAGGTTACAATGCTTACTCCGAGGCTCCCAGCAAGGTGATGTATATCTAGAGCTAGTATGGTGAGATTCCTCAGGGAAGCTCCCTGTAGCCGGGCGGAAGCCTGAAGGATGCACTACGAACACGGACCATGGTCAGAGTAATCTATTGTGGAGATGATTGATTTGATTGATTAGGGCTCAGTAGCAGGATCATGCCATTCTCATGCCATTCTTGCAGAGTTCGGGCTAGTAATGATAATATGACCTCGGATTGCTCTTACAACTGCCTCATCGGAGAACAGAACTGGATACTACCTTGAGTCCACTCAGCTACTGCACTCTGTATGTGTCAATTCCCAGCTCCGCCGGCCTGCATGCTGCACGTGAAAGCAGCTCTGAGGGCCCCGACCTTCTCCGACGCAGGAGTTCAGTCTGCACCACACCAAGTACCAACTGAGCTGCGAACTGCATGGCCCGGCTTCGGCGGGAGATGCAGAAAGTCCCTGGTACCTATCTACCTTAGTAAGGGTCTGGAGCCTCTTCGCCGAGTCCCAGCTCCTGTATGTATGGCTGTATGCAGATCGCAGTCAAAGCTGGTATCTTCATCCGAGGCTGTCGAGATCTCGCTTATAGAACGTCAATATGAACTTTCCAACAGTCAATCGATGTCGCCCGAGTAGTTGCTGCTTCACTTCAATGCTGCTGGGTTGTAGTGTGGACCTCTCCTGATGATCCGACCGAGGTAAGATACCCGTCAATCCGTACTATAACGCAAGACGATACTGTAGAGTCTTGACTCTTGAGCTGCTATGATCGGCAAGCCACCCACGAAAGAAGGGAAACCAGTCACCGGAGGATTCAGGGAAAGCGAGTCGAGGGAGGGGACCAAGAGTGACCAAGATCTTAGTCAAGTCATGGAAGGGATAATAATGAGTAGTGCGGCGGTTAGGCTAGATTTGCTTCTTCAGCAGGGCTGGGCTTGGACTCGGACTCGGGTTTGGACTCTGAATGGATGGACTACCTATTGAGCCGTTGTCCGCGGACCGCAAGTTTTCTTGGTGGTGGGGACAGATATCAAAGCGTGGGCGTCGGCTAGGAACTCGTTACGCGCAAAGTGAAAACCTGGTGGATCAATCTGATAATGATTCGCCGTTGGGCTCGAATTTCCTGCAAACTCTTCCGAGTCAATTCAACGATGTTCGCTGGAAAGTCAGTGATTCTGCAGGCCTGTTATGCAAATATCCTGCAGTCAGCATAAAAACCCAACCGGGATTACGATAGTCCCACAAGTGTAAGTGTAACAGCGGGAAATTGCGGTGGCTTGGGCACGGCCAAGATTCAATTTTATCAGATGAAAAATCTGATTAGATATCGATCAGTTCCGCGATGGGTCTCGTAACTACGTTCCAACTTCCGGCGCAACGCTCCCAATTACTGTTCGGATCGTACAGAATAATAGCCCTCATATCATGAACCGATTCTCATCCTTGTCTCTTGGAAGTTATTGGCACGCTTGCTTAATGATACCTCACTTCCAATGGGATCTGCAGCTGCGAATTATCTAAAATCTTTTGACTTTGTAAGCCGCCGTCGTGAGCGCCGTCGGTCGCGGCCGGCTGGATTTGAACGTGGTCTGTCTTTTGGTGTGGGTCGTAGTCGGGACAAAGAGGGAATGAGCTGCAGTTGCAGGAAGTAACCCTGGCGAGAGGCCTCGGCGAAGCAAGTCAAAGCTGATGATCGATCAATCTGTATCTCACTATGCTTGTGTGGAACCAGCGGTGAGGCAGAAGTTCCCTGTCAGTGATCTTTAGAAACTCCAGTATAGGACGAATCAGGAAGTATTCATGAGTAGGATCTATATAGCCAACCAGATTACATACACAGTAAATGCCAAGTGGAATCCGCTTTTTACTCCCACGCTAATGTAATCCATACATCAAGTGGGTCCACCAGCTTCTTCGTTATTACTTTTGAGTCGGAATTTTTCACAGCATTGCGCGGAACCTGGTGTCCGGCACCGCCGCGCTCTCAAGCTGCTCTCCGAAAATCGATTCCACCATCTCGCCACCTCGCGCGGCCAGAACCGACAGCAGGCTGTCACTCAGTCCATGCGTCTGCTCGTTGCTGCCCTGCAACCAAATCCCAGCATCGGCGCTGACCTTGCTCCGGTCGAGGTCAACGCGGTAATCCCGGCTCGGGGTCCAGCGATCCTGCGTCGCCGGTCGCAGCTGCTGTACCTTGCTGAGGAGCTGTTCGTGGCCATTGCGGTTGTAGCCGGTGGCGACCATGAGCGCATCCACCTCCAAGACTTCCTTTCCGTCACCGACGAGGCTATCCTTGCCATCCTTGACTGCCTTGACATGCACCCGCATCCGCTTGTTGGGTCCGTAATGTTCGACGCGTGTGATCTTGCGGCCGGGGAGGACGCGGTGCTGCCATTGGGTCTCGTCGGGATTCTTGACTCTCTGGAGGTACATTTCGTGGTAGATTTCCTCAATCAACTCGAGTCTGACGACACTGTAGTTCGTGGCTTTATCTTGTTTGAGGGAACGTTGGCGCTCGGAGGCCGAGAGGTTGAAAAACTTGTCCGTTCGCTCGGGGTTGAAAACCTCGTTCACGCTGATAGCGGGTTAGTCCGTTTCGTAGACACAAGATATAATGGACTTACAATGGAGAGTCATCACTAGGTCTCATGGCGGAATCTCGCATGATGAGGGACGTTCTGGAGTTGGGATACCGCCTGTGGAGGTCTTGGAAAATCTCAGCAGCACTCTGGCCGCTTCCTAGGACTGCGATGTTGTAGGGCTCGTCGTTGTCCTTGAGCAGACTGGGCAAGACCGCACAGTACTTGGACGAGTGCATGATCCGGGGATCTTGGGGAAGCTCGGCCGGCAGCTTTGCACTGCCTCCAAGGGCAAGCACAACCTTGCGCGCACTCCGCGATGAAATTTCGCCGGTCTCCACGTTGCGGGATAGAACGGTAAAGTAGTCGACTACATGGCTGTCTGGGCTCGACTTGCCGGGGAGCACCTCAATCACTTCTTCGCCGTAAGACACAACATCCGAGAACTGGTTGGCGCACCAGCGCATGTAGTCTTCAAACTCCATCCGGGCCGGGAGGAAGGTGCTCAGGTTGGTGAAATGGATCAGGCGATCCTTCTGGTGGAGGTAGTTGAGGAAAGTGAAGCTGCTGCGAGGGTCACGGAGAGTGGCAAGGTCTTTGATGAAGGAAATTTGCATTTTGGCACCAGGAATCTGCATTCCAGAGTGCCAGGCGAACTGTTTCTGACGCTCCAAGAAAGCGACCTTGGGCTGCCAGCCGGAGGTGGGAGCACATTTGTTTAGGCACGGGTCGAGGGCGTCATGGAGAGCTACCGCAATCGACAGACTCGCTGGGCCAAATCCGACGCAAAGCAGATCATGCAGCTCATCCGGGGGGGTAGGCCGCAAGCGTTGAGGGGCACGTTGCTGCGCCAGGGGCATCTTGCGATAGCTCTGAAAGTCCTCGGACTTCCTCTGAAGGGGCTCCATTGGTCGCTCTGTTCAAATGAAATAGCAAAGGCAAAAGCTGGGTATCAGGAAATCTGTCGCAAAACAAATCAGAGGGAAATTGAAGCTTCGGGGGAAAAGACGAGATCGTCGGAGAGGTGGAAGGGTCGGCCGTTATATGTGGCAGGGGTGGGCATCGAGGAACAGGGAATAATCAGATTATCAGACAGACCCATCCTGCTAGTAGCCTGGTAACGGAGGTTGAGCTCTCGTAATGGCAGGAAATTGCAAATTCGCATGGAAATACAATACGGCAACAGAACCAACGCCTTGAGAGTGGGTTTTGACAGGACATCGGGCCGTGAGGTGTTCCACACAAATGACGAGTGCCGGAACACGCCATGCTCTGTTCACTGTTGCCCGTAGTACGGTCGGAGTACCGTAAATCTAGGTAGCCTACTTGGCTGAGCATGAGCATGGCCAGAAACCTTCAGGCAGAGCCCCGCAGTCCAAGCACCAAAGAACGTGGGATATGATTATGGACTGATTAGATCCGACATCGGGATACTCCCGAGCCTACTTTTGAGTCCAATCTTCAAGTTCCTTTGTTGAACAATTGAATTGTTCCCACGCATAAGCGGTATGCTAGCACTCCACTGTGCCTAGGTAACATTGCATGCAGGCCTAGGTATCTGCGAGGTGGCGGGGTAACTCGAGCATATTCAAGCTACATTTTGTGCATGAACCTTTGCACAAAACAGGATTATCTGGGCTTATTATATATCTACAGAGCTCTTGAGTCGCAATTCCAAGTGATCATCAACCTGGCAGGAATGTCTTTTTCCTTACTTTGTCATTAACTACATACATGGATCCAGTACCTGCTGTCCGATCTCGATTTGCTCTCCGCCACTATATCCCCACGCCAGAAGACACCGGATGCGGATCTCAAACTGTCGCCCTGCGCGATCTCTCGCTAGCTCAGGCTAAGGAAGATAGACCGGACTGTTGGGTCAGGAAAATGAGTATCGCTTTGAGGCCGTGGCCTGAATGCTAAATACTAGGTTTCACGAAATACCACACTACAGGGCCCTTCAAAACACGATCTTGGCTCACAGACGCAATGAACATGGGTCCCTGCAGCCGACATGGACTAACGTATGCATGGAGCGGCCCTGCAGCCAACATGGACTAACATAGTTATGTATGGAGCGGCCCTGCATCAGAAGCAGCTTAGATACTGCTCGCTTCAACTACGAGTGATGGTGACCTCCAAGAACAGACTTCCGCCTTAAACAAAGTGCTTTTACCAGTATAGACCTAGGACGGCTGGGATACGCAAATTCCACAGATCTCAAGAATATCGGAGCTATGATCAACTTGACTGGGATCTCCATTTCAGCGCTCGTCTCGCGTTCGTACCCCCATCACTACCGCTTCCTTCTACCAGAGTACTTAGAGCGTGAGTATCCCACGCGAGCTCCACAACGGGACTTATCTCCTTCGACAATCTCTGTTCCAATGGGAGACATGTGTCTGCCTTTTTTTGGTTGCAAATGTCTGCATCGTGATAGGCGGATGTAGATCTACGGGGCCAACGCTCCCTTTCAAGTACGTGCTAGAGGGTGCCTGTGACCATGGCGTAAGTCATCTGCCCATCTCATCGCACTGCATTTATCTCACGAGATCAATCTCCAACCCATCTCGACTATAGTTCTTCTGGTTTTGGCGTTGTCCGCGTCAAATGAGGCACTATGTATTCATACGTGGAAGCTGTCAAGGGAGAGTCGATATCAATCTCTCTGGTCAATGGCAGCATCCACCAACCTAGGCTCTTGCTACTCGAGGCCATTGCACCGTGGCTTCTCCACCTCTGTGGCCATGGAGCCGGGAGCCCCCATGGCCATAGCCCACTCTGGCGGCTGGACGAGTCGGCCCGTGGAGTTCATGCTCTGAAGCGGAACTGCATGCCCCCCCTACAGTGAATGCAATAAGGGCGTCTTTGTTTATTGAATTCAGGCTTTAGACGTCTTGGCAGATGTACGGCAGCAAAACTGCTGCGCGAAACTCCTTGCCAATGTCCCGATAGCATGATCTTCGGACAAGGAGCGTCCAGGCATGGCCCAAATGATCTCGCTCCAAAAGCCTCCAAACTTCGCGCATTGCATGTTGACAGCCAGGCATCCTTGTCTGTAAGCACTGCAAATGCCATTCCGACCGCTTTAGTCAGTAACCATGAGCACGAAAATGTCGGCTCCCAGGCGGGAAAACTTGAATCGTCGGCATTGCGCCATACAGCCTACTCACATTTGAATGACTCTGCAGGCGTCACTGATTCTATGACAAGCCTGCACAACACTTCTTGTGAGAGAATACTCTTGACTGATGCATTTGGACTGCGCGGATGCTGGCTCTAGTTCGGCATCTGCAAGTTCATGATGATCCAAACGCAAAGTACGTATGCTCCTTCTGCTCTGACAACTTCCTTGCTTAATTCGCCCATAAAAAAGGAATTGACAGCTGCCATCTAGGAACGATGTCCCTGCGGTTTCTTCCAGAACGTCAGGATCCGAACCATCCCAGGGCCTCTTACTTGCAGTGGAACTATGAACAGTTAGAAGCCGTCAGTGTTGCGGTTCTTCGCTCACCATCACACATATTCTGTCAAAGGCCAAAATCGGACTAGTGTTCGCTGTTAGGATAGCTCGGATACTAGACGATTAACGGCAAAGTCTCGCGGGTTTACCTGCATCCTCATAGCGGTAGACCTCTGACCCATTCCCAGGATCGATTACTCCCGCCCCTTGGATGAGATTTCGGCTACGGGAGGCCTTTGCGCCTGCAAGGTTTCGAGGTAGAGGCTATTATTGAACTCTTCAGCAGTCTAGCTTGCACAATTGAAAGAAGGGCAAACTTATTGGCAAGGTGGCTAGAAAACAAGGAAGCTAGAGGTCAAGCCGCAAAGGGATGGGCAGAGGTCCAGATACGGAACCATATCGAGACTTGTCATATTTCGGCTCGCGGCGGGCTAGTAGAGATTAGATATCGGCTAGCGAACCCGAAGAAGATATCAAGATGCGGTGTGCTCCTGAGGTTATCCTCATGCAGTGCTCGAACAGAACTAGCGATTTTATACTTGGTTGTGCTGCGAATATTGGTATGGTGATGCAGTCGGTGAAGAGCTGGGATCTTGCTGCAGTCTCTCGTCGACTCGCAAGACTGACTAAACTTATTAATTGAATCAAGGGATACATGGGTCACCAGACAATCAATGCGCTTCAATATGGTAGCAACCCTGGGGTTCGCGTTGGGACAAAATGCGGTATAGAAAGTGGACTTAGGGCAGCACAGGTATATATTCCGCCAGTCGTCAGGGACAACCGATTTCCTCCCAGCAACTTCATCGTCGGGCTTACCAGATATTCTCATGGAGATGGGATATGCGGAGTATCGTCATTGATTGGGCCCATCTACCTTAGGCACCAATGATGCTGATGCTCTATGTGAGACGGGGTGCTTCCACGTTGGACTCTGGACGAAGCCGATGACAGCATTGAACATTCCCTGTGGAGTGGGCCAACCACCAACCACAACCTCCAGATCTACTGACAGTCCCCGACAACATAGATGCCCAAGTTAACGAAGATCCCAACCGATTATCACCTTATCAAGGGATGTTAATGACATTTGCAGCGCCATTGATGATGTCGATGCTCTGGAATTGGATACGTCAGAAGAGGGAGATGGCCCCGACGTCACACGTGGACAGGGGGGCTTTGTCGCTATCTGAACGCACTACACAACAGATGAGACCGGGCAACTGAAGCTATGCTGAAAGCTTCGAGTCTTCAACTGAATTCCATCCAGAGGTCGCAACCTAATCCCAGGCGAGTCTGTGAGCCAGCCTCACTTTGAAATTTTGGCTGCGGTGTGCTGACTCATTGTTTATTTATTTTGTATTGTACTAGGTATTTATCCTCGAGGTGACGATGGTGAGAAGACTTCAGGAACAGCTTTGCCACTCGACCCAGCCCAACTGGGGATCATGATAATCATGATATTAGTTGTGCAACCGGTGGCGATGTGCTTGGGTAAGCAGAGCATAAACACATGCATGCAAGGGAGGCATGATCTTATCGAGCATCTCGACCACTATCGATAGCTCGATACGCTGTTTGCGCCCCTCTAAAAGACTCCCGAGGTTGAGTCTCGAGCATGCCATGTCCTGGATCAGCTGGCAGCACTGGATCAACGCTCCAGGAGATACCGATAGCATTCAAATTAATAAACTTGTAGTCAGGTAGTATAGGAGGAGAGTGTAACATTGTTACAGTTCTGTAATGTGCCTTGGTGGCGCGTGGACGTGAAGGGCGCTAACCCCGATTGATCAGGGGAAACAACAGACCGCACGCGTCAAGTCGCGTAGTCCAAACATCCACAGCCCAAGTCCCGCCCCCAGTGGCCGCCGAAGACGAGCGAAGAGGCGCTTCGACGGTCAGGCACGCTGCTCAACTTTTTTTCCCTTCCCCAGTCGTGTGTCATCCGGCCAGGGCCTGCTCTCCATATCTCCATCGACCCCGTTCCATGTATTTCTCTATTTCTCCGTCTTTCCCGTGCCATCTAGCTGATTATTGCTCCCCATTCGAAGTCTAAAACAGGAACACCCCTCCCCTCTGTCCCGCAAGGGAGATCCCTCGGCCGATTTTCTTCAGCGAGTGTGGCCGCTGCATACCGCAAGTTCCATCAGTATCCGCCCCTCTCTCGGTCCATCCGGTCGCTCATCCCTTCCTTCGCCTTCATCTATTATCGATTCATCATCGCGTGGTTGTCTGTTTCCAGAAAGTCAGCTTCAACTTAGCACCCCCTTGCGCTGTCCACGGCCTGGCGAGCCCATTCGTTGGAGTTTAAAGAAAGGGAGAAGGAAGGGACACGCAGACTTGCTGCTGCTACTTCTCCTGCATTCGAATTAGATCAGTGCTTATTGCACCTTCGGCCTGTCTCTGGCGCATCCGAACCGTCGCAGTGCCGCAGGGTATCGCAGCATTTGCCCTGGTCTCAAACCTGCGCGCGCGGACTGGTCGCGCCTGCACATCTCGCGTCGGCGCCTGCCTATCCTGACACCTGAAACATCCCTACCATTCTCGTTTCATCTAGGCGCTTGGGGAACCCAACAAGTAAACAACAGACCTTCGGTTTCATCGACGCGCCGGTAACTTGGAGCTCGCCGAAAGGCGCTTCCACGATATCAATAGCGAGCGTGTACGGGGTTTCCATAAAGCGGTCTTCTGGAATTCCTCAACGCTCCTCGACCTTGTGATGTCAAATCATAGCTCGCTTTGTCTCGCTCGCTTGTGCTTTGGTGTTATTGCGCACAGTTCTCACATTCCATTGCGTTGGATATTGACTCCCTCGATCGCGATTCGCCTGTCGTGAAGGAAAAGAGAGCCGCCTGTTCACCTTGTTGTGTTTCCTGCTGCGCCTCGAATAGCTGACCGGCCCTCGACACGACCGACTTCAAAAATACTCAGCTCTCACTTCTACCTCATATTATACTTACCAGACTCCGAGTGTTTTCGCCTCGATTAAGCTGTTTCAACCTCATCAATAATGGTAGCGACATTTTCACCTCACCGCGATGCGGGTGGCACATTACACCTGTCATCGCATTCTGGCATCCACCATATTGACGCCAACACAGCCATCCGACAACTTCGTCGATCCTTCTCGCGCTCGCCCTCTAAGAGTTCGAGTTTTTCTCTTCTAGGCTCTCGGAACCACTCCCCATCCAAGAACTCCTCATATGTTTCTTCTCCGTTGTCACCATCGCGAAGGTCTGCGCAAGGCAACTTTGTGCTCTTCCCCAGCTCCTCCCAGCAGTCACCGTTCGCCGTACCGTATCCGCCCAGCGCTAAGATTTCACGCCCTACTATGCGCCGCGCGCGCACTTCTCCTCGGAGCCCAGTCAAGCGCGCTCTGAACGTGTCGACTGACCAAGGGAACGCGAAACCTCTACATGAGATCCCCGTCACCCCGGGCGTAGAGAACTCTTCTACGGTCCCCGGAATTAGCCTCTCACCTGACGAAACGGGTGGCGGTGTAGGTACATGCTCAAACGAAGAATCCGTTGTATACGCGGATGATACACCAAATCCTCGGCCCTCGGCGTCCCGGATTGAGAAACGACGAAGCGGCACCTTCGGCTCAGCTGTCAGCCCGATGAAACGAAGCGACGGTATCATGAATCTAGACCGCGCATCACGCGGTAGTCCTTCTGCGAAGCGACGAAGTGTTCAAACAGTTAATCTCTCCGGGGACTTCAGTATATTCGACAGCGAAGGCGTTACGAATACAGCGGAGGATGCGCAAACAGAAGAGGTTGATTTGGAGAAAGACGCAATATTCTTTCCAACCACCACGACACCACCCTTCAGCCCTTTTGCAACTGTCCCTAGACGGACTTCTTCTCTGCGGCGGTCAACACTGCAGCAGCGCCCAAATGAACGATCCTTGTTCTCTCGAACTAGGGCTTCGGGAAACTCGGAGGAACCCGAGGCTGGCACACCTCTAACCGTTCGTTCCCGTCCATCTTTGGACCATAACACCTTTTCACCTCATCGCGAGAGCCTGTTCTCACCACGCCCTGCTCAGGGTAGCTCTTTGTTTTCAAACTCACACGGCGCAACGTCTCGACCTGCCGCCCACCCACTGTCCAGGACAATCACTCAATCCTCGTCCAGCTCTAGCCTGGTAGACGATTCGCCCACTCATGAACCGCCGCAGAAGAGTGATCGCCCTAGGGCAATCGTCAACTTTTCAAAATCACTTCCAGCGGGGGCCACCCGGCCTACGGCTGCACGCCATCTCACTCGCGAGGACTCGACGTCGTCAACAGACTCCTTCGCTACGCCCGAGAACTACAAACTCGTCAAACCACTTCCAGCTGCATTCATGTCCACTGGCCTCATATCGAAGAAGAACCGTAACGTCGACGATTCTCAGAGCATGCTGGGTTTCAGCAAGAACATGCCTGACACTCCGTGCAAGAGACCTGTTAATCTGTTCGCTGCTAGCCAAAGAGCCCAGCCAGACGAGTTACTTGGGAGGTCGACGCTATGTAATGCTATGGATATGCCCCCTCCGTCCCCTTTCAACCCTTCAAGCGCGCGCCCTAAACAGAGCCCGTTTGCGCGAGGTATGGGCATTTTCGGCAATAGTTTCAATCGTCCTGACGTCTCGCGACGTGGAAGTTTGGCTAGTATCGATGGTGATGATGGGTACGGGATGCACACGCAGTCGCCTTCTAACCGCCAGGATAGTCTACCACTCAGTGAATCCGATTTCCCCCCGACACCCACAAAACAATCATTTTTCCCGTCACGAACCTACCCTCCGGCTGCCTCACAAATTGCTTCCCTCGAGCGACTGTCTGAGGCGAGGGGTACAAACTCTAGTCCACTGCATGACAGATTCCAACATGGGTCACCTCGTACGCCTCAAGAACACTTCTGCCCTCCCGATCCCAGTGGCCTAACTATCTCAGGACACAATGACCGGCAATCTGCCCAACCAGACTTCAATCCCTTCAACCTACCGGCCACCCCGACTGGTCCGCGTGACTCTTTCATCGGAAAAAGACCCAGTCTCCCTCTGAATATACACCATACTCCGGACGTGGATCCCAGCCTCACATCTCGCTTCGAGTGTGTTGAACTTGTTGGCACCGGAGAATTCTCGCAAGTTTACCGTGTTTCGCAGCCAAATGACGTGTCTCTGGCATCGATATTCTCGACTACTCCGAGGTCTTTCAAATCGCCGCCTGACCAAGTTTGGGCGGTCAAAAAAGCAAAGCAGCCATACTCAGGGTTAAAGGATCGTGAACGTCGTATTCGAGAGGTCGATGCTTTGAAGGCTCTCACCAACTATGACCACATCATATCCTTTGCTGACAGCTGGGAGGGCAATGGTCATCTCTACATCCAAACAGAGTATTGTGAGGAAGGCAGCTTGGATGTCTTCCTCACACAAGTGGGACTCAAGGCGAGACTGGATGATTTCCGAATCTGGAAAATTTTGCTTGAGCTGTCTACGGTAATTACCCACCAGTCTACTTTAGATAGTACAAGGTTGCTAACTTTTAACAGGGCTTGAAACATATTCACGACTCCGGTTTTATACACCTCGATCTCAAACCAGCCAATATCCTGGTCACTTTCGAAGGCGTTTTGAAGATTGCCGATTTTGGCATGGCAACCCGATGGCCGGCCGAAGAGGGCATCGAGGGAGAAGGCGATCGTGAATACATTGGACCGGAGATCCTAATGGGAAGATATGACAAGCCTGCGGACATCTTCTCACTGGGCCTAATCATATTCGAGATTGCTGGTAACGTCGAACTTCCGGACAACGGCCTTTCGTGGCAGAAGCTTCGGAACGGTGACATGAGCGACGTTCCGAGCTTGACTTGGAGCTCTGAGACCACGGTTTTCCGTGATGCGTCTGGGAACCCAGTTTCGGAGGAGCCATCGTTCGAGGAACTGTGCGGATCTGAGTTTGGGGACGACGATCTCGGCACACCTGATCTCTTTGGGAGCAACAGAGAGCGAAAACCGATCCCTTTTACCCGGAGTAGCGAGCTGGCCGACCCTCCCGCTTTCATGATTGACGCCAGCCACGAGCAATCTCTGGATAATATAGTGCGGTGGATGATCTCCCCTGAACCGTCAGATCGACCCACTGCTGATCACATACTGGAGTCTTTCGGAGTCCAGTTTGTCGCGTCTCGACGTCGGGCTGGCGCCACTGTGTATGAGGGCAATTGGGGCCCTGCCGACGATGTTCTCGCGGAAGATGCCGAAATGATCGATGTTTGATTAATACGACCTGTCATATTATTGCATTTGGACGGAGTTGGTGATTTCTCGGATTCCCCTACAGTACCATCTAACGACGGCGTTCCTGCGGCTATTACGGAATTTTTAATCTCACATTCTCCTGCGACCACCACAGTGGCTCAAACGGTGAGGGTATTCGATATGCAAAGGATACATACATTCAGGACCTCTGCTATATCGCCTCCCACTCAGCGATAATCACCCATCTTGGCTAATATCCGACCACCTTATGCGCTCCGACAGCTATCTGCATTGCGCACAGGGTTATTACGCTCTTTATTCTATTTCTTTTGTTTGTGTACCTCCACACCAATCTAGCCTTGATGCTTGGGTTTTTCTTCGCGCTTGTATCAATAACATCTGCGTGGTTGGATTCCTATCTTTTCTTTTTCGATTTTCTTTCGAGACCCACATTGTCCCGGGTTCTCTCTTCCCATTTTGAATTGAAGCAAGGCGTCTCCGTTGATATTACGAGGCTTTTTTATGTTTCTTTTGTTGGAGTATCCGGAGCGCTCTCTTCCTGGGACAATTTGGGCATTTTATAATGATTATTACTCTTATTTTTCATGTCACTCACAGATTTCCTTGGGCTGTAATTCTTGAAGCTGTTGCCTTTCCATATGACCTTGATGGACAGGAAGGATGTGATCAAGCGGGCTTGAGAAGCAATGTTTGTACTTAGATTACTGAATGAACACGACCATTCCTGGACGCGCACGTTTGTCAACTATTTAACTTGCCCTTCAAACATTTGTAGTATCTCAGTTCTACAAGAATTGAAGGTGTACGTCGCTAGTAAATATCATTGGACCACTGTCCAGAGCTAAAGCCAAGGTTATGTACAGTACAAGCTCACAGACAGTAAGGATCGAACACCAACCATTCCTCATATAATGCACCCGACGCAATATACAAACGCTCGATATACTCTCAAAAACAAAACAACAAAAACACATGACCCCAGGCAATATTAAAACTTAAACCGATGAGCCACCACCTCCGCTGCGGTTTCCGAGCCCCCTTCACCACCACCCAGCGGCTCAACCTGCGGATAGTACCACGTGGTAACGGCGATAATGATGTATACCAGCACGCAGAGACCGCCCTCGAGGTAGTTTGACTTTCCATCTCGGAGGAAATTGCCGACGACTAGAATTGACAGGACGACGAGGACGATCATGAAGATCTCGAAGTTCAGGCTCATGTCCTTGGAGAGACCCCAACCGACGATGACGGCGAGGGGCGCGTTCAGGAGCGCGGTGTGAATAGAGGGACCCAGGCAGTGGAAGAGAGCGAAGTTGATTTGGTTGTCCCTGTGGATGGGTGGTTAGTATATGCGAGAGGTTTCAGGAACTACGCAAGTGGGTAACTCACCAAGCTTCGTCAATAGCGGTCAGATGCTCAGCTGCTTTCTCGACGACAGGCACGAGGATGAGACCCATGAAGTTGTCCGGCACGCCTTGTTCGTGGACGACATGCTCGATCTCGTTGACGAGGAAAACGGCCGACATGCAGACGCATGTTAGGGCTATGGCGATGGCGATCAGGCATTCGGTCAGAGTGAGCTTTGCGCGTTTTTCCTCCTTGTCGCGATCTTCGTCGCGGTTCTCGTCGTGCTCGAGAATCTCATCGAAGATGGTGTGGTGGCTGTGGAGGTTGTAGAAGAGGTACCTAATAAGGGAGACGTTGTGAGTAGATCATATAGGGGATGGACTGTTGGGAGGTGGTAGGTTTACATCATAAATGCGGCCAGAAGGATGATTGCGGTAGCTCGGCTGATCTTCAGGGTTGAGTCAACTATCGCAGCTGGCGTCGTGGTGGTGCTCGTGCTGCCGCTGTTCAGTGTTGCGTAAAAGGCGCTCGGAATCAACAGGCCAAATCCGGCAACTAGTAACAGCCCCGAGCCGACTTCGCTGACGGCCTCATGGAACACCTGGTCCTCACGACCGAGTCCACCGAAGAAAAAGCATAAGCCCAGGCAGAGAAGCAGATTCGCAAGGATCGAGCCCAGGATGGCAGCTTGGATGACGGGTATCAGGTTGCCACCGTTGTCGTTATGGATCAGCACCATGAACAGCACGATTTCCACAACGGAGCTGAGGGTTGTTTCGAGGAGAACGCCGAACACCTTGGGCAGCTTTTTGGCAAGCTCCCCGCCAGCGAATCCAAGCAGGTTTGCGGACGGGACCATGGCGATGTAGTTGAGAGCAAATATCCACACATGAAGATCCGGTCGAGCAAAGTGTATGGCGATGGCGGCGGGGACGAAAGGCCATAGAATATTGACTATCATTGAAAGGGTGCAGGTGCTCCTGAAGCAGACCTGGAGGAACAGAAGGGGGTGGATGCCGCTTCGTCCACTCTGCCCGGCAGTGTGCACTCGAAAGAGAGCATGGCGATAGTTGTGTCGTTTTTTCTCGTCATTATGCGTAGGCAGCACACTGCCATTACCAGTGCTGGCGTTGGCAGCTGGGCGATTGAGATCGGACATCAGCAGGCTTTCGTTGCCCTCCTGAAAAGTCGAGGGCCGACTTGTTCTTCGCGACATCAAAACACGATGAACTGTGGTCAAAGATGGATTTGGCGGCCGATCGAGATTATGAAGAACTGCGCATGCGTAGTGTTGCAGAATAGGAAGCGGCTGAAGCTCGAAGAAGCAGGGATGCACAAAGGGGCAAACAGATCAACAGAGTATGCTAATTATACTGTTGCAGCACAGCGTGTCAAGGACTCAAGCCATACTCAGCCTGGTAAGAGGGAAAAGACGGGAGATTGAGCGCGGTAACAGTGTCAAAGAAGTCGGGGGACGGCAAGGCTCACCGTGGCAGTGGCACAAACAAGAGCTAGAAAGAAGCTGGGCTTGAAAAGGACGATCAAAAGGGTTCAAATAAGCGTGACGAAGGATGACCGGTCTCAAATTGGTGAGCTGGCAGTGGGACTGTGGCACGGCCGTGTGGGATAGTCTGTGTGGGCTAGACTTGTTCTCGACATAGCCCAATCAACAGTGATTAGTTGACTATACCACGCAAATTATTCAAGGCCGTCAACAGTCGAGGCAGAGATAGGGGCCCGAACAGTTGAACTAACCCAAGAGGTTGATGCATCCTCAAGACTTGGCAGGACTCTTGAAACAACTTGGCTCCTTCTGCTAAGGCTCGGCTACACACCAAGCACGTTCAGTGGCTGGAACTGGGCGTTTATGTGCAGACTCCATCTTGAACATTCGCCATTGCATTCGCTGTGTACGGAGTAGAATGTTTCTCGCAATCGAACAAGAGATGTACTCTAGTTGCAGCCTGCATCATCAGATAGAGCATACCAGCCAACGCGCTTCACCGAGTTGATGCATTCTTTGTTCATGCTAGCTTGTGTCTGCTTTTTTGGCCGAAAATCATCCTACTACTCCGTATCTCCATACGGAGTACTGTACCCAAGGTTAGTACTGTGACTCGTGAGATACGGAGTACGCGACCCACCCAGCACAGCCACAATAATGGAGTATCGTTATGCTCGTCTCGTGTTTTTATCCTTCTAGGGGATGAGCCGATGAAGTGGACCAGGTCCGTCACCGACCGTGGGAAAAAGATTGGCTGGAGCCTGAGAGCCATGGACATTGGAAAGGTTAAGGGTCAAACATGCATAGCATAGCACCCGACATCTCTGCTCTATACGGAGTATTAACCATAACCATGGTTTCAACGGCTGACGAATACTCCGTATGCGATCCGGGTAATTCGATGCTGGTCAACAAACAAATAGATGAATTGAACTTGATGTCAGACAAGAGCGTACTTGATGGACATTGAACGAATGCAGTTGAGCAGGCCTGAGGGGCATCCTCTGGTCTTGCCGACGAAGCTGCTACGTATAATGGACTTGTGACGGCTGACTTGGGCTTCAGCAGAATTACCTTGACGAAGTTGGAACGTATTCGAGATGCCCTTATTCATCGTTTGGAAAATCTGCCATGACTCCATCGTCTCATCGCCTCCTGCCAGGGAGGCGCAGGATGCATATGCGGCCATGGCCAATCTAGGATTGGTTTCGCTTATCCCTTCGTAGATGGCTTTGGCAATGATATCAGCATGCATGTAGAGGCATCAGGGCAGCTCTAGAGTCTAGAGTGTTGTCAAGTGGCCTATCTTGGGGCTTTCTATTAAGACAACCCCAGCCTTCCGCTTCCGTTTCGGTTACCATGACTTGGATGGATATTATTGCCCAAGATGATGGGAGTGGGATACGTCTTGCGGCGCCTTTTCAAGTTTGGATTCGCGCAGCCGGTGAGCCAGTGAGCTAGCCCAGTCGAAGATAAAATATTAAGGCGATGCGCGAAATCTCTTCAAGTCTCATCAACAGCACTGCAGTGACTGCACCCACAAGGTCTGGCCGTGAATAATGCCAAGAGACAGGAATCCCGCTGCCAGGCCGGATCGGGACTAGTCAGGTCAACATCAGATGGCGGCGGAATGGCGAGACCCGCGGCTATCGTCGGCGGAGGGGTCCTGGCTTTGAACTTTTCATCATTATTTCTCTGTTCCTTTTACCTCGCTACTCTGGGCACCTGAACCAACCGTCGCGGTCTTTGATTTTGTCCCCTCGAGGTTCAAGTTACGATGTCCTCCAAAACGACACCGGCCATCCCGGTAGCCCTAGATGCCATTACTCAACATATTGGCAACACCCCTCTTGTGAGGCTGAACAAGCTACCTCAAAGCCTCGGAATTGAGGCGACAGTGTATGCGAAGTTAGAGTACTTCAATGCAGGTGGCAGCGTCAAAGACCGGATAGCTCTTCGCATGATTGAAGAAGCCGAACGGTCAGGACGTATCAAGCCAGGCGACACGCTGATCGAACCTACCAGCGGTAATACGTAAGCCCTATATACCTCAAGATCTCTCCCCACAGAGCGCGCATCCTGACTTTTCCACATTAAGTGGTATTGGGCTGGCTCTTGTCGCGGCCGTCAAAGGTAATCTAACATACGACTCGTGTCTTTGCCGTCCGCTCACTCTTCGAACCACACTCAGGCTACAAGACCATTATCACTCTCCCAGAGAAGATGTCCGCCGAGAAGGTCTCTGTTCTCAAAGCGCTCAACGCGACCATTATCCGAACTCCTAACGAAGCTGCATACGACTCCCCCGAATCTCACATCGGCGTTGCAAAGCGTCTCGAAAAGGAGCTACCAAATGCGCACATTCTGGACCAGTATGCCAACCCAAACAACCCATCGGCTCATGAACTTGGCACCGCGGAGGAGATATGGACCCAAACAAAGGGAGAAATCACAGCTATCGTTGCTGGTGCGGGCACTGGTGGAACAATCACCGGGCTCTCTCGGGGCCTGAAGAAGCACAACCCCAACGTCCAAGTGATTGCTGCGGACCCTCAAGGATCCATACTGGCGTTACCAGCTGTGCTAAATGAGGAGCACGCCAATGAGTCATACAAGGTTGAAGGTATTGGATACGACTTCATCCCCCAGGTGCTCGACCAACATGCCGTCGACAAGTGGTACAAGACAGAAGACAAGGAATCCTTCCAGTATTCTCGCCGGTTAATAGCCGAGGAGGGTCTGCTTGTTGGTGGCAGCAGCGGAAGCGCAATCGCGGCCCTAACAAAGGCCGCAAAGGACAACCAGTTCAAGAAGGGTGATGTCGTCGTCGTGGTTCTGCCGGACAGCATCCGAAGCTACCTCACCAAGGTAACTTATCCCAATCAGTTGCGTGGTATATCATGATCCTAATCCCAAATAGTTCGCCGACGACGACTGGCTTGCCGCAAACGATCTTCTACCCTCACTCCCGACTGAAGTCACTATTGAATCCTCCGACAAGCAGAGCCAAGGACAATATGACGCTTTTGCCTCCACAAAGGTCCGCTCTCTACGACTGAAGCCAGTAACAACAGTCCATTCCAACATCCCTTGCGAAACCGCCATCGAAGTCATGCGCGACAGAGGCTTCGATCAGCTTCCCGTCCTCGCACCGTCGGGCAAAAAGCTGGTCGGCCTCGTCACACTCGGAAACGTCCTTAGCAGACTGACGCACAACCGCGCGACCGGCAAGAGTCCCGTTGCCGACGTCATGTTCGATTTCCGTACCATCTCCGAGGTTGTTACGGACCCTCGAGATATGGGTCTCGCGAGCTTCAGACCCGATCAGAACGGGCAGGATGTTCCCAAGCCGCAGATCAGGAATCGGAAGTTCGTTGAGATTACCATGGATACACCTCTAAGTGTACTAAACCGCTTCTTTGAGTGGAACAGTGCGGCTATTGTTACGGAGAAAGACGAGAGTGGGACCCTAAGACCCGTGGCCGTTGTCACAAAGGTTGATCTTCTTACATGGATGCTCCACCATAAGAAGAACGGCGTATCCGAATAGAGGTGGGCATATTTATTTTCACGACAATTCTAAAACTTTTCTCAACCTACCTCAACTCCTTCCTGTTATTCTTGAAACCTTCCGGTTAGATTTTAGAGGAGCAGTGATATATTGGGCTCAACACCAGCAAATGGTTTAGCAGGAATTACCATCATGGCAGCATGTTTGACATACGAGTACTAATAAACAACGATGCGGAGATTACAAATTGCAAATCGAAGACTGAACACCTTTTATTCAGAAATCTGCTCTAGGTAACATACCTATCAACCTGGTACCTGTAAGTGATTAAATGGGAAAAAATATTAACGAGCCGTCACAGGCACTGGCCGACCCATTCCTCCCATCTTCGTACACCAGCCCCGACCTCGTCGCTCTCATCGCCCTTGACAGCTCCGCCCACAACATCGACGTTCACGCCAATCTCATCCTCGAAAGCCTTGAAGCTGAATGTGTCCTTCAGGTCATAACTACCCAGGATGTCGTCCTCTCCGTCACCCTCGTTGGCGTCGGCACTGGCGTCCATAAGTCCCTTGCTCTTGGACTTGCGAATCCGATCAATCTCTGCCTCTAATTTTTCACGTACGGATCCTTGCGGCAGTGCAGTGAAAAGATCTTGCTTGTTCGCTGCGATAAGAACGGGGATTTCCGCCGCAGCTTTGGCCGAGGACTTGCCCCGTTGCAGAGCTCGTTTTTGGAGGACCAAAAGTACGTCATAGAGATACGAAGCCGCATCCCTCAAAGCCTCGGTCTCGGAGATAGCGGCGGTGTCGACCATGAAGAGGACGCCTCGCAGCTTCGACTGGGCATCTTTCGAGGCGGACATCGATAGGAGCTCAGAGAGACCTTGCGATCCTCTCAACTTTCCATGGCCGGGGGTGTCCTTCACGCGGTATTTAGTAGGGTTCCGCTGAGCCTCTTTTAAAGAAGTGTCATTGACAGATCGGTACTTGTTGGATCCGATTGGGACGGAGACAGGTAGGCGAATGGTAGCGAGGGTTGAGGTTTGGGAGGTGTGTGTGGGGTGGGATTTCGGCTTTGCGGCAAACGACGACTTTGATTCAAGCTGTTCATTGTACATTGTTAGTCGAGAAAATAACTGAAGCTTCCGACTTCAGCAAGTAGGTACATACAAAAGTCAGCAGGGCAGTTTTACCTGCCCCGCTTGGACCGAGGAGGAGGAAGTTGCTGGACGGCGGGGATGCTACCGTCCGGTAGAAGATGATATGCAGTAGTACAGGAACACCGAATGTAATGAGCACCGCGATTGCAATGCCGAAAGGACTACCTTCAAGCAGCTTTGTAGCTATTGATTCAAAGAATTGGTATGCGCTCATCTTGTAGCTAAGCGCCGCTGGATGCTTTATGTCGGTGCAATTGAGGAGATGCGAAGAGAAAGAAGGAAAGTCAGATCCCAACAACTATTACTCCGGCATCACTGATGAAAAATGGTCTCTGAAGTCTCACCTTTCGAATCCCGGGCCATGAACCTCCGCCCGGGGAGATGCGTTGATCAGTGATCACGCCACCTTGAGCTAGAGGACTGGTTGATGCCTCAGTAAGAAGGCCACTTACTAGGGTCCCAGCCTTATGTGCTGCCTTCTTTTTCAGGCAATAATTGTTGTGATGGGGGTCTGCATACCTGAAGCTTCGAAAGGGGGATGCCAGGGTGAGCAAGGGCAAAAGTAAACCTCCTGGACTATTTGCCTTACCACTTACTCTCTCTCCAAGTCATTGTATTTTCCTTATCACCCCGTGTCCTGCGCCTACTTCTTTGTGTACATTTTAACTGCCCGAAGTATATCACCATCATGCGACTCAATCATACATCCAATGCCATTCTTATTCTCTGTATGACATCAAACGTTCTAGCAGGTATCGAAACCTTAGTTGAGGGCGCAGGCACGGCCCTCAATGCTCACGACGGCGTAACAGCAACTTGGGAGGAATACGGGTCGCCATCGTCAGATCTACACCCCAGGATCTACCAGGAAGCCGATGACCATATGAGTGCAGAAAATCGAAGGGTTATCGTTGATCCATACAAAGTTCCTTATCCTTTGCAAGCCGGTCCGACAAAATATGCTCCGTTGGCCAAGAAGGCCGGGACTGCGATTGCGACAACGTTGCCAACGCCTCAATTCCCGGCCAGTGCGTACATAATTGCTACCGAGTATTTGGAGCCTGGGACCGTTGAGACAACGCTCACCGCGCCCGAGACGCTGTCTATCACGATGATGGAGAACACAGTATGTAGATATGTCTTGCGTTTAGGGCTTTCTCATGACTCCTTGTTGTCGTGGATTGATGAATTAGGCTGATAGGGAATTTCAGGCTGCCCCAGCACCACACCCCTAAAGGTCTGCGATTCATAACATGGTCTTGATCATGAGGGTGAGGTAGACTTGAAAGGAGAAGTAGGCAGTCCAAATGTGCTTCGCGTATGGGTGACTTTCGCGCAAATGGATATCTCACTTTAAGAGTTGTCCCTGATATGTTTTTGTCGACGAGCGGGTAAGGCTATTAAACCTGCATTGCTCCTGTTTGTCATTTTCATATGCTTCAAATATATAGCCAAACGACCTAATATCTAACTCGACTTCTATATATATCAATATAAGCATATCACAATCAATAGGGAGGGGTTTCCAAGACAAAGGTCAGTTCATATGTAGAGCGCTCGGTATCATTCGCATTTGGCTTGCATAAATAAGAATCATGCTGCATGGATAGGGCATGATATAGGCAAAAGGCATCGGCAGCTATCGCCGTACCTGCTCTTCATTTCCAAAAAAGGAGATGTTCTCTCGTAGAGCAACGTACTCACTATCCGCATACCCTAGTAATGACTGGATATGGGTACTTCGGTGACCCTTGATACGGGCTATCTCGAGACTGCCATAATTGACCAAGGCACGTCCCACTTCCTTCGGTTCTTGGCCAGGATGAAGAAAATCACCATTCAGGGCATCGGGAGATATTCTCTCCACAACAACTATTCGGACCGCCTCTTGCTGTCCGAAGTGGCCGTCCACGTCCACGACACCTGCTGGAAGAAGACTTGCTTTTTTTTGAAGTGCGGCATATGCACCCTGGTCGATATATAGAGTACCGTGAGGTTTCAAACCGTGAAGTAGCCAGAATGAACGTGATTGAATGGGGGTCGCGGATGGGAGAAATCGGGTATGAAGAGGTGGGATTGACATCTGCAGTCCGGCTGCGGTGCTCTCTGCAGTAGCATCGGTCGAGGCTGTTTCCTTCAACTGTTTGAGGTACTTCACGATCTCATGGATATTCCCAGGTTTCGAACTCTTCGTAATTATTGTTGTTACACCAGCGCTCGTTCCTAGTCTCGCGGCCGTAATTTTCGTACTCATACCTCCGGTTCCAAGAGAAGAGCCAGCAGACGAAACGTCCGCTTCCAACGAAGAAATGTCTGAGACTACCTCGATTGGCTGCGCATCAGGATTGGTTCGAGGATTTGCTGTATAAAGACAGTCGACATCGGTCATCAGAAAAAGGTAGTCTGCCTTGACCATGGCGGCCGTTATGGCTGATAGCGTATCATTATCACCAAATTTGATTTCCTAGCATATTGTGTGAGCACGTAAGTAGAATTGGGCCGTATTGTTTCGTTATGCGCCTTACCGAGACGGCCAATGTGTCATTTTCGTTGACAATAGGGATCACCCCCATGTTAAATAGTTGCGCAAAGGTATTTTGCGCATTGAGATATTGGGTACGCTTGCTGCCGTTAGAACCGACCTAATATACCCAAAGAAGAGCTTACATCAGCGATATCATTGCGAGTCAAAAGTATCTGAGCAACGGGAAGACGAAGATGTGAAAATAAACCGTCCCAAAGGCTCATGAGCCGACATTGACCCACAGCTGCTAAAGCCTGGCCAGTATAAGTTAGCCATCAAGCTCGTGCCATGTTGCCGAAGCCCGCACCTGTATACGAGGAAGATGTTGAGGTCTCTCATCCACATCCATTCTCCGCAACCCCACGCCAACAGCGCCGGACGAGACCAAGACGACGTTATGTCCATCGCGGTGAAGTTTAGCAGCCGTCTCCACAATCAGAGTCAAAATCGATAAGATAGGTTCGTGGGTATTCTCATCGACTATAGAGCTTGTGCCTTTGAGAAGGTTAGTAAACTCCGAAACTCTGTCAAGGACATGGATCCCCGCACCTAGTTTGATAACGACGGTGAGGCGCTCAGAGGCCATTGCGACTGCACGCTTGGATGTATGAGGATATAAAGGCAATAGTGACCTTCATTCAGAGCAGCGAGCAGAGAATAGCCCTTTCACTCCCAGTATGGCCTATACTTCTTGACTCATTCATGAAGGATGTTTATTTCTGCCGTGGGACACCGCCAAGGTAAAATGCGGAGAGCTTCGCCGAGATTCGCTCTTGACCCGAAGATCAAGTGCTAGTGACGCAGACTATATCTATATTTTGTTATCGAAATAAACATGTCGGACACTCAATCGCCAAATAGCCAGCCATCTGCATCTGGAAAGGCCGCAGATACCGGCTACCAAAAAGGAGATGATACCTTTACCCATTGGCGCAACGTCTTCAACATTCTTACCGGAAGGATGACGAACGAGGGAATAGAGCAATTTCGTGTTGCGCGAGATCTTCGAAATGAAGCAGCAGACTGTAAGCGCTGTGAAGACCAAAGGGACTACCTATTGCAATACAGTGAGCCTGACACCTATTATAATCTTTCCCTAAATCTCGAATTGCCTTAGCATGTGGCTAAAAAAATGGTAATTGAAAGGTCCGATTATTCGGTATATGAGCGACAGTATCCGACAGTTGGGTGGTGATCTGTCAAACCATAATATATATTGTCGCCGATGTACGAACCGGAAAGCAGGGGGGTTCGATCCGGAGTACGGAATCCTGGTCTGCGCAAATGAAATGAGAGATCAAGGACACCTGGAGGATACAATGGCACACGAAATGGTTCATGCCTATGACCACCTAAGGTTCAAAGTCGACTGGACCAACAACCTTAGGCACGCAGCTTGCTCAGAGGTAAAGATGGAAACCCTTGGGCCGCGTTCGATATTCGCAAACCCGGGAGGACTAACGGGACATAGATTCGAGCCAGTTCACTAAGCGGAGAATGCCGATGGGCTCGAGAACTCTTCCGACGGGGTCAGTGGAAGCTTACGCAGCAACATCAGGAGTGTGTTCGACGAAGAGCTATTTTGTCAGTAGCGGCAAGGCCAACCTGCCAGGATAAAGCCCAGGCTGAGAAAGTGGTGAATGAAGTTTGGGATAGCTGCTTCAGGGATACTCGGCCGTTTGATGAAATCTTCCGATAGTCGCTGTCCACTATAAACCTACCGTCCTTTCGGGGTTCCAGTTTCGGCGCAACGGGCGCGGGCGGGCTCAATGTATTGTAATGTACCATACCTAGGCCGCGGATAAAATGATAGATTTCATATCTCAAGTGTCTTATGCTAAAAGCTCACGGCTGGGAAGAAAACCAACAGACCCTTTAACACCATGCACTGAACTCCATTAAAGCAGACCAAAAATGGACCGGAAGACAAAACACCTTAAACCCCTTGCTATGCATATCGTTGTTGTCACGCTTTGCCATCCTTTGACGAGCCTGAACTTCGTTTGATATTCCGATCGTCTTTGGCGCAGTGTTTAAGGATCCAGGGGTGCTTCTGGATCTCGTCAAGCGAAATGCGCTTCTCGGGGTCAAGCACGAGCAGCTAAAATCGGTTAGCCTCCGAAAGGGCACCTATGATTATGGGGGCAACTTACTCTTTTGATCAAGTCTCTAGCTTCGGGGGTCACAAACGAAGGAACCTGCATGTCTCCCCGCTGAATCCTCCTTTGCGTCATGACCGGTGTATCCTCAAACGGCGCTTCTCCGACAAGAAACTCGTAAGTCAGAACACCTAAGCTCCACAAGTCGACCTTTTCATTATAGAAGTTGCCTTGGGGATTGGAAGTAAGCATCTCGGGGGGCAAATAATCCAACGTTCCGCACATTGTTTGCCGCCGATTGTTTGGGGCATGGACACTCCATCCAAAATCGCTGATTTTGATCTCGCCATGGATGCCGACCAGGATATTCTCTGGCTTGATATCACGGTGCATAACGTGCTTTTTATGCAGATACTTCAATGCGGATGCCATCTGCGCAATGTAATGCGCAGCTTTCCATTCAGGGAATCGGTGCTCTTTTCGCAGGTGCTTATACAGCTCTCCTCGACCGGCGAACTCTAGTATAAGGAAGATCCGCTTGCTGTCCTGGAAGTGTCCAAACAGCCGAAGGACATTTGGGTGGCGTAAGTTACTTTGTATTTCGATCTCCCGCCTGACCTGCTTCTGGACACCACCCTGTTGCAATTCGGATTTATGCAAAACCTTGAGCGCACATACAAAGCCGGACGAACGCTCTTTGGCGAGGTAAACTCTGCCGAACTTCCCCTTTCCCAGGGGCTTCCCGATTTCAAACATTCCTAGATGAAGTTTCCTGGGTGCCGGCTGCTCGTATTCTCCGTTCTCGTCCAAGTTGCGTAGGGATGCATGGTTCTGAGTGCCTTTCCCAGGTGACTGGGGGACGTTCATGGCATTGACCTTGTTGTCGTTGGTGTTCTGCAAGGCCAGCTTAAGCAGATTCGACCGGTTGGCACCACTAGTTAGTTGCCCTGTGACCCCAAGTCCGGAAAGGGAGACGGCGGTTGACAGGGAGCTCTGGAGCGTCAATATTAGCAGGAAGTTCTCATTGCCCATGATACACAGCCGCTATACCTTGTGCTTTGGGTAGCCAGCACCCTTGTTTCCATTCCCGGCGTCATCCTTAACAGAAAGGTGCTCGAAGCGAGCTTCCAAGGTCTTGGTCGCCATGAGTGCAAAACGAGGTGATTGAATTAGAGCGGGACAAGAGCAAGAGAGAGAGAGAGAGAGAGAGAGAGAGAGAGAGAGTAGGTCAAGGAAGATTATGAAATAGTATGTTCTAAGCAAGCATTATAGAGGATTCAAGTAGAAGTATGACTGGGGTTAGTCGAGAAGCACCGATTGTCGATGAGAAAGGAATTCAAGGTTTAAGAGAACAGACCGGCTGTTTATGGCGGCTCGGAGCTAGATTCGTCACCACGGCAACCCCTCGGACCAGCCCTTTCTCCGGAACCGCGGGGTATTGAATGCGCCTAGCGGCGCGCGGTCTCCGACTCTCCGCAGAGCAGTATAGAGCAATATTCCTAAATAACTTCTTGTCATCCGTACTTGTCTGCGCGCTCTTTGGCTCCCACGGTTGCAAAATATGACGTTCAATAGCCGCACGGCTCCTGTGCCCATCACCGGGGCCACGGCCGCAGTGTTGCCTACCACGCACAGGCCCGACTCCATTACTGTCAAGGGCTTCAAGATTTCGACACAAAAGCTTCCGATTCTCAAAGCAGATCCCATTGAAACTATGACAAAAAATCTTGGCATCGCTCCACCAGAAATGATTTTCGGCGATAACTTTGTGTCTATCGAACATGAGAAAAGTGGGTGGAGTATCAACTTCAATGCGTTCGACGCTCTGGACCGTGTTGATAAGACGGGAGAGTCTATGCTGAAAGTAGCGCACTCGAAAGAATGGCAGAAAAGCAGGTGTGTTTCCCCTCCTTGGCTGCGACCTGGCCCGATGGCTAACATATTGACAGAGAGACGACACACGAAGGTATCAAGGATGTCATTAAACCATTCGACTGGTCCTATAGCACAGACTATAAGGGTACCGTTATATCCACACGAGATCGCGACTTCGAGCAAACACCTACCCCTATACCCATCGAACTACTTAAACGCCCTGACCCTATACTGTTCTTCGATGATGTAATATTATACGAGGACGAACTCGCCGACAACGGTATAACCATGTTATCTTGCAAAGTCCGTGTTATGCCGGGCAGGCTTCTTCTTCTCTCGAGATTCTTCATGAGATTGGACAACGTTCTTTTCCGGCTCCGGGACACCAGGATATATATCGACTTTGAAGGATCGGACGTCATAAGAGAGTATCAATCCAAAGAATGCGACTATGAAACAGTACGACAGGTGGGTTCGTCTTGAGGGACAGGGTATTTCAAAACTAACGGATGTGCAAAGAAACTAGCAAGTGCCCGAGATGATATACCCGCTATCATGAGAGACCCAAACAGGCTCTCCGAGCTTCTTCCCCTCGTCGATAGGCGACTAGAGCGGGTTGCACTCGGAGAATAGTTGGAGTAGCAAGAACTGTCCTTACCCAGGATGCTTCGCTCGGAATAAAGATGTGATACAGTCCTCAGGGGCTATCACAAGCGAACATATCCCATCCAGACGCATATCTGCAACTTCTTCACTAGCACCCAGTCAGGGATGGTACCCGCTGGCCTTCTGCTACGTAACCCAGCACAGCGTCCCACGCTGTCCGGCCAATTGTGCCAACCATGCATGCAGCACCGCGGTATCTAACTAGTCTGCTTGAGGGAAATGCGACGAAGGTAAAGCCGAACCAGAAGAGTCCTTTTTACTACATGTATCTAACTACTTATCATACGAGGCCTCATATTTACAGGCGGCGTGAAGAACTGCAGCTCTGAGCTCTCACTCACCAAGTTACCAACAAAGCTGTATAGTAACCAGCCAATCAGAACATGCATGAATAACAGTAGCGGCGTCAAACATTGCAAACACGCGACATCATCATCCCGATTTTCCGTATCAGTCCCGATAGTAGATCGCTTGAAGCAACTTTGCACAGCCCATTAAAAGTATTTCATGATTTCATGATGCCTTCCAGACAACTGAGCAGCTTGCGACCCCGAGAGCTCAGTCATCAATGCGCCATACTTCAGGTACGCCCAGCCCCCCTCTCCGAGCTAGACGGCTAGCGTCTCGCTGGTTGTAAGCGTAACAGCTGCCAGAGCATATATTTTGAATCAAAACTGACTCTCGATGCAGGCGCAAGCTCTCAAGCTACCTCTCATATCTATCGCATCTGCGCGACGGTCACTATGTACGTTGCCGGCGAATCCACGTGAAGCTATCTTAAACCACCGACCTCAGAATGCGACCCTCCCACGGCGAACACCCGCATCGGTCTTCGGTTTGAATACACAGAGCTACAGATCAGCATCCGGCTTCTTACCCCGACTTGCGCAAAAGCTCCTACCGGTCGTAAAGCGTCCCGGTGGAGCGGCCGAGACCTATGTCGCGTATGGTTTGACCCAGAAATTGTTCGAGGCGTGTTCCAAGGAGGGCGATTACACGATCCCACAGCTAAACGAGAAAGGCGCCCAGGTCCCTAAGACGGAAGCCGGAGAGGATCTGGGTGTTGGTGAGGGATGGTGGTATGAAGGTTTGTTCCCCCTCCACAAACCCGGATTCATCTGTCCTCGCCACACTGGAGGCTATCGCTATAAAAGCTGACTTCGTGAAACACTAGAGTTGGGCCTTGTTCCGACTTTCTCGACATGGTCTCAGATTACCTTCCTCCATATGTATCTTTTGACGGTTCGGCTGCGGGCGTTGCCTAACCGCGAGAGTATGCAGACATACTCACGCCATTTGATTGATCACTTCTCGCATGATGCCGAGCATCGCATGGATGTTCTTCACGGGCTGACCAGTCGCTCCATTAGGAACAAGTTTCTGAAGGATCTTTTTATCCAGTGGCGCGGTGTGCTTGCTGCGTACGACGAGGGTCTTATCAAGGGCGATGCTGTTCTAGGTGCTGCTGTGTGGAGAAACTTGTTCAAGGCCAGCTATATTACTTCTGGTGGGGAAGAGATTAACTGGTCGAAGGTCGCTCGTGTTGTCGCCTATATGCGCCGGGTACTCTCGGAGCTATCAGAGCTGCACGAGGTTGATCTTATTCTAGGGTTGAAGTCACCTGAGGGCGACAGGTCCGGAATATTCTCTCCATCTAAATCAGATATGATTCTGGTAGAGGGGAAGCCACTCCCATCTCCGAAGCGGAGCAGATAGCTTTCGGTCGAGGAGGAGGCCCTTGTATCTTCGGCTCCTGATGCAGATCGACTTGTACGATATAGACTAGAGGGGAAGACACAACTGTATACTAAATGCTAAAAGCGGAAACTTCTCATGTAAAGTTACAAGGAATGTGGAAACAGCTTGGATGCTTGAAGACATACACTCAATAAGCTAATGCAAGCCTACAAAAACTCCATACAGTCATGGCTAAGCCAGCAGGGGCAAGCTCTGTATTGCCCTTATATGCTTCCTTAGGCTGTATATGGCTTAGCAAGCAACCTATGCTTCCTTCTTACCGAAGAGGTCTTTCTCAACCATGCCCCGACAGATTGGGTGGTAGAAATCTTTGTGCTTCTCAAAGGTCTCAATCGCCACTTGACGGTCAACCTTCTGCAATGTCCGGTACCTATGTATTTTATTAGCTTCCTTAGATGACTGAATTGCAACGGGAAGCCTTACAGAGGCCGCACGAATTTCATCCGCCCAATTCTTCCTAGCAGGTCCGTGGTCGGTTCGATCACGCTCTTATCACCAGCCTTAAGGCCAACCTGGAGGTAGAGGTTGGCAACCTCGATGTTTTCACTCTTAGCAAGTCCGTAGACCTCACCCATGAGCTTAGAAAGCTCGGCAGTCAGGGGTCGCTCAAAAAGCAGGACTTGTTCCAAGAAAACCACAACTTGGTTTGCCGTTAACCCCTGAATGTCGCTCGACTGGGGCTGGAATGAGCCCTCGGGAAGGGATTTCCACTTGTCGGCCAAATCATATACAACATCAGCCAGCGAAGTATCAAGTTCTGGCTTAAGAGGCAGGCCAGGCTTGTAGAACCAGGCGTCCCAATCCAGCTCCTGAAGCAGCTTAGAGGCTTCGATATCGGGCTTGAAGAAGTCTAGGAGCGTGGCCTTGAACTCGTAGGAGTCTAGCGACTTCCCTTTGAACGTAGTAAAGTACTGGGGAAATCAGCATTCAAGCCTTCAGAGTATGGGCTATTCGACAACGTACATGAGGGATGAAGCGATCGAATTTACCCTTTCCAACAAGATTCTCCAGATGGAACAAAAAGTTGAATCCCTTCTCATATGGTATAGTAGAGAATGCATCATCGGGATCCTCTCCTTTGAGACTTGGCACTAACTTCGTGAACTCATGGCCATTTCCGTAGTGTTCCACTGAATCTCTGAGGGCTTTCCAACCTATGATGGCCGAAAAGTGGCGGTACTTTTCACCATGTCTATAGAAAAGGCAAGTTATTATGGCTCAACTGGGAATCTCAGAATGGCAGCACCCACATCGCAGCCAAAATCTATACAATGTCAATAGTGTTCACGGATAGCATCAGGAAAAAATCGTTCGCAGCTTACCCGCCTCTCGAGATAGACTGTCCAGCCCTCATTGAGCCAAAAGTGCTCCCACGACGCACTAGTGACAAGGTTGCCGCTCCAACTATGCGCCAGCTCGTGCGCAATGACATCGATATTTTCCCGGTCCTAATGGCCCATATTAGTCGCATAAGGGCCGGTTGAGCTAGTATAAGGCTCACCTTGGAAATGATGCTAGGCGTCGCGAAAGTAAAGACCGGGTTCTCCATTCCCCCATAGGGGAAACTAGGTGGAAGGATCAAGACATTATACTCGCCCCATGCATAGGGATAAATGATTTTCTAGAAGCAAGTTAATGATCAAGCTCACCCCATAAAAGATTATGAGCAAACCTCTATCGTTTCGATAAACCTCTCAGTATCGGCTTCAAGCTCCCACCGGCATTCTTCAAGCTTATCAGGGCTGGTTGCAACCACGCTTCTAGGCCCTACAGAAGATTCCGCAATATCTCTACCACAGCCATCAGGAACACGGAATCGAGAGTTGCATGTAAAGATCGCCGCACTTACCCACTGGCCAAAGCAAAAAGGTAGCTTGGAATTGGCACTTTTTGATGGAATTGATAAATGCTCTTGACGCCAGCCTGCGGTGCAACCGAGGAATTTCGGACAGGCAATCCACTGGCAATTACAGGCAGAGGAGAAGTGATGTTGAAGTCGAAAGTACATTTAACATCAGGCGTATCTTGACACGGGAAAATTGACCGTGCATGGATAGCCTGGCACTGAGAGACTAGAATACAAGGACAGTTAGCGTCCAAACCAGAACTACAAGCACAGCACTAACACATGTACGGATGCTTCTTGTTTGATGTTTGTGCCGGGGTTAACCATTGCAGTGCAGTGCATTCCTGAGTGGTGTGCACAGCGATCTATAGCAGTATCAGTCCAGCAGCATCTCAGACTACCTACTCGAAAGCTCGACATACATCAACATCGATCATCTCGTTAAGCTCCACAGGCTTCTCGAGCTTGATTTTCAGCGCGGTGCCATAAGGGCCGAGGGGAGGGAGAAGCTCCCATGCTTTCACGGGCTGTCCGGCCACTAGGACGTCGCGTATGTCCACATGATGAGAGTCCAGAATGATCTCGTCCGTCTCAGCATTGGTGATAGATTTGAGCTTGTGAATGACATTGCCAACGAGCTTCTTTTGCTCAAAAAGAATTTCGAAGTTGGCTGTGGTATGGGCACAAATCCAGTTGTTATAGTTGGACAGGGTGTTGGGGTCCCTGGGGGGATTGATAAGCGTCGCCATGCTACGTCTGCGGAGGCTGAACCTGGTCAGATTGATGCGGATAGAGCTTCGAAAGAAATCAAGGTTCCAGGATCGAAGCAACGGCGATCGAAGCATGGGCAGATGGTGGTGAGGAAATTGTACTCTTCAGAACTCTGTAAGGTGATTGGAAAGAAAATGTTACGTAGCTGGCGGATAGATCCGATCCGTCTGTAGCCGCTCTTTTACTTGGCAGACTCTGTCACTTTATAATAGTGCCAACAACAATTCACTTATTAATTAATAATTAATGATGTTCTTCACATTGCTTCTCATAAATACAAGCCTGACCTTTTCTTGACACTTTATTTTATCGCCGCCATGGCTTGAAAGGACTACCCATTATCTAAATAATTAATTTTTTAACTTGTGCACTTTTCATTAATCCCTGGTGACTCACAAAGAGTCCAAGCCAGAAGGAAGGTTGCTAACCCAAACCAATCCGTGTAGTGGCGATCTGGCACATGAGAATCCGGGTTCAGACATCTAGCTCCTGGCGCGGCGCAACCCAGTTTTCTGATTTCTTTAATTATTCAAGCATATCCTTACCAATATACATATAAAGATACTACTATATATCTCGCACATCTGTCTGACAGCCCTCCCTGCCATGGTTCTCCGTGCGTGATGACGAGAAACCGAGTCTCAAAGCCTGATAGGCGCACTACTGTCAATCACCTTGGCAGGGGCAGGCACGGACCAGGTCACGTGCTGTTTCGCCCCAGCAACCGGGAGCTTTCGACTGCATCCAGAAACACGGCCAATATCAACAGTTAAGACCCAGCTTGCTTTCTTATCCTGGCATCAGGCGCAGGCATTCTTATCGAAAACACGCTCAACTTAGTCCATTGAGCAGTCATGTAAGACATAATGTGCCTTACAGCTCAATTTAGAGCTTGGGCCTCACTTTCTGTTTTGTTTAGCCTCAATTAACGCCGTTCCAGCTGTCATTCATTTATCTCCAGACGTCGCCGTCGCTGAGCAGAATAACGCCCCCCCGCAGAAGTCGCGTTGTAGTCCTCAATATCATAATCGATCATGGATTTGACCCCCCAGGTCCAAGTTTCCGGTACGGAGGAGCCAGCACCAAGCACGCAAACTCCAGTTGATACCGAGATGACTCCTGCTCCAAGCGCAGGAAACGATGGGCAAACAGAAGAAACACAAGACGTCGCTGTACCCGATGCGCAGCCGGCTGAGGCCGAATCGCAGCCTGCGCAGGATCCCCAACCCCCTAAACCTGTTCCATTTCTCCAGTAAGTCCATAACACCGGCGCTCACTCCAACCCAGCAACTCTCCTCTGTCCCTCTATCTCCGACAGCAGCAACAATGAATCCTTTACTCACGGTTCTGGGTGACAGATTCTTGACGTCGCCGATAGTGGAGCTTATTGTCGGAAGCGGCGAAAAGAAAACTGCAATGACTGCCCATCAGACGTTACTTCTGGAGTCGCCTTTGCTATCTGAACATGTCAAGGCTTTCAATGACGGCCAGGTAAGCAAAACATCCTCCTGGTTCTGTTAAATACCTGTTGATTGACCATCTGTTTCTATCTAACCATAGCGTCGTATTGAGCTTCCTGACGACGATGTGGAAGCGTTTGGTTACTTCTTGCAGTACCTGTACACGCGCGACTATTCTCCTTCTGAGACAGAAGCAGCCGACGGAGCTGATGAAAGTGGCGAACAGCTTCTTAAGCATGCTCGTGTATACACGCTGGCGGAGAAATTGGGCATCCCTGCCCTAAAATCACTCGCGCATTCCAAGATCCACAAGATCAACAGCACTTCGCGTGGCGAACTGGCGTACGCTCGCTATGTGTATGATAATACCAAGTCGGACGATGTCACGATCCGCAAGCCTGTGTCCAACTTCTGGGGTATGAGGAGCCACGTCTTACGCCACGAGGCACAAGAGGAATTCAAGCAGCTCTGTCTCGACGTTCCGCAATTCTGTTTTGACGTTCTAAGTGTTGTCCTTGATCAGAAGGAAAAGCGTGCCCAGGATAGGGCTGAAGCGGAATCCGCTGTGAAGGGAAGCGGAAGGAAGCGACTTCGCAGTGGTCTGTGATTATCATTCACTTGATTATTATGGGCAGTTTGTACACAAGAGCCCTTTCAAGTTCCTACCTTTTTGTGTGCCTTTAAGTCAATCACTTCGCCATTGGTGCCTTTTCTGTACTCTTCTAGTCGCCCTGTCTTACCTTATGTGTCTACGGGTACATACCCTACGCAGTTGGTTCGGTTTGCGACTTGGGCATTTCTTTGTGGCTGACCAGGTTTCTTTTGCTTGGGTGCCGTGTATTTTCTGGGTCTTATGTCCACTGAATCTAACAGGGCAGGAAAGTTCCATTAAACAAGGCGATTCACACGTAAATTGATAGTAATCCGAGTATGTCCTTTGCATCTATGCTCTATCAAGATATCTGATCCTATGCAGCCAGACTCTCCACTTCCTCAATAGTCTTCGGCGCTGTGGTCAGGTTATCATAACCATCCTTGGTGATGTGGATGTTATCCTCAATGCGGACTCCACCGACAACCCAGTACCGCTCCAGGGTTTCGAGATCGATGTACTTTTGAAGGTCGGGATTCTTGAGGAATGGCTCAATGATGAAACGGCAGAAATAGATCTGTACACATGATGATCAGTAATCAAAAAATAACACTATACACATCGGTATCTTACACCGGGCTCAACAGTGATAACCGATCCAGCCGGCAGCCGTCCTCGTACGCGAAGGTACCGAAACATGGTATCGGTGTCTTCATAGTTAGGGTTTCCGCCGGTGTCATGGGTGTCCATTCCAAGATAATGGCCCAGGCCGTGTGGGAAGAAAGCAACGCTAATCCGCTTATCAAATAATTCGTTCTCCGAGCCGCGCAAGATCCCCAGTTTGAGCAGGCCCTTGATCGCGATGCGATGGGCATACGCATGGACGTCCTCCCACTGAACACCTTCCTTGAGCATATCAATGCACTCCAGTTGCATCTGCAGAACAATCTCGTAAATCTGGCGGGTTTCCGGCAGGAATTTCCCATTCAGAGGAAACGCACGCGTGATATCTGCGCAGTAGGTGCGGTACTCTCCGCCGGCGTCGATCAACACGTTGTCTTTTCTCCGTTGCGTTACTGGGTCAATAAGGTCCTCGTCGTTTTTTCCGTAGTGCAAGGTGGCTCCGTTTTGGCCGCACGCAACAATCGGGTGGTAAGATTGCTCGCGAGCCCCGTTCGCGATGCAGGTTGCGATAAAAGCCGCTTCAATTTCGCGCTCGTTGGTAGCGGTTTTTGAGGCCTTGATAGCTGCGATATGGCCCTTTGCGGAAATGTCGTTTGCTTTCCTGAGTAGTGCGACCTCGTAACTGTCTTTGACGACGCGTGTTTTCTCGATAACGGCCTTCAAAACATGAAGATTGGTCTCAGAGAAGCCCTCGAAACTTGTACCTTGAGATACTTGCTCCGCGATAGCAAAAGCAGCGGTCTTTTTACCATGCGACAAAGCGATAGCAGCCAATGTGGCATTTACTTCGGTTGTCTCTAACACGTTATCGACGTCATATCGCTCGAGGGCTTCGGCTGGTGACAGTGGAAGGCCAGACCAGATCACGTCATCTGGGCTAATTGGGGGGATGAAAAGGGTTAGCTGGTCAGAGTCGATATTATAGACCAGAGCTGAGTCTGGCAGCAAACAGCCTGAGAGATAGAAAAAAGGGCGACGCTGTCTGCAATTGTTTACCTGTCAGCGACCTTCAAGTAAAAAAAATTAGGGTCTGAAGTGGGATATTGGATACATCTCCCCCAGAGAGAGCATACCTAAAGGGAACAGGCTCATCGTTATCCTCGATAAAACGAGTTTCCTGTGCTTCTAAGTAGATAGCACCCCCGCTGTGACCAAGTGCCCTAAGACCCTCGGCCACCCGGCGAGCATGGGCTTTGGCCGGGTATTTTGTGGCGAGTATACCGTCTAGAGAAGTCATAGCTGTTCGATTTCGTCCGGAAGAAATTTATTAAAAGGCGCCTGTCACTGGGCGATCTGGAGCTTTTATCTCTGTCCAATGCAGCGGTTTGCATCGGCTAGACCGAGTCGTGGCGGGGCAGTCTCAATGACACTTAGCGGGGTACGTGGAGGTATCTCATTATCTGTCAATAATTTGGACGCTAAAACTAAAATTTGTACTAGCGGACAGGGCCGGATTGCTCCAAATCGCAACGCCTAACAAAACGAGCTGCTCTTGACCTTCATAGCACAAACAAGCTTCACCTAAATGTGCCGCTCTCCTGGGTCCCGACAGTTATCACGTCTTCGAATTCCATCTGCCATTTATCCACCTCAGCGAACTTCAGAGCTTGCAACCGTAACTCTTCGCTCAAATAGGTTTTATCCGGAGCTTCGTGCTCTAAGTCGAACTCAGAATCAAGCTCGTCAGTATCGAGAGCGGACGACAAAGGCGAGGAAGCCTCTATCAGTTCATTTTCTTTGCCACCACTTGCTTCTTGACAAGAACTAGCTCCATGTCGTTTGGCTGTTTTACTATCTTTTCCGTGTGAAGCAGAGTCCGCGACGGCCCGGTTACTAGAGACTGACTTCGTAGTCGTAGGCTGCCGGCGAGTCTGGGACCGTTTTTGCATGGGTGAAAAGCTCAACTCATCATCATCTAGCGCTGTCGAGTGGACATCATCATCCTCCGACTCGCTAAGCACCTCAAATTTCGATGCGCCCCGGCGTGCCACCCTTCTCTGGCGCCTTCGGGGCAAGAGTTGATCTTGAAGTGCTGCTGTTGGTATTTGAAGCTTGCTGTCAATTGGCCGTGCTGCCTTGGTATTTTGAGGCTTTTTTGTTCGAGACTGTAGCCGATCTGATTCTGGGGTGGAAACTTCATGGGTAAGACCTGGCACAGGGCTGCTCATGGGCGGTACCATTGTCTCGCTGAGAGTTGCCGGAGACTGCGCTACAATGGACAGCGGAACAGGGGTCCCACTGTCTCGGGTCTCAAGCTCGGTCCTTGGGGTTCCAGGTGTGCTGTTCGCAACATCGAGAGGCGACTTGGGAATTTCGGTTCCCTCGGCTGTTCGTTTGCGCTTCGATGATGTGCCACTTGATAGCAATGATGGGGACCGGTCAGGAGAAGATGCGGCAGGTCTGAGAACAAGTGACTTTCCCCTTGAGATATTCAACGGCGTAGATTCATCTTCCGGGCTCAAGCCGCCGAGAAATTCGTCGTCGTCTAGATCCGATGACCCATCTTCCTCATTCTGCATCATATGTAGAATACTCGCTTGTCGGGGCCGGCGTCTAAAGTTGCTCAGTATTGAGCTCTCGAAGGCAGGAGTGCCCGGAATTCTTGAGCTGGTGTCCCCTTTGCGCCCAGCAATGGAAAGGGTCGAAGAATATCCCCGGGCTCTCGTAGGTGGTCGGCTGCCTGTGGCTCCCTGTTCGGTCCCTGGTGACGAACCGATTGCGAACTCCTGTGCTTTACTTAAGGGTGTTTGGTTTCTTAGTTGGCGTATAACATCAGAAGGGTCAGCACCGTTTGCTAGTAGCGAATTACCCACTGCGTCGCTTCTCGGTGACCGGGATATATCTCGAGATCCAATTTGGCTCCCGGTCTGTTTCGAAGCTCCTAGGGTCCTGGTCGCCAGGCGACTGCGCTTCACCGCCGGTCTCGGCATGAGGTCGATTCCAAGATGCTGGTGTAAAGAGCTTGTGTTTGTTATGAAGTCGAAAGCGTGTTGTGCAGATAGACAGAACGATGACGGAGTTGCCTTCTAAGAGATTAGGTGAAGTATTGTGGTTTATTTGTCAACCCAAGCAAGAGAGTGATCTGCGAATGATGCTATCGCCCAGTCAAGGCTGGCTTAATGTTTTGTCAACGCGTGGGCGGCGCGCTTGCCTGGTACCTGACCGTGGGCCGTGGCTAAGGAAGGTGCAAGTGCTAGTGGATCCCTTCCGCATCGGGGATAGCTTTTACATTAGGTAGCCGTCGAGTAACATCTCCGGGGACCGGAGTATAACATTCATTTTGTTCTGACTCCTGAGAGACTTGCTGATATACCTCTATGACCAAGTTGGTCTAAGTAATAAATCGGGGTAATATCCTAGAAATTATCATATTGCAAGGCTTCTTGCTCCTATCTGATTCCACAACTTAGACCCTATAAGACATGACAATAGTGTCTCTGGGGACTACCTCACAAGTGACTAATTACAATCACGGATTTACACAATTTCTGCCATGACAGAAAAAGTCCACTCTTGTTCAAATCATCAACCTCTCTACCACCGCAGAGATCTTCTAGATATATCCAAAATGACACCGTCAGTGTCATTCGCAACCCTGCCAAGAAATATTATTTATACCATCATCAAAGAACTTGACAGACCCGACAAATTGGCACTGGGCTTAATATGTCCATACTTCCTTTTTATTCTTGCGGACTACTACGACCTCGATCGCTACCGCAGCAACCCTGAGGCATGGGCAAGACTCGGGCTTCCTGACGGCGCCACCTCCTGGCACGACTCAGCAGCTCAAGCGACTATCATTCGGTACCTCACCAAGGCTGGGTATAGCGATAACGAAACCGTATCAGTCTTCATTGATGAACCAGATCACCACGATACGCCAGATGGGTCTGACGAGATGGAAATCGACTCCGACCCTGCAGGATATGTTGAACTTGGTGATATGGACATGTCTGGGTTACACAGTGGTCTAAATGCCCCCGGGCTGTTACCATCCTACGAAGACTCTGATGAAGCTGTCGACGACGAGCTGGTCGAACTGCTTCTGTCCGAATGGCTCGATAAGAAGTTCGACATACTGGATGGCTGCGTTGTGTGTGCGGATTGTTCGCGGTTTATACTTTGCAGCAGGCCCGATGGGCGCCCAAATCCCTTCGCGGCGAACATGCTACATCGTCCGAGGTGAGTCTACTAGATACTTTATTTGTGGCCAATTCAAAAGTGATAATCATTCTGATCCTTGAATGACATTCTCTAGATGGTTCAGACACTGTGGTGATTGCGAGAAGGGTTATGGAACTGCCCCCGGCACTGTATTGACCTGATAGGTAGCGAAAATTGAAATCAGATGTGTCGATGAAAAGACACTGTAAAGCCCTGGCCTGCTTTACAGAATTACCATACAATAATCCGTACCCGCGAACCCTCTGCGGGTTTACTGGACGGAATAATCAGACTGCTAAGTTGGGTACTAGTCAGTTAACTCAACTTAAGTAGCGTGGGTGACTAAGGTCCTCCAATCTTTGCTCCGTTGAGCATGCACCACGGACGACAAACCGTGTCTGGAAAGGCAAACACTACCAGACCAGGGCCGCATCATCTTGAGATTGAGGTTTGGGATTACACACACCGAAAGGTCGCTTGGATATACACTAATGCCGGATATTCGCCCAGGAACCACCTGGACTGGTATTCCCCGCTTCCGGATTCTACCAGTAGTCTGGTCGGTCTGCAAGTACTCCTGTTCAATTTTCTATATCAACCTTGTTGATGACCTCTATCACCCTGTTTTTAGCATTTTTTCTATCCCATGGGGGGCCCCGCTGTCTTGCTCTCCTCAAGGATCATGCCGAACTGCCGCGAACATCAATCTTGACGTGACTACATGGGCCTCGGTAGCGCCCCGCATATCGTACAGCAACAGCAACAACGACGGGGTCGGGTACTGTTCAAAAACTTTACTCTTTGCGCTTATGACCACATGAATTGCCATGGCTCTTGAAGCGTAAGTCCTTCTGAGCCGCCTAGATGGGGGAAAGGTGTTGCTCTTGACTATATGCAAAGCTTACGAGATTTATTGAGATAAGAGTCACTTAATTTTGCATTCTTATGTTGACTTGGTCTTGCATCTGCATGTGACTACTGTTATCTCGGAACCGAGACCATGTCCACTTCCCCGGAGAGGGATAGGGAAGGAATCTTCGACTCCAACTCTTCAGGCGTTTCGAACGAGTTGGTTAACAAGAAGAAGCGCTCCAACTCCGAAGCAACGGAATATCCCCGTAGGCGCGCCACCATCGCCGTAAGTTTCTCGCCCACATGCACATCTCACTTTGAATTTCTGTCCATTCGTGCAAGCTCAAAAACCCACAATGTGCTTTCGCTACCCTTTTATCGAACACCCCTAAACCTCAGATTGTCCCCAGAGCACTATTGACCTTAGATTATAAACGCGATAGTGTCAAATCTGCCGCCTGCGGAAGACGAGGTGCAACGGAGCTCGGCCAAAGTGTCAGCTCTGCACTGACCTTGATGCGGAATGTGTCTACAGAGAACCTGGCATCAAACTGGATGCCGGAGATAAGCTGATCATTGAAAGACTCACGAGGATTGAAGGACTCTTGCAAACCAGTCTGGCCACGCAGAACTCGCACTTTGCGTTGTCTTCAACCTCACCCGCTACCAGTAATGGAACCAACATTGGGAGCGATGACGCAGGTGCGAAAGCGTCTAGTCATCTGGCGATACCCAAGGGGACCTCTATTGCCGGACTCGCCTCATGGGCAAACCCACCAACAAGCATATCGACCATGCCCAGGGTACACACCACCCCTGCTTTGAACCTCCTTAACTGGCCCTTGATCCGGGAGCTGGTTGCTCGCCCATATGACTCTCAAACACTATTGCAGCTGGAAATGGCTCGAGAACCGCTCAGGATGACCCCTCCCGTTGCATTCGATTTATCCCGTGCTACGGCTTATATCGAATCGTTTTTTGAAAGAGTGAACGTCTGGTATGCATGCGTTAGTCCCTACACATGGGCGAGGTACTACAACACTGCGATTTCCCTCAGCTTTCGAGAGGGTCCAGAGAGCTGTGTTGTTCTTTTGGTTCTGGCTCTCGGTTGTGCCGCCGAATGCGGCAGTATCGCTCTGGTATCAACCGATAGGGATCCTCCTGGATTGTCATTTTTCCGAGCGGCGTGGAATATTCTACCATCGGTGATGATGCGCAACTCCGTGGTCGCTGCGCAATGTATTATCATGGCCGCTGCTTACTTGTTCTACTTGGTTCGGCCACTTGAGGCTTGGACATTACTCTCGAATGCCAGCATGAAGCTACAGTTATTATTCGGCAACCCGTCTCGTGTTCCTTCTCAGTGGAGAGAGTTGAGCGTCAGAGTGTACTGGAATGCCCTGCTCTACGAAAGTGATTTGCTCGCGGAATTGGACTTGCCGCACTCTGGAATAGTAAACTTTGAGGAGCTGGTCGACCTTCCAGGGGGGTTTGATGAGGATGAAGATGAGGAATATGACGACGAGGACGGCAATGACGAGACCACTAGGAACAAACCGGTCAATCCTGTTGGCCGTGACGAACTCTGGTACTTTCTGGCCGAGATCGCCCTTAGAAGATTGCTCAATCGAGTCAGTCATATGCTCTATCAAAAAGACAACAGCCTCACACTCGCCTCCTTAGCACCAATTGTCTCGGAATTGGATTTCCAATTATCCCAATGGTATGAAGGCCTGCCACCGCCGGTCCGGTTTCCCCTATCCCATGCCCCTATATCACATTCCGTTCAGACTGTCCTTCGCCTGCGATACTTCGCCTGCCGAACAATCATCTACAGACCGTATATCCTGGCGGTCTTCGAGAGCGAACAGGCCTCTAGCGATCCTTGGGTGAGGGAGTGTTGCCGGCGTTGCTTAGAGGCTACGCTCTATCAGCTGGAAAACGTCACCACCCATCGTGACGGCCATCTGCCGTATCTATGGCAGGGCGCCCTATCAATGGTCTCGCAGTCGCTTCTGATAATGGGCGCGACAATGTCCCCTGCCCTCTCTAAAATACTCCCCTCTACTTTGCGTGTTGATGGCATCATATCCAGCGTAATAGTGGAGGTCGACAGGTACGCACATCTTGCACCAAGCCTCAAACTATCTTCGGAAATTCTACGCGATGCGGAGAGGCGGCGGCAAATCTGCCTTGGGTCTTCGGGGAAAAGAGCCTGAGTTAGGAAATACTAACCTAGAAGGTCGATCCTGGGATCTGGGCGATTGGCTCAGTGCAATACAGTGCTGCTGATACATGTTTATTTAACTAACCTGACGCATGTGGCCGGCCGATTATGAATAGGCAGTCAAACCTCATTAGAATTTACAAGTCAAAGAAGGTCCATAGTCAGCAGTGACACTTGTCTGTAATGGGATATAGGTATGGTTAAAATGCGTGCATTCGCATGCACATATATATATACATATACCGGTACTGGTACTGATAGTGATAATGGTAAATAGACACAAACTAAGGGTAAGAGTTCGTGATTTCTCATCATAGAAGGCAGGGGGTTGTTTCCACATATAAGGTAATGAAACGCCAACCAAGATGATAAGATGGTGACACAGGGGTATAGTTAGATGTTTGACTCAGGAGAAAAAGAACAATGTTGCATCAAGAATAACCCAGGCACACACGGCTCTCTAGAGAAGAACCCACTCACTGCCCCTCTTGATGAACTTGTCAAGCATTATGCCCATGTCATTAAGAGCAAACCGGCATATGTAGAAGCCGAAAAACTCGGCTGCGTGGCGAGTACTAAGTTCTAGCCCGACAAGTGTCTGAGAAGAGTGCTTCAAACCTGGATCTTCAACTTGTTGAGCAATTTGATCTAGTGGGAAAAGAAAGTCAGTAATCCCAATATCGAATGCTATCCTTGCTTGACTCACCCAATACTTGAGCGGCATCACATAATCGGGCTAGTGCGCTCATATAATTCGCGTTGGGTCCATTAAACTGGAGTTGGGTTATATTCCGACTGGCATGTTGGGCATTCGGTATCGGGGTCATTGGTAATGAGCTTAATGTCAGATGGTCTTTACTTGCTTCCTTTGAGCTGGACAGTGTGGTTGCACTAAAGCCCGAATTTTTGGACCGTAATTTTCGCCAGGAGGTCAGGTACGACTTGCTTGATCCATTTGACGTCCTTGAAGGTAGCGCATCCACAGCAGCGGCATCGTCAAGGGTCTGTGCAGATTTGAAAAGAGGCATAGCTCCCTGGACCCCCACTTCGTTGCCGACCTTTTTCGATAATGATATTTGTACCTGATCAAGCACACTTTCAAGCGCTTGCATCTCCTCCAATACAGCATCGGCGTCGTATGTATCCACCTTGGACAGCCTGAGCAATGCTGCAGTTAGTAGATCGCAATTTGAGACCTTTTCTTCCACTGCTTTGATTTTAACGTTCTTGACACGCCAGACGTCACGAGGAATGAATAGTTTTGTTGATAGGTATCCGCCACGTGGGTGAGCGATTGTTTGATAGATACACCGCATGAGCCAGAACGGACGTAGGAGGAAAGATTCAGGACAGGGCTCTAGCGGGAGAGGTGAGTTAGCAGCAAGCGGATTAGGCGATCCAGGGCTGGTTGGTGAATGGATGTAATCATCAAACAAGTACAGGCCATCACTCGGTAGCCCGCTTGACGCGAAATTCATAGCGCTTGGTGTAGGTAAGGCGTTTATCGAAGTCGTTGCAATTTCTTTCTGAAGATCCAATGTGGGAAATGCATTCATCGACGGCGTGGCCGGCGAGTCGGTATACACATCTGGGTTTGGTACTGAAACGTTTCTTGCCCGAAAAGACAGGGTGCCTGGATGCGGCCTGCCCAAATAATCGGGTGCTGATGGTACCTTACCGATTGGTGGGCGGGACGGAGAAAGCATTTTTGGGGCGCCCGCAGTATCATCATCCTCCACTGCCGTGATTTCTCTTGCGAGCTTCAATTTGGGCGATATGTCTTCATTAACAGAGCCGATCGACACATTTCTTTTGGCTTGATGGACATTGTGAGGTACCGAGGTGGCAATTCCCACACTGCCGTTTGCGAGGCTTGAATCTTTCTCCGACGACATCGAGACCTTTCGTGCATTCAATGGCCGGGAAAAGTCTGAATTGGTCAAGCCAGAACCAGATCTTGAATGAGTGTTTGTCTCGATTTTTAATTCCACCTTGTTCTGTCCTGACATTCTTCGCGCACGCACACCTTGTGCTGGCGTTGACCTGGAGGCTCGTCGTGACGGTTCAGGAGGAATACTAGGCTCTGCTTGCTGGATTGAGGCCGGTTCCGAAGGAAGTGTGTCGTCCTCCACAAGAGGTGGTAAGATTCCACCTGTTGCCACGGAGTTTAGAATGGCGGGGTTCTCCCATATGTTCCTCGAGGGGCCACTCAAGGTAGATTGCCGAGGAAGTGCTGACTTTGATTGGTGATCAAACTCGAAGTCATCCATGACATAGCCCCTAGTCATCTCCTCCAGTAAACGCTCCTCCTCTTCTGCATCCTCATCAAGATAATCCAGCCCAGTGTCATTGACGTCGTCCATTGTGCCTTGCTCTTGTGCACGACGCAGCTCACTTCCCCGTGTCATAGCCACCTCCGCTTCTCGCTCGGCCTCCCTTACCTTTTGCTTCGCTAATTCAACATTGCGGCGGGCATTTGCAAGGACGTCATCATTTTCTTCGTCTTCTTCTTGCGCCTCGGATCCACTTGCGGGCTCGAAGCCCTCATCGTACGCAGCTTCCACGGCTGCATCGAGAGCAGCATCAAACTCAGCTTCCGTACCGTGACTCAGGCCAGTGCTTCGTCTGCGGCGCAAATATACGGATGATGCTTTTGAACGCAATGACGTTGATGACGACCCTCCAGATTCGTCGATAGTATCTAACCATGAAGTTGACTCGTTAGGATCCGGAACCTGCGCGCTCAAGATCGATAGCTCGGATAGCCGAGAGGTAAGAGAATGTTTTCCTTCTTCCAAGATCGGGTCCTCCAAGAATTCTGGGGCTGTTTCGGAATCTACACGCCTGTGTGCAAGTAACTGTCCCTGAGCTACGGGTCTTGAGATATCCGTCTGGCCTTTCACTACCGACGAGAAAGGCGAACTGCGGAAGCCGTCATCTAGAGCTGATGGCAGCAACGACTGGCGCCTCGGAGGGATATGCGGCTTAATGAAAGTCCTTGGGCCACCGGAGGCTGCCTCGCGAGTGCCGAGCATCTCTTGACCCAGAAACCCGGGTTCTTCGTTGGCAATGCTGCTGTAATCATCTTCCTGGAGATTTGGGATGTATTCGCCGTACGATTCTTGACTAAGTGGGCGCTCGGGAAGCGCTTTGCTGTCCACATTTCGAAACGAAACGTCCATACGCTGAAGCTCAGTGACCCGGATCATATATGTGTCTCGCTATTTGGTGATCAGCGATATCTCTCTCCCTCTCAATGTGCACACCAAGACTTACAATCTCCTGAAGTTTGATCCTTTCATCCTCGCCACCATTACTCCGGAGCATCACCAATTGTAGAAGCTGGCATGCATCATTGTAAGCCTCCATGGCACCTTCAAAGTTTGCTGCATTGTCAAGAAGGACAGCCGTATTTGCCTTTTGTAGAGCCTTGGAAAGCATGGCTTTTTGAGAAGGGCCTTGCCGCCGTCTATCATTCTGGCTGTGGGACCGGATTGACGTCTGTGTGACATAGTCGCCTGGCACCTGTTCAAACGGGCCTTTATCCGGCAAGCGCATTTGTGTTCGTGCTTCGCGGTGTAGGGGTGCGGACTGAAAAGGTGAGGGTTCTTGCTGCAGTGAAGATGGGCCTGTAAGATTTGTGGAGGTTTTCGATAAGATGGTTATTTCTGGTCGATCTGACAGTGATATCTCCTTATGACCCCATCCAGTAGATGACTGGGAAGTATGATGTCTGGCAAGCCCGCCATCCTTGCCGGTTTCATCACCGATCTGGCTGAACAAACGGGCCTGGGGGTTGCTTTCTAAACTTAACATCTTTTTGTGAGAGGCATGGTTGTCTGTAGCGAGCAATCTAGGCGCACTCTCTTGGCGCCGATGGCTTACAAGATTGGGTGAGAGGCTGCTAGAGGTTGTTGACTGCGACCATCGGTTCAAACTGCCGAGACCCTCGCGGATATTGCCATCATCCATATTGCCAGGTGAGTTTGAATTTCGGCCCAAAGGTATGTCGGACATTCTCTATAGCAACAAATAGAATCCGTACTCATTCGACAGACCTTGTCGGAACCGCCTTGTACATACACTCGAGGGTAACTCCTGTGTGTGGGTCTCGATGCGAACATTCAAGTCGAAGAGGCGATTACGTTCAACGGGGAAAATACGCCCGGGGCTTGCGAGAAAAACGGCGACCAAGATACTTGGTGGATCTGATCGTATATGTAGTACTGGTAAGTAGCGTGCTTTCATGGGGTTTTGTTCGTGATTAGTGAAGTTGAGTTCGACAATATGATTCAGGAACCATAAGCTATTACGCCGGGCACTCTTTTTGGGGGACTAAATGGTAATGAGAAATCAGGCGAGAGCTCCCTAGGAGGTGATAGAGGGAAGGTACGAAACATACTTCGCGGGATTGAATTTGAAAGTTGTGCACATGTAACAATCGATGGAATTGAGCACTCCAGCCGTGAGAAGACTGACAGTATCTCAACTTGTATCTATACCAGCGTAATCCTCACGATCACCCCCAGGGTTGTGCGATTCAGTTTGATCTCAGTAATGCCTGGTGCAACCATAAGGGTCATTAGAGAGGCGCATGGTCTTCGGTGTCGGCGATTGGGATATTGTGTTGGATTCGTATGTCATTCAGCGTTTGAGTCTGATAGTAAAGTACTAGCAGCGAGGGACAGCTAAGCCTGAGCTCTGCTGTTAGCGAAATGCGAATGTGTGTACTGATGAGAAGCAGATCAGCAGTATCAAGACATTAGGGGATGCAATGGCTGAAAAGCGCACTTTTGACAGGTTGGCTGACTCGCGACAGGACAACGAAGACAAAGTATTGAGCAGGAGCACTCCGTATATAACGACTTCAATAGTACAACACCGTCATGGGGCTGGCATGAGGGGGACGATTAGTATTATGACATTGACGGAGGGGAATTATTATGCAAAGGCGGCTCAGGGGTGTTGGGTGGACCCGAGCGAAGCACTAGTTTGACGAGACTACTCCCGAGCCCCAGGACTCCATTCCAAACTTCGAAGTTCTAAACTTCTAACATCCATCCGAGATTATTATGTGGGGTCAAGATTCCGGAATCGAATTTTCATCAACGAGGCCCCAACTTATTTATTTTTGGTCTAGATATTTACCAGGCTGAGCATGTTGCTTGGAAGCCAAATGGTTAGTTACCCCAAAGGACATCGAACGATCAATGATCCAGATAATAAGGGACAAGTGCCCGTCAACAGCGTAGAGCGGTATCTCAGCGTGGGAGTCCGAGTATGAACTATGAATTCATACGGAGTAGACTGGTGGCTATGCCGCTATGGCCACCTAAGTTCTGATTAGTGGAGTTCTCAGAAGAACGTCCCCACGCCGTAGGGATGAAGACAATCAGTAGTCAGTACCCATGATTTCATCCTTCATGTGTTCAAGTTCGCGCGCAATTGCGAGAACAAGAATCTCACTCGAGGTGTATAAAAGTAGCCGTGGCCTAAAGGACGACTTAACAACCACCGCTACAGAAGGTTGATCATATGATTACCTTATGAATTCCTGTGGATTAAGCAATGAATATTAAAATATAAGCCAAGTAGGTAATATGAATAGGGCGCCGTGCCATTTCTGGAGCTTGTTTAGGCATGTCTGTCCGGCTGATTTCGCGGGTTAATGTGGCAGGAAAATAACCCAGTTGTAAGACTATTCCTCGCTTTCATCCTCGTCACTTGTGGCCTCAATGTTCTTCCGCGCGGGGCGAGCTCTCGAAAGCTCATCAGTTGAATCATCCTCCACCTCGTCGCCATCGGAGTTTGTACCTTGGTGGACGTAGTTCGGCCGAGGAATTGCTACTCCTTTCTCCTGTAGAGCAATCTCGATATCAGGTAGAAGAGTCAACAAAGCGGAAAATTGGTCGATTGGCAGCGAGATACCCTGTGTTGGGGCAGGTTAGTAGATACTCTTTCAGGTACATCAGGTACATCATTCCAGTGAGGAGGAATATACCTTCTTTCCGGGAAGCTCTTCCCCATCCTTCTCGTAATACTCTCTGATACTGACCATAGTTTTACCCCGAAACGAGGATATAGTGACGCGGCGCATTTTGGAAATCTCCCAATAGGTGTCTCCATTTGAGTCTTCTTTTCTGGCCACATTTCCACGAGGGCTACCGAAACCAGCAAATTTCGAAGGATTGGCTTTGGATTTCTTGGTACGAGGAGGCTCGTCATCGACAACGAAGTCGTCAGCGACTTCTGAGACGCGCTTTCTAGAACGGAATGCCATGGCAGGGATGGATTAAGCAAGAACCAACTCCCTCCTTGAAAGACGGTTACTTCAAGTCGTTATCACGGCACAACAAGGATGACCAAATCCTAATCATGAGGGCTAAGGGCTGGATACAAACCCAGCCGCGTGATTATCTTGAGCTTTGAGCTCAACGGGTAGTCCTCTTACCATAATCATTTATTATTGGTCCCGCCTTTTTTGTACTAAACTGTGTTAGGTAGAATGACAACTCCACACACACTTTCTCTTCAAGGTTATAAGCGCAAGTTTTCCTTTACATTACACTCCCTATCACATCAGTCATGGCGAAAGACACACCCGCACAAGCTCTTGAAGCAGTTTCTCCATTACAACAAGTCCTCAATGTTTGGGATCGCATTCAGGTCAACAGCCCAATCTATAACTTCCTGCTTAGCGATGTGGAAATTTACTACGCAGAAGAAGGCAATTTCTCTGCCCGGCTTGAGGTTGGCCCAAAACATTTGAATTCTAAAGGAGGTCTACATGGCGTGTTCTCTGCCTGTGTCACAGATTGGGCTGGCGGCCTGGCAATTGCTTCCTGCGGTCTAGAGTCCACGGGAGTGAGCACCAACATCAACGTCAACTATCTTTCAACCGCAACCACTGGTGACTGGCTAGAGATCAGAGGCTATGCCAACAAGGTTGGGAAATCTCTTGCTTTTACCACGATAACCATCTCGAAATGCACGAGTTCTGGCGATACCACTTTGGTGGCCCAGGGATCTCATACCAAATATGTCAGGACACGGTAATCAGACTCGATATCGATGTTCGGCTGGGGTTTGGGTCATTAGGCCGCGCCGCTATCTTCTTTGCATCTGGCACGAAGCACATATACTTTGAGTGCCCTGATTCACTCGGACAGCGAAGATCGATTCTGCAGTTTACTTTTTGGTCTCCTGTATCTTATGGGGAGAATCATGGTAAACAGTGAGTACATAGGTAGCCTTCTACGTCCCGAAACTGGCAAACTGTAAAGTTGGCGGTCTAGATGTATTTAGGTTTCGTGTACTGAGAAAAAGGTGTGACTTATTTAAGCTGCTATATGCGACCTCGATGACCTGTGCCTCGCTCGCAGACCTGCTTCAAGTCAGCGGTGATTACGAGGGCAGTATGTGGCCAATTATCTCACCTCTGTTACAACTTACACCGTACACCTATATTGTAATTGGGTGGGGTGATGTTGGATACCCCGTCCGGAGTGGAAAAATTGTTTACTTTCCGCCAATAAAGCCTATGAACCACGGTTTACTCTAGCAGGGTGGGTAACTACCACAATAGTGGCCCTCCTACATGCAGCAAGATTTGTATCTATACTGTCCTCAAATGCAGCAATTCGTCCCCATTATGTGGTTGGTAGTTGTGACTTGTTAGCCTGCTGCGTTTGAGTAGTCTACGGAGTACGGAGCAATATGGTCTGGGCAGTGGGCACAGTCCGGCCGGGGCCAGGGTATTAGGTAAGGAACGGTTATTGCTTATCTAACCTAAAATACGTAATGGTGCACAGGGCAATACCTTAGGCTTCCCCCCATAACTCCAACACAGCTGTTGGTCTTCGCTATCACTTAAACTACTTCGGTACTTCAACACTCGAAAAGTGCCCTCATCGGGCTTCTTGTGGCCCATGTACCGATCAGAAAGGTCCGGCGACCATGGACGCTCCAACCGATCCCAACGATGCCTCACCTCCATTCTTATCTCATGACGTTCAACGGCCGGAGCGTTCTACCTGCAGTAAGGGCACAATAGATCATAAGGAATGCTGGTCAATTATCAACGATGAAGGTACGCAGTTGAACCAGTTGATGAATTTGGCGCTGCACTTTCTTTCAACATGCAGTAACGAAACACTGCTTCTTGTTCTCGCTTGCTTGGTGGGAGCTACATATATCATCCTGGGGAGACTTGGACTACTTCTCATTGGCGCGACGCTTGGTGCCGCATTACATGCATCATGGGATGGAGGGGTAAATAATCATCTATCGAAAACCCAACATCCCGCCAAAAAACAGCTCTCTTTGAGTATAGTTCACAAGCTACTCGACTGGGAGAGGTCCAAATCCGTTGAAACCGGCGAAAATCACTATGATGCTAGGGAACCCACAAAGGAGGGCGCCTCGGATGCCGTTGATATTTCCGCTGTAGGGCCCATTACGGCCACCGTTCTGCACTCATTAATCGACGCGGCAATGCGAGATTATGTGAAGTAAGTTTTTGCACACTGTACAATGCACCTCCTCATAGACTAATCAGCGTGGAAAGCCACTGGTATGAGCCGCTTATTCCGAACGAGTCGACGTTCCCGACCTCTTGCCGGGGCGTACTGACAAGTTTCGTCGCCTCCATCGCCTCCCACCTCTGCCGTAAACGAGCGGTTGATACTTTTCTAGAATTTCTCACCAACTCATCTTCCATCATCATCGTGTTTTTGAGTGAGCTCTGTGTCGCGTTTGAAACTGCTGGCTCTACCGTCACGGCTGAGGATGCCGTGCTGCAGTATCTTGAGTCGAACCCGGACAGCAGTCTCTCGAGCCTCTTAGCGCATCAGCAACAACATCAAAAACTAGTAACAATCTCGGATGATATTCTCTCCAGATTCCTGGATTCGGATGCATACAACTGTATCCCGGTTCGGAACTTCTTGCGCGAAGTTCTGACGGGGATTGCCTTTGAGTCAACAATCACTAGTATGTCACGGCCTGAAGTTATAAACGGCTGGATTACATATATATTCAGCGAGGGCGAATCCGAGATAATGAGTGCAATTGACGCTGGCGTCGAGGGAGCCCGCAACCATGGCGTAGCAACGGTCGAAATCTCGGGCGAGAAGTCATTTCCCACTTCAACTTCTACGAGAGAAAACGTTACAGAAGGCAATCCTTCTCCTGGGCAGGCACGCAACAAAGTAGACCGAGCAACGGAAGACGCTATGCTGGAAACCAAACGCCTGAGCGCTATGATTGCGGCACAAAACATACCGGAGTATTCCGAGAAGACGATACAAGATGAAGTATGCGAAGAACGTAATACCGGAGATCGTGATAATACAGATGTCCCTACAGGCGCTGGGAGTCCTCTGGGAGAACAGCTGGATATGAAAGGGACCGAGCAGGTTCAATATGCACAAGTGATCAAGTCCAGTGGACTGGGTGACTCTCTCACCTCGCCTTCCTTGCAGCCTGGGGAGGTTTCCGCAGGCTCATTTATGGGTAGTACCGATGCCTCATCGACTTTCAGCCTTTACCGTGCTCTCATCACGGTTGACGATGGCTGCGATTCCGGGGATAAGGCCGTGTTGCGATCAAAGCCTACGTTGGACTACTTGATCCAAGTTGAGCCGCATTCTGAACGCTCTGGTGGATGGATGGTTTTCAAGAAATATGCGGATTTTGAGGCCATCCACGAGACATTACTAACAATAGCGCGATTGAATCAACTAATCTTTAAGGACTCTCATCCGCTCGTGCCGCCTTGGAAAGGACGGACACGCCAAGCTCTAGGACGGGATTTGGAACGATATCTCCAGGAAGCCGTTCAGCTGGGGCCCCTTGCAGATAGTGTGACGATGAGGCGATTTCTTGAAAAGGATGGCGGTCTCAGTGCTGAGGCCGCAGACCCGTCTCTGAAACCCGGCTTTCTTTTCCCAGGCCAAGCCGCGTTTGAGAATGTTGGCAAGGGTGTCTTGGGCGTACTAACACATGCCCCCAGGGGAGTTTCTGGGAGTGGCAAGGCTGTTCTTGATGGTGTCACTGGTGTTTTTGGCGGAAGCCTCAACAGAAAACTACCAAGTGGCCGGGGAGCAGGCGGTGATGACAAGGGAGGCCACAGTGTTCCACAAAAATATGCTCCTCTTTTGAAGGAAGGAAGCCAACAGGATATCGAGAGGTTCAAGGTCAGCAATGATACAACGAGCGGCGAATTGCCGTCCCAATTGTTGGAGCTCAGCAATACAGGTGGCCTTGCATCACCCAGTGAGAGTGCATCTCTTACGGAACCATCCGATACTCCTGTACCCACTCCCGAATCTGAGAGGAATAGCGCTGATGAGGCTGAAGGTCGAGTCTTATTCAGCTCCGCTTCGGCCATAGAAAGCAAAGTCACATCAACCAGTTTCTTAGAGGGAGAAAATGACACCAATGACAATACTCTCATGGGGAACAGAAAGTCCACAGACTTACAGGCCAGGCTGGAGAGTGGAAGCAGTCCTATAACGGAAGATGAGACGCGAATGGCAGTCGAGCTTATATTTGCTCTTATAAATGAATTATATTCATTATCATCCGCTTGGAATATACGCCGAACATTGTTGAACGCGGCAAAATCATATATTCTTCGACCAGGAAATCCGAACCTAGAAACAGTTCGAGGTCTACTGCAGGAGTCTATGATTGACTGTTATACTAATGATGATGCTCTTGGAGCGTATCTGGCTAAACTCAGAAAGAATGTCCTGCCAACCGCAGAGGAACTCAAGTCATGGCCACCTGCTCAATCTGATGCAGAAAAAGAGCGTCAGCGGGAGGCTGCTCGACGGACTCTGGTCCAAAAAGGGCTTCCGCAAGCTATAACGAGTGTCATGGGCGCGGCGGCTACCCGGGAAGCTCTTGGTAGAGTTTTTGACAGCCTTCAAGTGGATATTGTTGCGAGAGGGTTTGTTTTCGCAGTCCTTTTGCAGGCACTAAGGGCTATGATCCTTTAGTTCCCAGCACGTGTTGAATGTTGATATATGGACCTTAGATAGATATCAAGACATAGCCTAGAATGGCTGATACTCTGAAGTCCAGTAGGTAAAAAAGCTGGATATTATGAGAGCTCCTGACTCGATGCGACAGTGATTTGTAGACCAGCCCAGGCATCGCTATTCTTTGACCACCCGCGCCGGAGTGCCAAACGGTCTTGCCAGGCACGTCCCCAAAGCACTGTGGTTGTGGGCTAGTGGCTTGTTTACGATACCGCTCCGCGCAACACTAACGTTATGTCATCTCTTGAGTAGATCTCTCCTAGCCAGCTGGACATTGCTATGGGTCAAAAATAACCAGGTCCAGATGAGAGAACAACCCACAAAGATCCGGTCTCAAATTTTGGGTGCTGCTTTGGAAATCCATTGCGGAAACAAAACCCGTTGAAACACCCCAGGACACGACAAGAGTATCCAGGGTGGAGATCATCGCTAGCCCTTTGAGTAAGTACGTTTTCTGCAGAGCATTTGCGAGAGCATGAAGTGATTGACATCCTCGTCTGACCAATAGCTTAAATGACTGGCAAGGCTTGCAATTAAGGATATGTCGAAGGCCCCCCTATTGCACCAGATCAGATTGTAAGAGGAATCGCGCCAGGGTGAGATATATATAGACTTACTCTTGTACACTGTAGTCGACTCGTCCGTTAGAGTTCAATAGCCTGACTTTCTGTTCCTCGAGCTTCAATTTCCTCAGACCACGATCCGCTTCCTGCATACCTCTGTCGTGTTCACGCTTTGCATTAGTGGCTGTTTTCGCGCGTCTTAGTTTAGCTTTTTGGAAGCCCTCGTAGAGCGTCTCTATGTCCGGGTCTATCAATGTAGGGCTACGATCGCCGGAATTGGTGGTGTTTTCCGGTAGCTTTGATTGCGCTGGGGTCTGATAACGGGTATCAGGGCGCTGTCGTGGGCTTTCCTCAGAGCTGATACCAAGGCTGCGGTTCAGCAGTGTGCTTGCCACACCCGATGTGAAATTGGTCCATAACGATCCAACACTTTGACCCACGCGGCTCCCGATTAGTGAAAGGCTCTGTCCAGACGCGGTCCAAATACTTCGTTTGACAGATGGCAAAGGCTGCGGCTTAAGGGACGACATCGCTGGAGATATCAACGGCTCCATGCGATAACTCACCGGGTCGGAGGGGTGGAATATATTATACAATTGCCGGCAATTTGGGGCAGAGACGGCGGCCCGGTTTTCAGCAGTGGCAACCCCTGTGCCTAGGGTTGCCAATTGCAGCTTGGACCTAGAGCCAACGCTATTGGCGACACCGTGCTTGACACTCTCGTCCCATTGAGAAGGCCACCCGGCAATAGTCTTTCCTTTGAGCATCTCAAATAGAGCTACCGGAGATCCTAGACAGAAAAATTCCTCACACTGGAAAGTAAATGAGGATGTACCTGAAGGAGATTTCCCCCCAAACAGGCTTTCCTGACTTGGTTCCATATCCCCTGAACAAAGGAGATCGAACAAAATTGCACTGCCTAGAGAATGTCCACAAAGACTCACTGTGCCTTTAAAAGAAGGGTTGCGTTTTTTGTAAAGCTCAGCGATCCGGTTGCATTCCTGCCTGACAATAGCAGAAATCTGTTCACGGTGCTTACTTTGGTAAAGTAGAACATCAATGGCAAGGTCTGAGATGAGGTTTCGAACGGCGGGAACGCTTTCAAGCGTAATATCAGATAGAGTGGGGTAGACATCATCTTCAAGCGCGTCCGCGTCTGCCAAATCGAGCTCCGTGCGGTTTTGGCCGACCTTTTTATGGGGGAATTCCAGTAAATGTCTCCAGCACCTGGTAGGATTAGCATAAGGGAGATGTTGGGTGGTGTTAAAAGGCCGATGACCTACACAGGAAGGACCTGGACACGGCAGTTGTTTTGTTTATCTGAGAAGGCAGAGTTGAGGGCCTGAAGATCGGGCGAAGCTTTATACACGCGCTTCATTGTCTTTCTGAGGACATTCACGTCATGTATGAAGTTAACACTTTCCAGTCGTAGACCGAGCCGTTGACCGATTCCGTGTGTAACCAGGACTAGATGATCAATTCCTCTCTCCCTATCCTCGCCATCTGTCTCTCTAAGATCTTCCATCTCCACTTCTTCTTGCTTACGGACCTGCTCTTCGAGATCGACCGAGTCACGCGTGTTTGTTAAAGATGAAAGACGCCGTTCCAAGCTTGTAGCTGGTCTTTGATCGGCCGTGTTGGGCGGCTCCTGTGATTCCGAGTTGGAGCTGGAAATGGGTGCTCCTCGCGTGCTGGCGGAATCTGCGGTTGGCAGCGGCTCGCTAGTAGTAACTGATTTCGAATCGGAGCTTTTCTTATCTTGAGCTTCATTATACCTCTTCGTTTCCGAGAACCCTCGCAGTAGCCTGGTGCCCGGAACAGCACCGAGAGTCTGATAAACAGTTGTACTCACTCTCGACATGAAGTCATCACTTGTAAGCAAGGCTGTTGCGGCATCCTGGTACGTAACAATACTATTCATGTAGGAGCCAAACAGACGGTATTTTCGTGCTTCCGCTGCAGACATGGAAGATACATTTGTGGTACTCTCTGTACGAGTTGTCAACAGTTGCTAGGCTCCTCTTCTCTGCGCATAAACTCACCCTGGTCACGGCCATTAGCGGTTGACGAAGACTGAGACTGTTGCTCGCTGGCCACTGCGGGACGCCATGGTTTAAGCTTCAGATAGCCCTCCTCTAGCTGGGCTGCAAGGTTTTCTTCACAGGGTTTGATTGCGGATCCCTCTTGAAAGAACCATGTCCCGCGACGAACTTCGTATACAGGCCCTATCCAGTAAGCTGGGCCAAGCTCCCTTTGGCTTATGTTCACATCAAAAAGATAGTCCTCGTTGACAGGTACTTTCACGGGTTCACGGTCTCCCAGCTGGGGTTGATGTCCTTGCTCACGCCCGACCTCAGCACTGCACAGGTCCTGGAACGCATGCTCAATTGCCTGAGAGTCTTTCACTGTGAACGGAACAAACTTTCTCGGAGCAGGTAAAGGCTTCGAGTTTTCTTTCGTTTGGTCCGAGAAGGACGGCTTCCATTTGGGAGAGTCTACTGCGTAAAACCACCTGACCTTTAGAGGGGGCGAGTCCGGAGGATAGTGGCGGATACCAAGTCTGTTTCTATGGGAGATTGTGTGGTCTCTCCCTTGAAATTGTTGAAACATATCCGGTGCATCTTTACCAGCGGTCGGATAGTCGTTGGAGGTGTGGAATGCCCTCGGGAATGCTGTTCCACTTGTGGTTTCTTTTGCCATAAACGCCGTGTATACACCAGGGCTGGGGCGATCTATATAGCAGGCTCTGAAGACCGTATGAATGTTGTGAACAGTGAGCGAGCGTCCGGACAGGGCAGCTGGGAGTTGTACCGCAGGGCGCATCCACCTCTGAGTAACGACGCGGGTGAGCGTTAAGTGAGGTCTAAAGTAGTAAAGATACGTTATAAGTGAACAATGAGTTGACCAAGCTTTCGCAGGAGGTAGTCGCAGAGATAGCCTGGGTGCCGGTGTGTTTCCAGTTCAAGTACGCTGAGAGAGATAGTTATTTCAAAGTGGTTGCGTCTTCCCGCTTTCTTGGCGCCCATATTACGGTACAACATTACCCGGCGGTGATCTGTGCCTTGGCTTATCAGTTGTTCTTGTTCTTTTTTTTTTATATCTATACTCCATTTCGACCAACACAAGGGGACCATGGTTCAAGAAGTCTGCGATCTGTACTTTGTGAGGAAGGGCATGGAACACTTGTGGAACATGCGTATGACGTAGCGCAGCCACGAAATGGGGGCTTGTCAATGTGAGGGCAGCCTGATACTGGGCTGGGGTCAAGTTCACGGTTACCTACGCCCGATTGATTGCATCATCCCTTGAGAGGTGCCACTCGGCGGCGAAACTGCCATTTATCAAATTTGTATGAATGCAACCACTCCATAGAAATAGCTTGAACAATGGATTACTTGTCCATCTGTAATCATGCAAGTGCAGCGCGCGCCAGTAGCTCGGAGGCCTAACAATGATGAACCTGGAGTATTAAGCAGTGTATGGAGCAGTAGTACATTACATGGTTGTTCAACCCCGCCCCGCTTCGCCCGTAAATATAGGTCTGCCCTTTTATGGAGTAGTAGCACTGCCCAGGCTACCCAAATATGGATTTGGTATGAGCAGTACTTAAGCCTCCCTCACTTGTTCCAAAAGCCACACCATCTTTCTGAGCCTCTCGAAACCCCACCACCGCTCCTTCATCAAATACCCAGCGAACTCATTTTCGTTCCCCTGCTGGAACCCCTTTAAACCCCGCGTTCTCCGTGAATCGCTTAAGTACTGTGTCTGGGTCTCGAAGAAAATGAATGTGATCAAACTTCAGAGGTTCGCTATCCTACCAACCTGTCCCTATTCTCTCTGCGTTTGTCTCGACATGAGCCCTCCGGTTTCCTCTGAATTAGCCTAACAGCGCGCTGTCCAGGAAATACCCCCAGTTCGAACAGGGTGAGATTTTCTCTCTTCAAGACGCATTCAGAAAATTAGATTTGGACGACAAGGGGTATCTGGATGAAGGCACGGTTATAAAGGCCACGCAGCAGTCAGAACGTCAACCCTACGATGTTGTGCGTCAAGCGTTAAAGGAGGTTGAGCTTGACAGCTCTCGTCGGGTGGAACTTGAGGATTATGTGGACGTGGGTGCTTTAGCTCTGGATTGACGCTCAAAGTATAGTAGCTGATGAGAATTCACAGCTCATTGCTAGACTTCGCTCTGGCTCGGCGCAAAGCGTGCCCATCAGGGATCCCGTTTCTGCAGCCGCCCCAGGGGCCCCACGGCACGTCTCCAAAGGGAGCGTAGGTGGGAGGATTCATGTCCAAGGTTCCTCTTCGAATGTGACTCACACAATTAACGAAGATGAGAGGACCGAATTTACGAGGCATATCAATGCTGTCCTTGCAGGTGATTCGGACATTGGACACCTTCTGCCCTTCCCCACCGATACTTTCGAGATGTTTGATAAGTGCAAAGACGGTCTGGTTCTGGCGAAACTCATTAATGACAGTGTTCCTGATACGATTGATGAGCGCGTTTTGAACAAATCTGGCAGGAAAATCAAAGAACTCAACGCATTCCACATGACTGAGAACAACAACATAGTCATCAACTCAGCCAAAGGTATTGGGTGTTCGGTCGTGAACATTGGAAGCGGCGACATCATAGAAGTGCGAGAGCACCTCATTCTAGGTCTTATCTGGCAAATCATCCGACGCGGACTATTGGGGAAGATTGACATCAAGCTTCACCCCGAGCTGTATAGGCTTCTCGAGGAAGACGAGACGCTGGAGCAGTTCTTACGGCTTCCACCTGAGCAAATCCTATTGCGTTGGTTTAATTACCACCTGAAGAACGCGCAATGGCCGCGAAGGTAAGCAATTTGTTGTCCGACTTGTAACTCGTACCGTGAATAATATAGATGCCGCATCCCGTTCTTTTGGAACCCAAGAGCTGATAGCGCGCTCTCTATGGCAGGGTTACGAACTTCTCAACGGATGTGAAAGATGGCGAGAATTACACTGTTCTCCTTAGCCAATTGGCACCTGAACTCTGTTCACGGCAGCCACTCCAAACCCGAGACCTGCTCCAGCGTGCAGAGGAAGTTTTAGGAAATGCCGAAAAACTAAACTGTCGCAAATTTCTCACTCCGACGTCTCTGGTTGCTGGAAATCCCAAACTTAATCTTGCCTTCGTCGCAAATCTGTTCAACACTATCCCGGGTCTTGACCCAATCACTGAGGAGGAAAAGCTCGAGGTTGAGGACTTTGATGCCGAAGGCGAACGGGAGGCGAGAGTTTTCACCCTATGGCTAAACTCGCTCGACGTACAGCCTGCTGTGAATTCACTGTTCGATGACCTTCGCGACGGAACCATCCTAATGCAGGCATATGATAAAGTCATTCCCGAAAGCGTGAACTGGCGGCACGTTAACAAGGCACCAACATCTGGACAGGAGATGATGCGCTTCAAGGCAGTTGAGAATACCAATTATGCTATCGAGCTAGGCAAACATCATGGGTTCTCACTGGTAGGCGTACAGGGAGCGGATATTACTGATGGACAACGGACTCTCACGCTAGGTTTGGTGTGGCAATTAATGAGGCGGGATATCACAAACACACTCTCAAGCCTAGCTAGTCGCATGGGCAAGCGCGAGATCACAGACTCGGAGATGATCAAATGGGCCAACGACATGTCCCGCAAAGGTGGTCGCAGCTCTTCGATACGCAGTTTCAAGGACCAGTCAATTGGCTCGGGCGTGTTCCTCCTGGACGTGCTCAACGGCATGAAAGCTTCTTATGTCGACTATGATCTCGTGACTCCAGGTCAGACTGATGAGCAAGCCTATGCAAACGCAAAACTCAGTATCAGTATTGCCCGCAAGATGGGTGCAACTATCTGGCTGGTGCCCGAGGATATCTGTCAAGTCCGGTCTCGACTCGTGACTACCTTTATTGGTAAGTTCTACCTTGAGACCTACCCACAAATAGACCTGGTTCTAACCTTTTTTCAGGTTCTCTCATGGCTACATACGAAAAGATGTGATGCTTGAAACTATCGCCTGTGGATGAGGGATGAATGGTTATGCAACCATGTCTTTCGCCGCTTATTTCTTTGTAAATTCTCGTGTTTGATGTCATCAACCAGCAGAGCCGCCTAAAATGAAAATTATTCAAACAAAGTATTGGTCTTCTGTAAGAACTAGGTAATTACATGGTCGATCCTGAAACCAACGGTGTGTAACGAGTGATAACTTCCCATTCGACCCCAAACCTCCAAACATAACGCTTATAAGAGGTTGCCCATTGTTAGAGCAGGAATTACGTGCTCCGACCTAGAATGATTGCAGACGGAGGCTAGACTAAACGGCAAGTTCGCATCATCACATAACTCAACCTGTTAGTGTTAACGGTTTAGATGGGCCCAAATCACTCCGTAATCGCATATGGTGAGCGGATCCCTTATTTTTCTTCATTAGCACCCACCTAGAGTATTCGACTGCAAAGCCGAGGCTGAATACGAGGAATCCTACGGCTACTACTGACGGCATCCGCAGCAGTCTTTAGAACGGCTACCGGGAATCACGACCGGGGCGACAAGGACGAGGATTGGGATTAAAATCGTCTTTTATTAATCTGCGACGGAAGGCGGATAACGGACGGTTTCCATCGGAAAGAACACAAGGACGACTTGGTTCGGCGGAGGTGGGCATGGTAGAAGAAAAGTGACCGGTCGGCGTGGGTTCGACTATCGTTCCCGCTGCTAGGCAATATGATGAATACCACGTAAAGCAATTAGACCCGCGCCAAGGTGATGAACACTTAGCCGTCATTTCTTTACCGTATCCCGTTCTCTTGCTTGATATCCGACCTTCGTTTCACCTGGACAGGGTCGCAGTAGGGGTCTGACAGAAAAAACGCGAGAAGACAATAAAGACCAACGACGAGAGAATTGTGAGATTCGAAACATAACAAAACGCGGAAAGACCGGGGGGGGAATGAAAGAGATGGACGGAATACACGCTTTTGCGCCAAGTACCGGTCCGTCTTCCAAGACAATGTGGAAAACCCCGTGCTTGATGAGAAGTAGTCAGTGTGCCACCGGGTCCCTTGTGAGTTCGGCAGATAATGAAACTGGGATTGAAGCTTTTATACTTTCTTGGCAGAGAGGATCTACTCAGCAGTATCAAGCTCATCGTGAGCAGACGTCAAGGGCTCTAAAGGAACTGTTTTGTTCAGTAAATTTCATTCGGCGGGCGCCCGATCGTCGACTCACCCTTCCTGTCTTCACCATTGGGCCCGTTCTCACGCTCGTCGTCGCGTCGCTCGCGTTCATCATCGCGTCTTTCTCGGTCGTCCTTGATGTCACGATCCCTTTCGTCGGGGCTGCGGGAACGGTCGCGAGAACGATCACGGTCCCGGCGATCGTAGTCACGGTCTCGCCGTTCGTAATCTCGGTCACGCCGTTCGTACTCACGATCATGCCGATCATAGTCACGCTCGTACCTATCGTCTCTACGCGGCGAGTACTCTCCACGGGCACGGCGGGGAGAAGGGGAGCGACCACGGCGTGGAGGAGTGCGGTCTCGGCGGCGGTCACGGCCGGAATCGAAGCGCCAAGAGGCAGAAGGGGGGGTCCTAGCCCACTGTTTATGGGGTCAGAGTAATGAACTGGTGGACATTAGCCAAGACTCACTTCAATTTTTAATAAATCATCACGGCCAATGCGCTTGTTGTGCATCTCATGATAGGCATCATCTGCGTCACGGCGACTCTCATACTCCACGAAAGCAAACCTGGATTAAGCGTCAGGGTCACTGGTGCTAGCTGGGATACTTGAGTAGTGCATACAGGCGGCTGGAGGGAGTACGTGGTGCAGGAATATCACATCGGACAAGACGCCCGTAGCTGAAGCCGAAGTTAGCAAGTAATGTACAGAGCAAGGCTGCGTGGTTAACAGAAGTGATGCAAAGATAGAGGTAACGTAGATAGTGCAGAAGTGCAAGTACAAATCTATAAGGATGGATGATGATTTAGGAGATTCAACTAGAACAGAGATGCCTAGTGGGCAGCAAGTTCTTTCACAGCACGACATTGGCTATCTCCGGCGTCGATATCGCGAGGACCGACCGAGAAGAACAGCGAAGGTGGAGGGAGATGGAAGGAGAAGCGGTTCGATGGTCATGGTAGCGCGTAGTAGGCACATACCGTTCGAATTCGTAGGCAAGGTCGCGAGCTCGGGTGCCATGGCCAAAGCCCGTGACGTATAGCGTGGTACCAGGGCGGGACATGATGGCTGCTTGCGAAGATGCTCGAAAAAGTCTGCGAATGGAGATGTCGGTGCAGGGCACGAATAGTGGTACGTAGTAGTATGAGTGATGAAAAAAAGACTGATGAGCAGGTGTGGTTTGGACTACTACAGATGGCGGCATGTGCCATTGACGAAACACCTAGTCCAAAACAGCTCCACCTACTCGTCACTTCGGCGTTCCCTGAGCTACTACCAGGCCCATACTATTACCCACAGGGTATTCCTAAATGGAGCGTATAAAGAAATCAAGCACATGATTTCTTTCTCTTGGATCTTGATACATTTTATAATTCTTTTAGGTGATACTATAAATATTGAATAATTGCGCTGTATCCTTGCCTAGCATACGGTCCTAAGGTACCATACAGCATCATAGAGTTCAAAAACAGGCACAGAGATATCTAGATCACCTGCAAGATCCTGTGTTTAAGTACCGGTAAAGTGTATGATACTCTTTACTACCGGAAGGTTGCCTTATGCTCCCAGGGCCGAGTGAGCACTGCATCTTCGATGCTTGACGCATGCTTGACTGTTAGAATACAAACTCCACTCTAGACAATCTAATAATGACTAGTGGGCACTCTGTAAAGCAAGAGGCTGAGGCTCAATTGTCGGTAGTAGTCGGTATATTATTGGGCCCGACGTGGGGAGTTTTTCCGACTTCTCCCAGGCGGTTCTCGGAAGTGGAAGACTTGGCCGGGGGGGTTGAGGTTAATCAATCCCCTAGTACATACCCCAACAAGCTCCTGCGACCACAACAATCGCTCCATCCATTCTATTCTTAATCCAGGCTATACCCCGAGCCTCGTGTCGCAGATACCATTCAAAGTCATTCCTCATTTGCTCAGATTGGTTCTATTTGGTTCGCTTCCGTTGCACAATGCAACTTTAATCACATACATATGGCCAGCGCAGCATTCAAAGATTGGGTTCCTCAGTATCTGCTACCTTGCTGCAAATAGTCTTGTATATATAAACGCCTGGAACTGTCCTTACTTGCACAGCACAACACGGTCAGTTATACAGTGAGGCAAGACAGCTCATTCGGAGGTGACGTCGGGCTCGATGCCGATAGGAGGTACTGCGAGACGACCTGATAATCTCTAGCTAGATCGTTACTCCTGTCAAAAAGAATGAGCATAAATCGCCAGGGAGCGACCCGTCATGACGGGTCGAATAGCGACGGCAAACCTGGTTTATCGGAGATTTCACAATTTGAGCCGCCCACCTCAACTAAGGTAGGAAATGCGCTGGGTTTTCTGCTCGATTTCGCTCATACTCCCTACAGGGTACACTTCCGAGCAGCTCCCTTCTCCGTGGAGCTAGGAGTGCAGTCGCCGAGCCCGTTACGGCAGCTTTCTTTGCTGGTGGTGTAGCGGGCGCTGTATCGAGAACTATCGTATCACCGCTTGAACGTCTGAAAATCCTCCTCCAAATCCAAACCGTTGGCAGAGAAGAATACAAGTTATCCATTTGGCAGGCGCTCAAAAAGATTGGAAGAGAGGAAGGCTGGCGCGGTTTTTTACGGGGCAATGGCACGAACTGCATACGCATCATCCCATATTCAGCCGTACAGTTCGGCAGTTATAACTTTTACAAAAGAGTGAGTTATTGACGGAAGCATGGTATATGTCTGTTAACCTTTGCAGTTCGCTGAGCCTACCCCAAATGCGGATTTGACGCCAATACGCCGACTTATCTGCGGAGGGGCCGCCGGGATCACCTCAGGTCCGTCATCCACCTCTTCGAGACCACATCCGTTTTATCTTACTGATACTAACATAAACCCTACATGTTCGTGAACAGTCGCCGTCACTTATCCGCTCGACTTGGTGCGTACGAGGTTGTCCATTCAGTCCGCCTCTTTCGCGGCTCTCAAGCGGGAGAGTGCGAGCGAAAAGTTGCCGGGTATGTATACGACTATGGTCTTGGTCTATAAGAACGAGGGCGGCTTTTTGGCGCTTTACCGCGGTATCATTCCGACTGTAGCCGGCGTGGCCCCATATGTACGAAATGGAATGCTTGAGAACCCGTGGTGTTAACTTGAGCTGATTTTACCTAGGTTGGTTTGAACTTCATGACCTACGAATCAGTTCGTAGATACTTGACCCCAGAGGGCGACTCCACGCCTAGTGCTGTTCGCAAACTCATGGCTGGCGCTATCTCAGGGGCAGTAGCACAAACTTGCACATATCCGTTGTAAGTTTTATCCCAAACCCAGTGGAGAGGTGTTGTGACTCCGTCTATTTCCATCCAATATATTGACAAGCTTTCAGCGATGTCCTTCGACGGCGTTTCCAGATCAATACGATGTCTAATATGGGTTATCAGTATGCCTCAATTTTCGATGCCGTAAAAGTCATCGTGGCCGAAGAAGGCTTGCGCGGTCTCTTCAAGGGAATTGCGCCAAACCTTCTCAAAGTAGCTCCTAGCATGGCAAGCAGTTGGCTCAGCTTCGAGCTCACTCGAGATTTTCTGCTGGGCTTGGACGAAATGTGATACGTGCAACGCAAGTGGAATCTGCCGAACACCAGCCAGTGTCCTTGGAGGCGGTTTCTCCTGCTGGTTGTTGCGTGCTTACCCGGCCTCACAGGCTTGTTATCTATACATTGCTAATATTAGAAGGAGGGGACCGTGCTCCTCATTAGAAGTAGTGCACTTTTTCGCCTTCTTGGAACAAGAAACCCGCTTCTAAACAGTCTGAGAGCATCGAAAACGGAGTCTGTGATTGTACCAGAATCACGGGATGAGGACAGAGCAAACAGTAACTGGACGTATATTGAGGACCGAACAAAGTATTAATGGGCGCAGTTTACGCTGTTTAATACTCTGGGTGGTGCTAAGCGGCACGTGGAGGCTGAACAAGACGTGACTCGAGAGGGTTGATTTCCCAATCCCCGCCAGAAAGCAGAAGATGTTGGACTAAAAAGCGAACGCTTATTTAGCCAAACTCTGATATGTTTGATAAAAGAGCAGTAAGTGATGCAGGGTACTGAGGGTAGTCTCTCACGCCGTCCTTAAGCTTGTTTCTCATTTGTATGTACCTCGCGGGCAGACAATGCTGCAATTTTTTGAACCGAGAGATCCGGATTCGTAGCCTGTCTCCAGTGTCAATTTGTACAACATATCAAGTATTAAGGGTTTGCGTCGTTGGAAACAGAATCCAAAGCTATACCCAGCGTATCCACTGGCGCTTCGTCATCTCTGGCGGTAGTAGTATCTTCCACTTCTGAACCCTGAGCTTGGGGGAAGTGCAGGGTACGACTGCCCGTCTGAGAACTTTAGGGGAGATTCAGAGCTTTTGGCAGGAGAATTACGTCCTCTAGTCATATAATCAAGGTCACATTGCCTTAGTATTAGCCGAACTACTAAGGTCAAACGTAGTGGTTACTAAAACAGGTGGCCCTTGTGAAGTGCATATCAAGAATGTACTACTGTAGAAGGAGCCCAACGTCGAAAATATGGTTGGAAATGGAGACTTGGTAGACATAATTCAGAAGATGACTATTTGTGGAGGAAACCGAGCTTATGATCATTGATGTGGAGTAGATAAAAAGTGTGGTGTTGGTGTTGCATTTGCCAGTGGCCACTGTTGATCCGGGCCTGGATTTCTCACTGGACACCGTAGTCACGTGATTGCTAGTCGCTTAGCCGAGTGGCAGTCCACAACCCAAATCGTGTCTCCCGAAATCCTCACTCGACAGCTTTACTTCAACCGGGTTGCGACAGCGAACTTCGAGAGTCGGAAACATCAGCAGCCATGGGTACGTTTCAGCAAATTCCCAGCGTCTTGACATTTGACGACTATATTATAATTACATCGGGAACTTTTGATTTATCTTTTACAGTAGTCCATCTTTTTTTTGACTGCTTTTCACGGCCTTTGCTAATTATCGACGGATGAATAGGTATCGACTTGGACCGCCACCATGTGCGCAGCACCCATCGCAAGGCGCCGAAGAGCGAGAACGTCTACCTGCAGGTTCTCGTGAAGCTCTACCGCTTCCTTGCCCGTATGATCGACCTTGAATATCTGCGCATTTCGAGATGCTGGAATTTGGTGACTAACTAGCCATCGTCAGGCCGCACGGAGTCGAACTTCAACAAGGTTGTGCTGCGCCGCCTGTTCATGTCCCGCATCAACCGGCCCCCTGTGTCGCTTTCCCGCATCGCTTCCAACGTGACCGAGTCGCACCAGGGCAAGACCATCGTCATCATCGGCACCGTTACTGATGACAACCGTCTCCTCACTGTCCCCAAGCTTTCTGTGGCCGCCCTGCGCTTCACTGCGACTGCCAGAGCCCGTATTGAGAAGGCCGGTGGTGAGACACTGACCTTGGATCAACTCGCTCTCCGCGCCCCAACGGGAGCCAACACTCTCCTCCTCCGTGGTCCCAAGAACGCCAGAGAGGCCGTGAAGCACTTCGGTTTCGGTCCCCACAAGCACAAGGTTTGTTACATCTAGTTTTGTGATGACGGACGTTTCGAGCTGACGTTTGTCTAGAAACCTTATGTGCGAAGCAAGGGTCGGAAGTTTGAGCGCGCTCGTGGCCGCAGAAGGTCTCGCGGCTTCAAGGTCTAAATGGGATAGTTGAAATTGTTGTGGCAAAGCAGTTATTCCCGGATGAATTGAGGACATTCAGAGACATGCGAGATCGTGTCTTCCAAAAACTAGTGGAGTGCTCGAGCCTCAATGAGCCGCCACGCTAAGCTGGCTTGAATGTAAAGACCCTTTGATCAATGGTAACTTCCGGTAGTGGCGTCGGTCAGGATGAGAAAATGAACTTGTTCCAAAACTTCTTGATTCATGTGTTGAGTGATTTACGATATTTCTAAATTCTGATGCTTATATCTTTTGCCACCATCGCCGTCAAAATAATCGCTAGCTCTATGGCCACTGCCCCGAATCAAATACTTATAGATAGTCAACCCATCCAGACCAACAGGTCCTCGGGAGTGAATCTTGTTGGTGCTGATCCCAACTTCAGTGCCGAACCCATACCGCATTCCATCCGCGAACCTCGAGGACGCATTCCAGAACACCCCGGCACTATCGACACCTTTCATGAAAAGGTTGGCAACAGTCTCTGACTTGGTGACGACGATATCCGTATGTTTCGAGGAATGCAAATTGATATGCGTTATTGCAGCTTCGACATCAGCGAGAGGTGCGTCAGAAGATGATATTGTTTTGACGGCTAGCGTGAGATCAAGGAATTCGGTCTCAAAATCAGACTCTTGAGCATCTTGGAGTTTCTTCGCTTCGTCGAAGGTCAAACTTTCCATGAGCGCAGCTTTAGAGGATGCATCGCAGCGAAGAACAACACCTTTGGCGACAAGTGCTTTGGCGACATCTGGCAGAACTCTTTCAAGGGCATCTTGATGTATGAGCAAGGTTTCCAGGGAGTTGCACGCCGCGGGGTAATCGGTTTTGGAATCCACAATTACTTTGGTGGCGATTTCCAGGTCAGCATCCGAATGGATATATGCAGAACAGAGCCCATCTGCGTGTCCAAGAACTGGTATTTTCGTGTGTTCTTTGACGTATCTGACAAGATCATTAGAGCCTCGAGGTATAACGAGATCAATAAGCAAATCCTGTGCCAACAAATCGGAAACAGCGGCTCTTGTCTTCACAAGTTGGACAGACGATTGCGGGACGCGAGTAGTAGATATAGCTTCGGAGATCACATTTGCAATCGCCACGAAAGATTCCGTGGATTCCTTGCCTCCTTTTGATTGTCAGCAGGAGTCTGAAACGGTCGCCAATGCGTGAGATGCATACCTTTCAATATCGCAGCATTGCCTGACTTTATGGACAATGCAGCAATGTTTGCAATGACCTCTGGCCGGGCTTCAAAAATGATCAACAGAACTCCGATGGGGCAGGCCACTTTATCAAGCGTAAGACCATCGTCGAGGAGGGTCCGCAACGTAACATTCCCAACTTGGACAGAATCAGAAATCCGCATACATTAACAGGTAGAAGTAAGAAGAGTCATCTACTTCGCGACGCAAACATACTGGGGTCCCGTAAACTTTTGACACCTAAAATCCCTTGCAACATATCATCGTATTTTCCTGGTCTGGATAAATCGAGCCTCTTCAAGACACTATGGTTGAGACTGCCATGGGCGACAGCTTGCTCTGCTAGTTGTATGTCTCTAGCATTTGCTTCGAGGATGGCATCTTTCTTTAAGAGAAGCGCATCATGCAACGCTGTGAGGGCATCATTGCGATCCGCTTCGGACAGGGTCGCGAGGTGACGAGACGCCCAGGAAGCAGCTTTCGCAATATCAATCGCTGATGATTCCGTGAGCGACATTTCCAGGGCTAGGCGTTTGGCAGGAACTACTTGCGAAGTGAGATTGTGTGGTAACATTTGCCGGAGTTTAGTCTCTCCCCTAACCTTATGTAACCAATGTGTCATGGCAAGTGGGGTACGGCAATGGGTCGGTCCTACGGTAGGTCCGGTTGTGGTATTGCACGCAACACAACGCATAGTCCCAAGCATCTTCATTGATCTAAATTTAAAGTGGTAAGATACAGCTATACTTACAGTTAACTGAGTGTGCGGCCTCACTTAAATGATGTAGATGAGTACATGACGCATTTCGATGGACAACAGAGGCCCACCAAATGTGACGTTTATTAAGAAAGCAGGGAGGAAGACATTATAAGAATGGGACTTATTGCTAGTAGTAACAGCGCTGGGGCTGTTGGGATTTACCATTGTCTCTGTTTACAACTATCTTGGCTCATGCTATGGATATGTCACGCTGCCATAATTGAGGTATCACTCAATTACGGTCTTAACCATCAATGACCGTCCCCCATGAGATCTTCATCTATGTCACCGCCGCCATCTGCCTCGCCAGATCCCACGCCGCCGGGTTTCTCAGAGTTGCCATTCCACTTCTGGTTCTTCGTTATGAAATGAAGACCCTCTTGAGAGAACTCTAGTGCTTGTCCGGTCTGGGCTATTCCTCGGGAAATCGTATGCAACGCGGCCCTTATCCGCATAAGCCTTGCGCGTATATACTCTTCCCTAAAACCATGATTCTGTGTTCTCAGAGGAAAACGCAACATTGTAGTGGTTTCATTTCTCGCAGAGTGAGATAGTGTGGCTTTCAATTCATTTGACATCACTAACGATACGACGAATTCCTCGACGTCCTGGACACCTTGGGGGAAAGATGAAGCCCGTTGCAGCACATCGGACATCGTGAGCGCAGAGAATGTTCGTCCTAGCTTAATGATCAAGGACTTATCGAATGCTCCAGAGACTTGGGAAACAAGCCCGGCATTATTATCCTGGGCCCATTAGCACGGTCGGTACGGTACAGCAGAAACGAGATTTGCGACTTACGGTCCGCCAAATCGATTGCCCTAGGTTGATTTCGGCATTCAATTTTTGCAAATCGCCTTTCTCGAATGCCTCGGCCAGCGAGATGTATGGTCTTGCCAACGACAGGTATACCCGACTGACATGTGCAGCTACCAAGCCGGGGGTAAGCGGAAGCTAATTGGAGTGAAATTAGTCCAGACTGTATAAATAGCATTGATATTCCAAGTCACCTTTCCGTGTCCCAGAAGGTTAACCAGAATCCACTTCTTGTATGCTTCGACCATGATTTTGCTAACGGACTTGGCGGTTGGTGCCGATATTACCACACTCAGGCAGTGGGACGCTTGCTCCCACTTTTGGAGAGCCATGTAGATCATCGCGCTGTACATGTAAAACTGTAGGTGGTCCCGATATGTTAGGTTCGTTGAGAATCCAGATACACTCATGATAATTTCAGTGCTCGGGTCATGCTGTGAGCAAAGGAGTGAATCTGTATGCACATGTTCTCCTCTTTCTGTGGGGAAGTGGCAAAGGAATTCATCGATAACAGGAATTGCATACGTATATGACGATGAAAGCAGTGCGATTTTAGCTAGGATTAGATGGGTTGACGTGAATATTCCGGCTGCATTGAGCCGTTTCAGGGCATCCCTTATCACTTGAACGGCCAGTACGGGCTTCTTATGGGTTAGTTCCGGCAAAAACACAATACTTAGCAAGAGGGTGTCTTCTTGCCTTCGAGATGGATCGTGCAGCAGTAGCCATGAACTCAATAAGTTGTCTCCATTCATGGCTTGCGTATCGAATTTGAACCGGGTCAAAGGATCGCAGGAATCTAACAGCATGCTTCCACAGATTGCCTCCGGGTAGTAAGTCATTGGGTACGTCGGTGTTTATCTTTCTTTGTAGATGCTGTAATTGGAAGCGCAGTAGATGTAAGAATGATAAGCTGTGCACAGCTGGACTAATAGCCTATCATAGCAGATACAATGTTAGTATAACATTGCGCGACATTGCAGTTCCGATGGTTTGCGGTCTGCCTCCTTACCTCTAAATACTCATTAAGGTCTGCTGCGCTGTGCACAAGGCCAGGCTGCCGGAGATACGCAACCAGACTCCGAAGTTGGCGGTCATAATTTTCGTCGTTGATATCAGCTGAGCTATGGCGGGAAGGTGCTGAAGACAGCTGTACCAGGAAATCGGACATCTTCGGGGCGATGCAAGATATCACATCCAACTTTGAAGGCGGGGTATTGGTAAAGGGCTAGAGCCTAGGTCTTGAGATTAGAGATTGGGGAAAAGCTAAGGTATCCACATGCGCTTATGTATTTCACTAGGCATCCAGGTGGGGCTGCTGACGTGTGTCACGCGTGTGGTCACGTGTGGAGGCTGTTAGGTAGCTAGTTGGGGTATTTGTAAGGAACAAGAATAAGTAATATTGTATTAACAAGAGTATAATAAGTAGGGAGGAAATGAAGGGTTAGAAAACCCTGCTACTAAGTATTATAAGTTAAGTAAGTAGGTAGGCCCTAGCCCTAGTAAGGGCAGAGGCTATACATAAGACCGAAAGTCTCTGTAACCTAGTTACATTCCTGTTGTCCACGTAGGACGGGGGGTATTCTGCCCCTATTTACCGCTTACATATAGCGTATTAGCTAGCTAGCCAGAGATAGTTAAATAAAGAAATTAATAACTTTTTAACTTAATATAGTATACATGGCTATAATAAAAATATGTCCTAAATTAGGCCATAGCTCTTCCTAAGTATTATTACATGTTATTTAGGAACTCCGCTATGTGTATTTTTTAATTATTTAGGGACCTTTTATAATTACTTTTTGTTAGCCAAAGGTGGAGTTTAATAAAGTTCTTATTTATTAATACCTTTACATGCCGCGTTAATATAAAAAAGTAAGGTACTTAATATTTTATTATTTTAGTAAAAAATTAGGTTATTAATAAGTTTTTAAAAGCTTAAAATATTTATATAAACCCCTAGGTAGCTTTAGCTTTTAATAAATAACTTATTTTTTTTTTTATTTTTTTTATAATATTTAATTAATAGCTTTACTAATTAATATAATATATAAAAAGTATTATAGTTATAAGCCTAAATATTAATTTAATAATTTAACTTGTTAAATTTTTATTTTTTTTTAAATATTTTAAAGTTATTTATATTTTTAAATACATGCCTTAAAGTTATACTAAGCCCTTTTATAATTAATTATTTTTTTATTAAACTAAAATAAATATTAATTAATTTTTAACTTTTATATTTAATTTAAAAATTATTATAAGCTTTACTAATAATATTATAAGTATAAAAATTATTTTTAAATTTAAAAATAACTAGCTAGCTTAGTATAGCTAGATCTTTTACTTTACTTAAATAATAAAAGTTTAAAAGTTTTTTAATTTAAATATTCCTTTTAAAAAAAAGATTTTTTTTACCCTAAGTTACCTTTTAAAAATATAATTAAAAAGGTTTTTAAAATATATAATAAACACTAGCTTAGCGTAAAGTATTATTATACTAAAATTTAAAAAATAAATAAAGCTATTTAAAAAACTATTATTATTTTTATTTAATAACTTATTAAAAATAAACTTATAATAAAGGTTTTAGTTAAATTAAAGTAATAATTTATTTTAATTAATTTTAAAATTAAATTAAAGGTATTTAATAATTATTTTACAGCTTTAAATATTTTAATTTAATAAAATAAAATTAATAATTAGCTTTAAAATTATAAAAACACTTATTAAAAAATTAAATACCTTAATTAACTTAAATTAAAAAATAAAATAGCTAATATAACCTTCCTGTAAATAATTAATAAGTATTTAAATTTTTATATAAAATAAAATACTAACTAATTAAACTAAAAGGGTATTAATTTAGTTTTTTACTTTTAGTTTATATTTAAATATTAATAATATTTTTTTATAATTAATAGCTTTTTTAAGAACTTTGCTAAAGTAGTAATTTTTATAACTTTTAATAAAAAATTAAATTTTTTTAAAAATAGCACTTACTAATAACAAGCCTTTTTATTTATATAACTATTTTTAAGTAATAAAATAGTATTAATATTTTATATAATTATATAGGAAGCTATAATATAAACCTAAAAAAAAAAAAAGGTTAGTAAAGTGCTTAATAAAAATAATAAATATAATAAAAAATTTTAAAAGATAAGGGCCAAGAATAAATAAATTTTTAAAAATAAAAAAATGTTAAACAAAAGCTTAAAAAGCTTTTTTAGTTACTTAGGCTATAATAAAAAAATATTATAATTATATATTTATCATAAGTATTTAAAATAATTTAATATTTTAAAATATTTTTATTTTTAATATTAGTGCCTTTATTTATATTTATAATAATTTTAGTTATTTTACCTTTTTTAATTAATTAGAAAAAGGTAATATTTAAGCAGGAAATATAACTATTATTATTTAAAATATAAAATTAGTACTTTTTATTTTAAAACTTTAAATAATAAAATAATACCTTTTTATTTTTAGTAAAGTAGCCTTTATACCTAGCTTTTATATTAATATTTTAGTAACTAGGCCTTTTAAAAAGGCTAAATATTTTTAAACTTTTAATACTTTAATTACCAAGAATAATAAACTAGTATTTTATTTTAAAAATTACTTATTTAGCCTTTAAATAGTTAAGTTTTAAAAAAAACTTAAAGTAAAAAAGGCTAATACCTTAACTTAATAAAAAGTTAAAACCTTAACTTAAAAAATTTATATTAAAAAAAATTAAAGCTTTTTACTAGCGCCTAGGCTATATTAATAATAAGGTATTTTAATACTTATTTATTATAATTAAAGAAGTTTAAATTACTAGTTTTTAATTACCTTAATAATATAATACTTATAAATATAAATAGGCCCTTTAATAAATATTTAAAAGGTTTAAAAATCTTACTACTGTTATGGCAGTGAATAAACTTTCATAAATGCTTGCTTGATTAATCTATCCGCCAGGTGGCGGGAATAAGTTAAAGCTATTAAATAATTAATATATAACTAAGTATTATTTAAGAAGTTGGAGAAACTCCTAGTAGTATATATATAATATATACCAGCTATAAAAAAAATATCTTAAATTTAAAAAAAGATATTATTAGCTTAATAAAAATAAATAAATATTAAGTAAAATTAAAAACTTTTTATTAAAATAATAAAAAATAAGCAGGAAAAGCAAAAGCGTTAAGGTAATAATATTAAAATAGTAAAGTAAAAGGTAACAGCATAAGTATATTAAAAAGTATAAGTATTTTAAGCTATTAAAATATATTAAAAATTTTTATTATTTTTTTAAAGCTAGTACACCGTGCTAGGTACTATACTTTTTTTTTTTTAATTTTTTTTTTAGGGTAGTTAGGTGTTTATAGGCTAGCTTGTTTTTATAAAAGCTAAATTATTATAAAAAGCTTTAAAAGCTTTAGCTTTTTAATTTTTAATTTTTTTTTAGTTATTTAATTTTAGTAAATTTTAGTAAAAGTAAAGTAATTACTACCTTTGCCGCGGCTAGCTAGGATCTTAACTTTTTTATTTTTATGTTTTTAGGTAAAAAAAAAGGCTTTAGGTATATAGGTTACTTAAGTTTCTTGCTTTTAATATTAAGTTTAAAAGTTAATATTATTATAATTAAGTTTTTTTTGCTAAAGGGTTTTATATTATTTTTAATATTAAGCTTAAAAGTTACGGGTTTAATAAAAGGGATAAAAGGGTTTTTAAAATTAGGCTTAAAAGTTACTATTATTATAAGTATAATTAAAAAGTTTATATTAATAAAGGGTTTTATAATAATAATTAAGGTAATAGTAGTTAAGGACTTTAAGATTAAATTATTAGTTTTAGTAATTAAAAACTTTAAGGTTGGATTATTAAGCTTGGTATTTTTAATTAAAAATTTACTAAAGGTAGCTATATTATAATATTTTTTTTAAAAGGGCTTATTAACTTTTAGTTTAGTAATTTATTTTTTAATATTTTAAATTATTTATAATAGCTTATTAAGTTTTATAATTATTTTTAGGGCTGTTTTAAGCTTTTTATTTTAAATTTTATATTTAATTTTATTATATTTTAGCTTTAGCTAGTTATTAATTAATTAATTATTATTATTTTTATTTTAATTTTTTTAGTTTACCTTTTTAGCCTAGGCTTTATATTTTAATAAAAACTTTGCTATATATTAGTATTTTTTTAGTAGTTTAAGGTAAAGCTTTTAAATTTTTTTAAATAATTTTTACTTTTATTCTTGTACTTTTGCATGGTAAAGCAAGAAATTAAATTAAAAATTTTTAACCTTTTTAATTAATTTTTACTTATAGGCCTTTACTTTTAGTAATAATTTTTATAAATAGCCTAACTTAATTTAATAGCTATTTAACCACCTTATACTAGGGTAGTTTAGGTT